TAGCGCGGCTTTACTTGGCTTGCCAATTATTTACGAGCAAGCAGGTTCCCATTGAGATGGCGGTGACGCGTCTCAAATCCTTTATCAATATGCAGATGCGGTCAAGATTGGCGTTAGATCCAGGATTCATCTATTTTTACACATGTTAATTTATTCATTGCTTGCCAGACCTTTGTTTAAATTAAACATGGCAACACTATCAGATAAATATAAATCCCCATTTTGGAATACCTTACTGCTGAACATGTTATAAATCTCTTTTAGCTGTTAACGAACAAAATGTTGAATATTTCTTTACAAAAACTATAGACACGTTGGAGAAAGCTTTTTTATTTATAATTAGTACGATTATTAGCATAACCATATCTAATGTAACTTATAATTTTTGATCCTGTTGGGGAAAATATTACTAAGAAAAAATAAAACTGCTTAGAAAAAGAAACTGATTTAATTATTATTTTTTATTTCGTCATATCTAATGTAAAGGACTTTGAAAGTATCGCAAGGTTAAACGTAGCCTAGTAAGACATTTTAAATGTTCTTGCATAGGATGAAACTTGATCCATATTGACGTAACCATTATGGTATAAGTGAGAATACTTGTTATCCCAAACAATGTTAACAAAAAAACACTTCCTGTTGCTGAAAGTCGTGCCTTTAGATAAGGATTTTGTATTTCTCTATAAGTGTACGGGCAGACACATTTTTGTATGTCATTCACTCATCAAAATAATCAGGCTGCTGTAGTTAGCGATTACTACTATTTTAAAGGTATCACAATTAATTTACAGGCAAGTGAATTACTTTCTGTGTCACAAATCAAAGCAAAATCTATCTTACTTCAAATCTTAAAACTGTAATGCTCGACATAGTATAAATTAAAGCAGATTCACAATATTATTACTGTGTCCTGCCTCTCCTCTTTTATTTTTTCTTTTACCCTCCTCCCCCTTCCCTCGGTTTTCAAATTACATAATCTTTAAAGATAGACATAAACTGTTGGCGTCATATTTTTAGATAATTTCAAGAGGAATAATTTTATTACACATATGTTTTGAATATGCTTCAACCGATTTTCGCAGCGTACGCATCGGAAACCAACAAAGATGTATTTTAATTTATCCCGTTTTTTTCCACATTTCCCGCTGTTTCTTAGCTGGCATTATAAGTACAATGTTTTATAGCCTAAAGCCTTCCTCAATAAATGCTCTAATCAACATTGAATACAAATATTATTCGTTCGAACCAGTAGTTTCTGAGATTAGCGCGTTCGAGCGTACAAACATATAGATTCTTAAGCTTTATATATTAGTATAGATCGACGCTAAAAAAATTTACTTCCTATTCATAAAACATTTATTAAATACCCTTACCAACGTTTAATTTTACTTGCTCTTTTAAGAAAATACGATTAAGAACAAATTGAAAACGGAACATTCAACAAAAGAGTTTAATCTCACTAGAAAAACTGGGCTAACAAAATTATGAACTGGCCACACTGGGGAAATCATTTGTCTACCAAAAACTTCATAATTGGCACAACTTTGCTATTACATTTTAATATTTAAACAGTTTTTGTTACTTTCAACTGTTTGTTGACGTAAAACATATGTATTGCTTCAAAAATCAAATATTGCTACAGTTCAACATCGTTATATATACCTTAATAAAAAAATTTAATTAAATAAAAAACAACTAGGTACGGTCTGGACGAAAAAAACGAAATGCCTTGGCCGTGTACCGCCAGTGCCGTTTCTTTACAATCTAAATGAAGATTAAATTCACCTCTTAGTTATTGTATTTTCTATTATACAATTTCCACTAGCGGGTTTCAAATGTTTTGCAACTCGAACTAATGTAAGTCGTAGACAACCGCTGCGGAAAATACGCGTAACGGATAAAAATCATGATCTAAAAATATGAAAACTTATTTTAATGCAAAAGAATCTCACATTTTAACTTCAACAGCTTTGAAACGTACAGAGATTAATATTAAATGCCGTGAAACATGGTGTCTCTCCTACCCCAAGTGAATACGCAAACCGCGTCTATTTTTGTAAACACTTTGCAGCCAGCCACAGTCACTCTACAGGCGCTGAATACACTCTCCCCCAGCTGTCTATAAGGCACCTTTTCCTTTAACACTTTTCCTACAATTTGTTTCAAATAGCGTTTATACAGAGAGCTCGTTTCATTTAAAATTCAATCGTACGGCATATGCTTTCTATAAGGACAGAAGCCGTAAAAAGAATGTTTATTGAATACAAAGAGTTCGTCTTTGATGGTTTCAGCGCTATATTTGAATATTTCAAAATCGTTATTTGCTCGTTAATCCTATTAGTATTTCTGAAGTAACAAAGTGCTCGGGAATTCGTATGCTTTTATATTTGAACATTATAGTGAAAATACATCGAGAATTTGGCTGTGTGTCAAACAGAGGCAATAAAAACTACGTTGGCTTAATTATATATTATTTAGCAGAGGTGTACCAGTGGTAGGACCATTCTCGCTCGCTGAAATTCATACACGCATACGAAATTAACTAACGACTACAAAGATGTGAATACTTAATCAATATTTAAAAGTTATTATCGTTGCTTAGCGAATAATATATTTTTGTTATACGCAAAAATAGTCAACACGGACATATTGCATATGCATGTTATATTTCTGTTCGTAAAAAGTAAAATATACAGTTTTTAAATTTTACAAGTATTACAATAGTTTGAAGACAACTGTGGGACAACAAAACCTTACTCTATATCAAAGGTAAATAATTAGTAAACTTCTTATATGGACTCGCATCCCAAGATGGCAGGATCAAGGCAGAGCTCAATATGTCTCCTAATTAACTCAGAAGCAGTCCCACGCGCCACTACAATACGATTATATCGAGAAATTGAATTATAGATTCGCACGTTATTCGCCATTGACATTTAAATTTAGTTATTAACCGAACTTTGTCAATTAACACCTTGACAAGTTTACTACGCTATTTGTTTGATGAAATTCAGGTGAAAGTTATCTGTCCAATGAATTAGGGCGCCACACCTGGTAATGCCTTGTGCAAACAACTTTAACGAAGTTAGCATATATTTGGACAATTTATAATGGGCTGATTCTTAGAAACCATAATTGATACAGAGTGTTGTTTTAGAATTTCTTCAATCGCACATATTATGTATAGGTCGTTATACAAAACGAGAAAATACGTTTGTTATTAAAACTTAATATAAAATACTTTCACGGCGAAATTCACTTGTTTTGCATTTTTAAGCAACTTAAAAAAAAAGCTCAAATAGATCTCCTTCCATGGAATTTTGAGTAGTTTTTCAATTAAATACTGTCTATAGTTTACGTGAGTAGTACACATTTAAATAAAACACTTTAATCTTCTGACCTAGTATGCTTTGCAGCAGCCGTGGTCACGGAGACCACAGTGGTGGTCCGAAACGTCGGGCCGAAGTTAAAAATAATTTTCAAATAAGTTTAACTAATATATCGCGTTTTATTTTAAGTTTTTCAATTGGCCTACATATGTGTCAGTCGTTATAAGAAAAAAGGAAAATACGTTTGTTTTTAAACGGCGAGATACATTCATAAAATACTTTTACGGAAATGTTTTGCACTTTTGAGCAACTTGAAAAACAATCTTCTCAATAAGATTTGTTTATATGTTTTTTTTTCACATGTCACTTTGATTAGTCCTCCTACACACATAGTAATTAAAGTTTCGTTTCTATTATGTAGGATATAGGACAGACATCTATGTGTCTGTTTCACTGCCTAATTTAACAAGTCGTGAGGGCGTCTGCCTTGTTCAACCAAAATTTTATTCATGATCGAAACCAGGGATTTATGTACCAAGCCCTTAAGTTACGAAAGTCATTTTACGCATAATATACAGAGATATACTAATTCAAATAATCTATACTTTCTTGAAGCTGATTCATTATTATTATGGAAATTTTAATAACTACGCCTCACGCAGAGATTGTCATATACCTCCCACTGGCAACACCAACGTGAGGTTATTAATAATGTTACTAGTTTTGTTAATTACATTGTTTTATGTCTAGAATCTAGATACCTTTTATGTGCCCAAATATACAACTTGTCATATGATTATAAGATAATCTTTTTTTTTCTGCTTAGGCGAAACCAAATTTTTGAAAAGATATTTTCTATCTAAATTTATTCTTATATCTGAAATTTAAATTCTTCAATGATTTTACCTGATTAAAATTAATAAACGCGATATTGAAACAAAGCATAGAAACAGTTGAAACTTTTACATATAACTACTTCCACAGACTATTTTATCTAATATATTATCTGTGGTCACAGATTAGGTTTTATTACAGTTGCTTAATTTAATCTCAATTCCAAAGTCACAGTATCAACAAGAAGTTTTCTCAAACAAGTCAGGAACGTACACAATAGAATTCAATAAAATTGTATTAACTATCGCATTGGTAGTGCTGCTCAGGTTTTCAAAGGCCTCATTAAGAAATTGCCCATTGAGCCTGAAAATATACTTTGGTTATTTCATTAATAGTTATTACCCAGGCAGAAACTTTTCTCGTGTCATGACAGACCAGTTAACAAATCTAAAAAAGGTAACTTTTATGTTTTACGTTTTAGCCTTTGGCTGAAGCGTCATGTGATTTTTAAAATGATGTAATTCACTATTAGTTATTCTTATAACACAGAGGGGAAGAAAAGCTTCAGCCATAAAATTCTTACAGCTATTTTCCAATAGAAACGGACTGAATTCGAAAGGTGGTGGTGATTCATGATAATCCTACCATTAATTTAATGATTCACAATTCCATGTTTTATTAAATATTGGTTTTAGAAATATGTTGAATTTGGTAAGAATAGACGATCCATTGAATAAAAGTCATATATTGCTACCATTAAACCAATAACTGGGGTTTTTTGATTCGTTTACCTAGTTTTTATTTTTTCTGTTATTTATTTTGGGTTTTTGTTGCAGAATGCAGTACTCATCCTTAATTATTATCCTCGTGATCGGCGCGGTCACATGCAGCCCAGAACGTGTCCAGAATGAGCAAGAACACGACCATCAAGATCAAGATACCAATGAACAAAACCACGTGGCACCACTAGAGAAGCGATCACCGCACTACGACTTCGGTTTGGGGAAGCGAGCGTACAGCTATGTGTCGGAGTACAAACGACTTCCTGTTTACAATTTTGGTTTGGGCAAGAGGTACGTAAATTTAATACAAATTATATGTACAAATGGCGGTAGTGAATAAAAATATGACTTTACAGATTAGGACGATTAAAACGGTTTATTTAAATAAAACACTTTAACGGTTTCAAACGCGATATATATTAGTTAAACTTATTGGAAAAAATTTTTTTACAAGGCCCGGCGTTTCGGTTGCATTGCAGCAGCCGTAGTCACAGTGAGACAAAATGTCTGGCTGTATTTAAAATAATTTGCAAAGAAGTTTAACTAATATATATCGCGTATTAAACCGTTAAAGTGTTTTATTCAAATGTGTATTACTCGCGTAAACACAGATAGTATTTAAAATGGTTTATTTTTATTTGTGATTTTTAACTATTTTATTAATTTCAAGATGACGTATAGGACTCGATAGCTTAATTGGTTATACGGAACGATGTGGATGCCGATTCAAGTCCTGCCTTAATGTTTTTCAAACTCCCATTCGATTTTTAATTTAAAACAAACGATACTTGAGTACCGTAATTTTAGTATTATTTCTTATCAAGAGAATTGGTGTCATCTCTCTACAATGTTACAGGTCACGACCTTACTCCTTCGGCCTGGGCAAGAGGTCAGTAGATGAGGACGCTGAAGAGGAACTCACCAATGATATTGAACAGCAGACGCAGCCAGAAGTCTTCGAATACGATGAAGCACCAGGTATCTTTTTTGTTCATGAACGTTTCGGGTTAACAAGGAACCAAATGCAAATCTAAACATTCCTGTTCTTCCAGGATTTGAAGTAAAACGAGCCCGGCCCTACAGCTTCGGTCTAGGAAAACGTTTCGTCGAAGACGCGGAAGAAGAGAAACGAGCAAGGATGTACGACTTCGGTCTCGGCAAAAGACCGCATTTGTACAGCTTCGGTCTCGGAAAACGGGCAAGGAGCTACAATTTCGGTCTAGGCAAACGGTTGAGCAGCAAATTCAATTTCGGTTTAGGCAAACGTGAGAGGGACGTGCACAGATTCGGATTCGGCCTGGGCAAACGATCTGATGATGACAATGATAGTTATATGGAAGCTTAAATTGGAAACCATGTTTTTCTTTGATGATACAAGCAATATTATTTGAACAATGTATTGTTTCAGGAAGGCTTCTAATTCAAGTTACCTATGCCTTATCGTAATTCAATGTTCTCTTTAGTCTATTCTATACTGAATCCAAAAATTACTAATATCAAGACTATCTTACAAGTTATTTAATTTGTTTGTCATGTTTTGTCACTTATTCAAATTCTTATTAAAGCTAGAGTGACAGAGACAAAACATAGCACTCATTAACTATAAAACACCCTGTAACTTCTCCTATATTAACTTTCAATTATTTAACATTCGAATTCAATTGGGAAAAACCCAGCCTATTTTTGCAGTTGAATTCTATTTTACATCTACGGTAAACTGGCTATCTATCCAGATAACACCGAAATTAATATAAATATCTAAGTTATTAATATTTATATTTTATTTGTAATATATAAGTAATAATTGTTGTAGTTATAGTCCGTGTAAAATAATGTTATGCACAATATGCTCGTAATATAATACAATGGATCTACGAATTTTCATATTGTATTCTTTTCGTTGCCTTAATTTTTTAGTCTTGAATTGCTTACACAACTTAATAGAATGCATTTTTCATGCACATTTAATTTATACTTGTATATTTTTTAATTGAAATAACTATATTTTTCTATGTGCCAAATTATGTTACTATTAATATTATTGCTATATTTAGTATTATATTATAGCTTGTAGTCGTAAGTTCTTCGTGTACTAATATTATACTTTTCGAACGATATAAATCTCCTACTATTTTTGTGTATATTAGTCAATTAACTGGAAAGTTCGTGTATTCATAAAGAAATACTAAAGTATTGTGAAGACTTATCTGTTTTGATTATAAATGTACATTAAAGTATATAAATCTTAGGCGATTGCATCATTTATTCGTTTTTGTTCTAATACTTAACCACACATTTGAAAAATTACTACATTAAGTTTAATATTTTATAATGAGAATGAAACAACAACATACAAATGAAAAAGTACTTATCGAGTCAAGTCAGATTTTTAAACATTACTTAAACAAGTTTAAAAAAAATTTTAAACTTGCCAAGTAGGTACTCTTAGTCAATACTTAATATCTTTAGGCACAAGGTATTTCTGACTTGAAGTGTCAAATAAAACGATATTAATATAGTGTTTTCAAATAAACCTCAAACACATATTTAATTAAATTATATCAATGAAGAACTTAGTGAGATATTGTGGCTAGGTAAATTCACCTTTCATCAAGTGAAACTTGTCTACCTTCCTCTGTCTTTTTTTAAAAGGATTAAATAAATTGTGTCTAACGATCTAATTTTTGATTTTTTCCAAATAATTCACCCCATTATCTATTGTCTATTTAACAAAGAATCCTGCATAAAACTGTTAACTATAAAAAGTTAAGCTCTTTCTTTCTCTAATTATGTTTGAAAGGGATACTTGAAATAAATTAAATTATTTTTATTAAACGAGCTAATTGTTGCTGAACTAAATGTCAACATGTCTTAACATTTCATTACTAGGACTGAAAAATAAACAGAACATTATCAACATGTATTATGTTTAAAAATAGTACACTTTGTGTGTGTGAATAGATAGATAGTGATAGAACCACAATGGTAGCTAGTGTTTTTCTTACGCGAAGGCGTGTGTGAGTGATTTTGTAAGTGCAATAACGCCTGTTATACAAATAGGAAAACCAACCGTGGGAGCAGCTAGACGCACCCTTAAGCACCTTTTCCTTTATAAAGTTGTTTATCCATTACTCATGTAGTTTTCCCTACATTTGGATAATAGTTCCCTCCATAATAGAAGTGTACTCAGGCTCTTTGTGTTTTCTTCACCAAGATTACAAAATAGCCTTTTATTTGGCTCGAGCGAAATTACTCTTATGAATAAGAATGATATTCGAGAAACGCTTTTAGTTGAGCTTTCCAACGGTATTCTATAAAGCTTGCTTAAGTAAAACTGCATTTATTATAGTAAATAAACGAATCGTTTGCAAAACATTTTGGTGCCTAAAAAATTGGGAGCATTGTAAATAAATACACAACGCCATGTTATATTTCTTATTCGTAGTCTCACACAGAAATTGTGTTATATTCATAAATCCTATGCTCTTTGAACCAACTATCCCTCGTTTTTAAATTAGCTACCACTACACTAAGCTTGCAAATATACCTATTTATATGACAGTAGCGCCACCTAGAGGAAAACAAAGAGGGCGTACTCTTGCCACAACAATGCGGCCGGGTCGTGCAAACTTTATACATGGTGCTCCTTTGACGTTAACTGTACAAGGGCATATTGTACGTACTCGCTGTATTTTCAGATACATTGTGAGAAGTTTCTACCAAGTTATGCTACAGCTATATTTGGAGAAGTATTGTTGATTGTAGAGAAACCACTGAACAATCTTTACGTTATACAATTCAAGCTTGATATGACAAATAGTCTAAAAAGTAGATGTTGGAATATTACTATTGATTTATTACTTAAAATACATTGGCTGAATGTTGACAATTGTTGCGTGGTGACGTGATAAGTTAATAGTTTTAATGATGACATTTGCAGTTTGTTGGTCGTATGGAAACAAACGTTTATAATTTACTTTGCATCAAAACGCATTTTGCATTTCTTATAATACCTGTCCATCACGTTTTGATTTAAGGCTCCCCGTGGGCACGGCTGCTGCAAAGCATCCGAAACGTCGGCCCGCAGTTAAAATAATTTTCAAATAAGTTTAAGTAATATATCGCGTCTATAGTTTACACGAGTAGTACACATTTAAATAAAACACTTTAACGGTTTAAAACGCGATATATTAGTTAAACTATTTGAAAATTTTCGGCCCGACGTTTCGGATGCTTTGCAGCAGCCGTGGTCACGGGGAGACTTCAAATAGTTGAACTAATATATAACGTTTTAAACCGTTAAAGTGTTTTATTTAAATAAAATATCGCATTTTATTTAAATGTACTACTAGCGTAAACTACAGACAGTACTTAATCTTTTTATTTTACAAGATTAATATCTCATACATATCTTTTAATCTTAAACTATTTATTTACAACGCAACCTATCTTCAAAATACCTGAAGAACAAACAGCTCCTAAGTATAAACATAATCGCAAAACAAAAAATGCGTTAACTGCTTTTTATACAACATGTTGGAACGAAAAACTTAATATCACGCTCGGTTTTTATCTAAATAGGAATAAGTATATTTTCATACAAAGCTTTTATTGTTGGATAATATCGTAATAACCATAATAAAGAAGGAAGTGTACGCCGACACTTTTACCGTCTTCTGTGAATTAATTAAGGCAAAAGTGGGTACCCTAATTAATATGAAGGACGTCCAATTCTTTTTAATTTAAAATTTGTTTTTTTTTTTGGATGGTCGAGTGATATGAGTGGATGAGTCCAAATAATGGAATCTATTAAGAAACAGTAATGCTACGAAAAATACTCTTGAAAAAAATGTAATTAGTTCAAGTAAATTTTATTTAGTATCCGTTATACTTTTACCGTCACTATATCTATTCAGAAAGCTGAAGAGTTTGTTTGTTTGAACGCTCTAATCTCAGGAGCTATTGTTTAGTTTTAAAAATAATTTTTGTGTTGGTTAAATCATTTATCGAGGAAGCCTATAAAACATCAAGTAGGCAATAGGACCGAATAAACAGTGGGGAGTGTGGAAAAACAAAATGTGAAAAAGTGAAAAATTATTTAATTTTAAGTTTCTATCTATGAAAGAACTATTCTTCTTTAAATGATTAATACGTGTCCGCGACAGTATATGTCTATATTTTAAGATTAACCTGCGGGACGCGACCAACGGTTTCCAAATATCATCGACGTCGTCCGACGCGGTTTGGAAAAACTAATTATGATGCACAAAATAACTATTCTCTATTATTAGTCACTAGCACAGGTAGAAATACAATATATAGATAATCCAGGGAAGCCATAGTTGTGTTGTATTCCGATCCCAATCACCCGAGCAACCTTTGAACTATTGTTAACGCTAATATATCAATTAATTTTAAATCCTGGTTGTGCTGTGGGCGGGTTCACACGAAATAATAAGCATCAATGAGGCTCCAGCCCAAACTTCACCACTTCATAGTAAACCAATACTATCATAATATAATACCGTATAGACTTTATCATACTTTTCTTACTTTATAACTTTTCTTACTCACACATGTTGAACCAAACAATGACATGTTTGGTTACCGTTATCAATCTTTCAGAGTATATTTAACTATGTAGTTACATCTATACACAACTTTTCACCTTCTTATTCATTTTGAATGTCTCAGAGTTCCGAAATAAAATTCGATAAGTAGTTAATGTTTGCAATTTCTACTCAGACCTTTGGACAGTTAGAGTTCTGAGTACTGTTGAGACAGGGGGCTTTTTAAGGTCTTATGCGACCATGCTTGTCCAATTCATGTTAATAGAGAGTCTTTGAATCATTGTTTCAAAAATTATTTCATGATATTTTCGTCAGGGACTTCCAATCAGAATCCTATAAATGGTTTTTCCAGAAGATGTTTTTTTATTCTTTTGTTAAAGTCTCAATCAATAACGTCGTCTCTTAATAAAACATTAGTCGTTCTAACTATCATCAAAATCAATTGTTCTCATTAAAGCTTTCATACACAAATAATTAGTAGCCTAAAGCCGTTAGTAATTTATTTAATAGCAAATATATTTTAATTAAATTGTGTACGCTTAAGGTGATTTGAAAACAATGAATGTTTTTGCATTTCCACAATATATTAATTACTAATTGGCTTGGTCATGATAATTGATTTAATGTATTCATTTGGATATTGAAATATACGCACAGAATTCAAATAAATAAAAACAATGTTTTTTGTGTGTTCCTTTATAAAATGCTATTCTCAGACTTGATTAAATAATATGACGCGTTTTTTATTTTTTTAGTATGACTATAGCTAGGAGCAGGGACATTCTGGATAGATAAAAAAAACATATATTTCCTCCTTTATCCACAACCTCTTGCTATTTAAAAAAAAAAACACGTCGTGAAAAATAAACGCTTACAATACTGTCAATTGTCAATTTAAAAATAAGTCGTATTGAAGTCAACTACAAATTAAGTTATTAGTTATACAATATAATTATAACTAGTTTAAGTATGTTGAGTAAGAAAAAGAAGATAAAGTACCACGATGTGGTTTACGATAATACAGAGAGAGACTCAATCCCCAAACGGGGATATTATTCTGAACTGGTATCTAATATGACTAAGGAGGACCCTTCGAAGGAGGTTTACGCTAAGAAGCGAATGAAACTAATGTTGCAGGTTTGTTTTTTTTTCTTGTTATAATCCAATGACAAAATGCGGATACCACAAAAAGGCAGCCCTAAAACGAGCCTATCTTCGAGGAAACTGAATCAATTGTGATGAGGTTTCATTATCATATCTTATTCTTACCTCTTTTTATAGAGCAAGACAGACAAACACGGGATTCACTTGATGGAAGTTGAAGTACCCCAGATAACATCTAGACAAGAAGCGCTGTCGAGTTATTTTGCCTTAGGACATTCGGAAATCCACAGACTGAAAACGATTAAACTTCTCGGTTTTTCTATCTTGTTTCGCGGACGGAGTTTCGATGCTCGTACCACCCATTCATTCAACATACTTCAGAAAAATTACAAATTGATTAGTTGTAGTATAATTTTTATTTATTCGAAGGCAAAAACGGATAAATTGGCCCCGATGCTGGTTTCGCTGCCGAAACCCCAAAAAGCGAAAATGCTTCTGCCACCTGGGCGTTGGACGACATACAGAGAAGACGAAAGCATAGTTAGTATAAGTTCTCAATTTTGAGAATTGTTAAGACATTACGGAATCTGGGGTAAATATCTATGCCTAACAATGCTGTAGCATAGTAGATCCTAGATTCTATTCCTTAGGAAATAATACTGTCTATAGTTTACGCGAGTAGTACACATTTCAATAAAACACTTGACTTTTGACTTGAAAATGATTTTAACTTCGGCCCGACGTTTCCCCGTGATAACGGCTACTGCAAAGCATGCGAAACGTCGGGCCGAAGTTAAAATTATTTTCAAATAAGTTTAACTAATATATCGCGTTTTAAACCGTTAAAGTGTTTTATTTAAAAATAATACTCTTTCCCTGACTTTTAATAATTTATAGTATTGACGTTTAAATCCGGTACTTAACATATTTTAAAGTAACGTAAGGCAATTTAACTTTTTAACTTTGTGTCCTGATTCACGGAGGCAAGAATTAACGTTTTACGTCTCATTGTTTTATAGCAATTCCCCTTTGAGACGTTCGTACCGAAGCTACAGTTCTTAAGCATAGTTCTACCTAAGGAATTACCGAGGCTGGTGAAAATTGAGCGTTTGCGACGGAAGTTCTTAGCTGCGAATATTAAAGTAAAACACAACAGCATATAATCAATATTATTAATAATTAATATTATATTACGGTGGATTACGTTAATCCTTACTTACTTTTTCAAACCCTGAAAATCACTATTTAATGCTACGATACGCCCACGGCCTCGTCTGCATAGAATCTTATTTTTGAGCATGAATGAGATTAATTTATTATAGCCATAATAATGGAACTAAAAAAAACAGTTCACACTGTTAAAAGTTAATTTAACATTCGACTGCGCATCTAAAAACGTCACCTGATGTTCAATTTCAGAAAATGTTGAGAGAGCGTGGTGTTCAGCCGTATTGGCTCCTACCACCTTCAGAATACCCTATTACTGATCAAGAGTACTACGGACTCTACAGCCCGTTCCCGAAACTAGATCTTGAGATATTTGACAATACGGATTTCGACTGCAGGTTAGATCTTCTTAAAATATGTGGATCATTGCACAGAAACGATCTTTATCATATCATTGTCTTTCGGGCTGATCGGCCGAACAGCCCGAAAGACAATGGTATGCTGAACGATGGCCGTGAAAGCCTTACACCATTTAGAAACGATCTTTGTTTAAAGTACCTACTGCATAATTTTGGAATTTGATTTGTACACTTATTAAAATTTAATTGGAATAACATTTTTCCTTTGTTGTTTATATTATGTAGATTGCCTAAATATACATGGATCAAGACTTTGCAGGAAATGCTTCTAAATATTAAATTAGCCCAATTTTTAGGTTTATATAACCAAATTTAAATAAAACGCTTTTAACGGTTTATAACGCGACATATATTAGTTAACTTAAGTATTTTTAATTAATTATAACTATGGCCCAGCGTAGTTGTATTTAGTTTGAATTTAAAAAAATGTTCAAATTATCGTTGTGAAATATTCGCTTTCCTTTTACTACGTCTTCAGGATTACGATCGCGAATTAAAAAAAATAGTAAATGCCTTGGTTTCAATAAAGAGTATTTTCTGTTCAAGCACAATTTTTGATTCCAGAATCCCAGAGGAGTGGCTTGGCTTAGGATTAATTGAAGGAGAACAATACCCATGTCCCGGTCTAGCGTTCTTGCCGAAGGAAGACGGAAAATCTACAAAGAGTGGCGATTTGTTTCAGATTCTTAATAATTTGTATGAAGTAAGACCTTCCGAGATCATACGATCATAATATTTTTTCACAACTAACTACAATCCAACAACCCAAATCTTCTTATCGTTTATTTTTAGTGGATCAACGTAGCTGCCTTCAGTTTCGATAGAAAAACAGAGAGATGGGAAGTCATGGCACTTGATGGCACTCAGCGACGTTATAAGTACAATGCATGCACTTTGTGATCTAATTATTTTCACCAAAAGTATTTCCTATTTCCCCCTGACATTGAAAAGTCTACATAAATTTAACGTTTTTTCTTTGTATACAGTAATACTCTACTTATCTATACGAGTATGTTTTAATGAAATGATTCCTGAACTTGAACAAACTGAAACTGAACAAAGTCATTTGGAATGAATGACTTTGATATTTGAAAGGAGTATATGATAAACTGTCTTAAAAATATTGCTTGTTAACCTGTCTCCTTCTGTTTTTTTTAAGTTCTCGATTTTGGTTCGTATGTCTAAAATAAACATAAACACTTAGCATACCACGGATTCGTCTGATGTTCAAAGCGGACGATCCGGAGACATTCGCTGAACGTGTCAAGTTTGCTGTGGATTTGCGAAAGGAGGTCGAAAATAACTTGAGGTGATGAACCTACTGCCGTTTTAAGGACAATCTGATGGCTCAAAATGGCTAATTTAAAAATCTGCTTTTATTCTAGGTTTTATCTATACTTAGACTGTTTATTATTGGACGGCCTCCCCAGCATGCCGTTACATTACATGCCAGATATTATTAAGATGGTGAAAATTCATCGGCAGGCGATAGATATTGATGAAGATCATTTGAAGTCGCTACGATATGAGGTTTTTTAAAATATAATGTATAATTAATGTTAAAAGTATATATATAATATAATATGTTTGTTATGAGAATAACATTAAAACAATATTCATCTTTTAATATTTAAAATTATCATTTATATAGAAATTATCTAAATACGAAACCAGGAACAACATAAACGTTTTAAATTTCATGGTTACAGGCTTACCTCTTGCACAGAAAAGCCGAAGGAAAAATGAAGATGATATACATGATACAGAACCACCATGATCTGTATAACTTTATCAATGCACCAACTAAGGATTACGTAGCGCCGGTGCCCGATTACGGTAACTAAGCACAAATATATAGAGTCTGATCAGAGACCAGGTTTGCTCCAGATGAAGCTGGTAAATCGGTTTTGAATTTCAACTTTAATTATATTGAAAAGTAAGATGTTTTGATACACTACGGTTAGAAACTTTTTAATGCGATTTAAATATTATGTTAGTAGTGCCAAGCATTATGTGAAAGAGACAGTTGAAATTCGGATTTGCTTTCATTCATTTATTTGTTAACAAAAGATATAAGAAATGGTAAATTTTTTGTAATATATAAATTTCAATGTTCAACCGGTTCAATGTATTGTAAAATCCATACTCAAAGCTTGAAAATACAGACTATTTCAAGGGATGGTAATTTTTTCCAAGCACAGTTTGTTAACAATGTAATATATTTATATTATATCATCTTTAGGACGATATCCATGTGTGATGGAAGATTTTCCAGGCCGAGTGAAGTTCAACCAGTGGTACTCTTTGTATGTACTTACCGAATCTGTGTCTTGTATTCATCTTGTGGTTGAAGAGTGTTTAAAGGTAAATATTGTAAAATACATTGAATATTGTAAAATAATCATTATTATTATTAATGAAGAGAATGCAAGGAACATGAATTGATATTGTCATTATACAGGTAGAATCCATGTTATTTTACACGGCCAACTACGGTCGCAACGCAAGCCTTATGGAATTTGATTCAGCTCAACAGCACTGCACATCGATGGTATTATATCTAAGTTATATCACTATTTTCTTTATAAACTTGTCTAATTAAAAAGTATCAAAGGCATGACTGCACGTATATACTTAATCCTTCTAAGCTTTGTCACCAAAAGCTCTCTCTACTCTAACAATTTTCCGAATTTTGTATTTCTTTCTATTTACTAAATATCATTTAAGAACAAAGTAATGTATGTTTCTTTTCTTTTTGTAATATGCGTTACTAATATAGCACTAAAAAAAATTTCTGCATATGATTGCTTTTCGGGCTGTTCGGCCGACGTGAGCGAGAAGAGTTCTCGACGTTTCGCCATCACGTGCGGAAGGTATCATCAGGAGATGTTAACTCCTCCATTGCTCGAAGAATTCAGCTAATTCTACTATTATGCTGAACGATAGCCGTGAAAGCCTTACACAATTTATTTTATGAAATGGATTTTTTTTCAGATGTTAAAATATTTGCACATAACCTGGTTGAACGCTACAGCGCACGCCATTAGAATGTCGTTCAGGGATGTCGGAAAAGGGTAAGCTTTTCCTTCTACAATTAAACGATCTTCATGTCTACTATTACATTTATTATAGTAAAAAAAAATCACCGTTACAAATCAGAGTCCATTAAAACGAAATATCTACATCTTACCACTACTTCAATGACTACATAAAATTGTATTGTGTCCTCAGATGGTTCAACATTTATGAAAAAAAGTGGGAGTTCTATGGAATAAGTAAACTGTCTCGATTCATGCAACTGGTCAGATTTCGGATGCAGGTGAATGTTGCAGTTTTGAAATTCAATATTTTTATTGTCCTTTAAACATAATTAACTACTAAATTATAAAAATATATTCAATTAATATAAATATTCAAATCAATAATAGATATATAATAAAATAGATAAGGATGGCGATCGGTACCAATTTCAGTGGTGCTGCTGAATGCTTATCAACCTCAGCAACGTTGGTTTCCTTACTGGTTCTGTGGTACTTTGCCTTAAGCAATTTAGGACATTATATTGCAATGCAATAGCTGAAAAAAGTATTGTTTATCAATGTAGGTGTTAATCAATTTGAGAGGTAGTGGTGGGAATTTTACATCGTCCCGCGTATGACGACCAAGTTATCAATAGAAAAGATAACGTGTTTTATGATGAAAAAGTTGTTTCTAGAACTGATGAAAAGAATTCAAATTGTTAAACATCTGTACTCCATAACGTGTTTCAATGATTGATGAAAAACTGTTTTGCTTGCAGTACGCTCTTCGATACAGTATTGAGCAATCGATGGCGATGTATGTGTCTATGTGCGAGACGCCCTGCCTCTGCACCTACTGTTGCGAAGAGGATTACGAGTGGGACCCAGAAGACCTCATCAACTCCCCTTTCCGCTCGACCACAACTCTCTTCTACTTTCACTTGATGATGGCTGAAGACGGACCTTATTATACGACACCGCCGGAACAATTCGAGGTATTATTATAATATGAATTTAAAATTTATTTACTGTCAGGATATACATGTCGGTTAATTTATTTATTTTATTCATTCAATTTTACATTTATTTGTAACATAAAAAAACGTCAACAAAAACTTGTTCGAGTTTTTTCGTAACGCCCATATTACTTATTTTTAGTTATTTTAGTACTTTAGTTATTTACTAAAACAATAAATTAATTACTATATAATAATTATAATTATTAACATAATTCTAAGCAGTAATATTAGTATTTATAAATGATAAGTATTAATATTTTTAGGCCGTGATCCAACGACTATTTAGGGAGATGCTGTACCGCTGTCATTTCATCCCTCAAGTGCATCCCATGATAATGACTGGACTCGTTTTTGATAAGGAGCTTTTTCTTACGTCTATTGGTATTTTAGTTTTTTCATTACTTTTTCATCCCTCATACAAATGAACAATCATAAAAAATTTTAGTAATTTAAGGATATCCACAGGGCACTGAATACGAGTGTAGATCTTGCTTGAAATCTTGACTCACAATGGCGCGCAAGACGTAATCATGAAACGTTAAATCAATCTCAATATATACTTCTATACTAATATTGTAAATGCGAAAGTAACTCTGAAACACTGTTACACTATATTTACACATGTGTCTTATTAAATTTATAAATTAAATGAATAAACAGCCTAAATAATTACAAATTGTACCAAAAATCACTATTCCATGCGGACGAAGTCGCGGTTACAGCTAGTACACCAGAAAACATTGTTTGGCAGGACTGATGGAACCAAACGTGGTAGACTACAGAGAAAGGTTGCTGAAGGCTTATCGCAAAGCCATAATACCATTGAAAGCGTATATGAGGCAGTATGAATGCTATAGAGAAATATATGTGCTGGATATAGAAGAATATGTTGAGTGAGTTTGACTTGTTTGTTTAAGTTGATTATTAGGAAAAAGAATCACCATGGTACGCCGTTTATGATAGCTTTTAGTCCCCTAACCTTTCTTTTTATTTTGTTTATTTATATTTGTTTTCTTTTTTATTTTAAGAAGATAACTTTAAAACAGCTTTCACATTCAAACGACGTGAACTTTTTCTAGGAATTTTCGCGAAGAAAAACACTCGGCATCCGAAACCCGCGAAGAAGTACAAATGCATTATGATGCTAAGCAGGATCTTATATGGAGACTTCCACAATTTATTAATATTGGACCTTTTGCTATAAATGTTGATACGCTTAAGGTAAATAAAAACATAAGAAAGGTAGGTGTTATCGCGCTAGGAAGACGCAAGATATCTCAAACAATAGATTCGCATCTTTCAGCAAATTTTAGTAACAAAGCGCGCAGACTTAATCAAAGCACTATTAACAATGTGGGCTGAGGAAGTTCGTATTGTCGTGGAGGATGTTATACAGGCGTATAAAAGTATAATGAGAAAATTAGGTGAAAAACCAAACTCCATAGAACACGTCTTTGAAATTAGAGAATGGATGGAATCTATACCTTTTGCTCTTAAGACTCAGGAGGATATTATGAAGAAAGTGCACACCGTAAGTTTTGTGAAAATAATATTACGAAATACTCTCGTTTCAAACAAACCTTTATCATACTTTACTACCAAACCAACATTTACTAAATAAGATGTTGGAAGTTGCCACGGGAAATAAAATGACTTAGATACTTGGTCAAATATAAACCATTGGTCTGAATTTTATTAGGATTATGAAGTTTTGGATACATTTTTTACGCCACTGGAAAATGATGATTTTAAAGCATTGTGGGAAGCCATAGGATGGCCACTAAACATTACAAAGCAAGTTAGTATATGTTATTAACAACAAACAAATATCTTTGAAATATGTTTTTACCGGTTTATTTGAGGAAATCTATATAATTTATAAACACATCACAGGTTGTAGCAACAACAGATTTTTTGGAAGAGGAACAGGAGAAATTCTGGAAGTTGCACCAACAAGACGAACAGACGCTGTCAGATAAGATTGACATGTTCACATCCCAATGCATGGCTCTTACTCTGCAAAATGACTTCTCGAGAGTAAATACTTTTATGTTGTCTAAAACCTAATAAAACAGTTCCCCTATATAAGTTATTATAATTGCTAAGTGCTACGTACATATGAAACGCGATGACGATGTGATGTGTTGATTATTAAGACTGAATATTTTATTAAATTTATTTTTGTTATTAAAAAAAATACAATTTTTTCTTACAACAAATCTTTATCTTAGGTTCACGAAATAGCCAATGACATAAAGAAGGCATGGAAAGGTATGAAAGATGCGCAAGAATGGGGAAGGGTATTGAACCAAAGACAGAAGTTGTTCGGCCAGCCCGTGGTCCCATTTGCGGATCTCAATAGACTAGTCAAGGAATTTGAACCGTATAGAAATCTGTGGGTCACTGCATCTGGTAATGATGCGTTAGGATACCAAGTATATTTCCTAGTTGAGGAATTAAATTACATGGAATGTTTAAATGTTTACAGATTTCCTAAAAGCGCGTGAAGTATGGTTCGATAATCCTCTGATGTACGTTGACGCGGACTCCATAGAGCCACTTATCAATGAGTACTACAAGACTATTGTGAAGTGTATCCGAACCTTCGCTGACTTACCGAAAGTGCAACAAGTAGCTCTAACTATTCGAGTAAGATGAAGATACATTCTATGTACTATTATATCATCAAAATCCTAATGGACATAACCGTCAACCATGCAATACAAGTGATGTATTACTTTACAAACTCGAAAGTTTAAGAAGATAGTAAATAAAAATTTAACCTAATTCCCTCACGAGAGGCTTGTTGTAAATTACATAGTTAAAAACCTTGATCAACAATTAGAAATATTCATTCTTTTATCACTCTGATATTTTTAAGTATTGTTTGAATTATAGGATGACATTGATGAGTTCAGGCCATTGATACCAGTAATCCAAGCTGTTAGGAATCCTGGAATGAAGGAGAGACACTGGAACGAATTCATGGAGAAAGCTGGTAAAACACTTGGAGCCATAATGCTACAATATTATCAAGTTTATTATGTCATACTGTTCAGAAAGTGTGGAAAAGAGCATCTCGTCTCTATCTTACGTGCCTAATATTTGCTACTCGCGTGTTGCCTAAAACTTTAAGATTCTAAATATTGAGTTCAATTCGGCCGGTCTTAACAATAATAAAAAATTCTTATGTTAGTCTCTCTAACCACAAATAAAATGAAATATAATTAGCTATCAATAATTCTTTTGATTTAAACTTAATTTTGTTGTTGCTTTCCTAAGGTGAAAAACCATAATATTTCTGATATTTTCAAAAGGTATAACGGTAACGATGAACGAGAAGCAGACTTTCCAGATGTGTCTGAAGCAAGGAATGGCAGATCACGCGGAACTGATCGCAGAGATAGGAGAGCTGGCCAGCAAAGAATATGTGATAGAGCAGTCACTTGATAAGATGCAGAACGACTGGGCCGCTAAGGCTATGGAAATATCACCTTATAAGAATACTGGTTAGATTCGGTAGCTAAGTTAGTACACAAACATGAAACAGCACGTAAAGCTGTCTCTATAAGAATCTCGACCATGTTATCGATTTTTTTCATCTTGAAAATTTACAGGTACATACATAATGAAGATAGCAGATGAAACTCTTCAGTTATTAGATGAGCACCTGTTGGCGACACAACAGCTCGGGTTCAGTCCCTTTAAAGCTGCTTTTGAACTGAGGATCCAAGAGTGGGATGACAAGATTCGTCTTACACAGAAGGTCGTAGATGAATGGATCGAATGTCAAAAGTAAGAATTAGTCGTTCTTTTTATAAAATAAACGTGTTATGCTATGCTCTAGATATATATTACCGATAAAGTAGTGAGTATTTTAAAAGGCTACTTTTTATTTAAGGGAATGGATGTATTTGGAACCTATATTTACATCTGAAGATATATCACGCCAGCTCCCGCTAGAAGCAAAGAAGTATGGCACAATGGAGAGAATTTGGAGAAGAGTAATGTCATCTGCTGCTGCTGTACCAAAGGTTTTAATTCCTTATTCTTCAACTATTAACCTAGACAATTAGTAATGTTGATTACAGTAACTACTTTTACTTTTTTTTTACCATTGGGTTTGTAAATTTCAGTTTCTTTTTTGTTACAGATTATGATTATTTGTCCGGATAGCCGTCTACTCGACAGTCTGGTAGAAGGACGACATTTATTGGCCGTAGTGTCAAAAGGTCTCAACGAATATATGGAGCTGAAGAGGCTTCGCTTTCCGCGTTTCTTTTTCCTCAGTGATGATGAATTGTTAGAAATTCTCTCTCAGAGCAGAAATCCAAGAGCAGTGCAACCGCATCTCAGAAAATGTTTCGAAAACATTGCTAAGGTATAAAAATCTGTTTGAAGGAAATTTAAAAACTTTTTATTATCTTCATTACTCACATTTATTTATTTTTGTTTTTCAGGTGACTTTTGAGTATGATCTGAAGATTTCCCAAATGCACTCAAGTGAAGGAGAAATTGTGGATCTTAAATATAAATTCTACCCTTCGTCAAATGTTGAACAATGGTTGTTATTGCTTGAAGACACCATGAGGCATTCTAGTAAGACATTACTTAGTTTATTTTATAACCATTCAATAAATCTCATCTATATGACTCTGGTACTATAATCCTAGACGTGCAAAATTTGTAATCATTCTAATTAATAATAAGACTATAGATAGATAGATATAGAAGAAGATTTTACCATTAGTACGGCTAACCCTTGTGGCTGGCATGGAAGAATTATGGACGTTACCACGAGCCGAGTGGGTGCTCCGCTGGCCCGGACAGGTGGTGATAGCCGGTTCACAGACTGCCTGGACAGCTGGCGTAGAACAAGCTATTATAGACTATAGAATGGATGGATTTTTTCAAGAGATGTTACAACAGGTAAGCTTTATATAAGCACAATTCATAGTTAAAAAAATAGAAAAACAATAGATAAATTTAAAAAATATTTATTTGGGTAGTAGTATAGTAATTAGGTACAAATCATTACTACGATATATCTTTTGCCATAGCTGGACAGCCTTCGTGCTTTAGTGAAAGGCGAACTAACCTTCTTCCAACGCGAGGTCCTCTGTGCCCTCATTGTAATTGAAGTACACGCCCGAGACGTCACCAACACGCTCGTATATGAGAATGTAAAAAATGTCAGCGATTTCCAATGGATATGTCAACTAAGGTGACAACTTAATGTATTACTAACTAAAAGTCATCAATATTGCTTCCCTTATTTATTTCATAAAAATAAAACCATCGATCGTAGATAAAAGATGGCAGCTGCTTTAACCAATATCACTATATATCTAATATCGCAAAACGGTCTAATCCTTTAAATGATTAGACCGTTTTGTGTGCATTTACACCCCTTTTATTCTAGATATTATCAGATAATAAAAGAAATGAATCCGTTAGAAGAAGGGGAGCTTCCCGAAATTTACCAAGATGAGAATAAACTGGATACCTCTATGTACTACCGCCAATTTAGTCAGAACCACTGCGACGTACGAGCGCTTAATTCCGTGTTCACTTACCAGAATGAATATTTGGGGAACAGGTCATTGTTTGTATCTTTTTTACTAACTTAATTATATATGTGAGACTAAAATTATTCTAAAACAGTGGTCGGCTCGTGATTACACCACTAACGGATCGCTGCTACCTAACGTTAATGTGTGCGATGCATTTGAAGTTTGGCGGCGCTCCGGCTGGCCCAGCAGGAACAGGAAAAACCGAGACGACAAAGGTATGTGTAATTGTAATGATATACCTAATTTGAATCTTCACTCTATTCTTAATCTTTTATTATTTATTGGTGCGCTAAAGACTTCCTTCTTCTACTAATCTTTCGCTATTTAATCTCTGGAATTCTCTTCCCTTAGATATCTCGATCTTTGTATTCCTTCAAGACCTTACTTTTCAAAATTTTATCTTTCCAGAATGAAGAATCATTGCCTATCCTTTTAATAACCCTGTCTAGTACCAACTACCTATAGTCCTTTATTTTATTTTCCCTTTACATTTTGTTGCCTGGAAGAAATCACTGTTTAGGTATAAGGCCGTCTATTATTTATAAGCTAGTACATACGTTTTTGATATGTAAGCCTTTTGTGGTGTTTATAATAAAGTTTAATAAAAAAAAAACAAGTTTAGTAAACTTGTAACCGTCTTTTCTCTCTCTGTAAATGACAACATTTTTCTAGGATCTGGCAAAGGCGTTAGCTGTGCAATGCGTGGTCTTTAATTGTTCCGATCAGCTAGACTATATGGCTATGGGGAAGTTCTTTAAAGGACTCGCAGCGTAAGTCCATTTGATCGCAGGTACATATTTTTAAATAAAAAAATATTAACAGTCAATACTTTCAGGTCAGGCGCATGGGCGTGTTTTGATGAATTTAACCGCATCGACATTGAAGTACTGTCTGTGGTAGCTCAACAGGTTAGTACAAAGCTACACCGTTTATCACACTATATAATTAGATTAATAACTAAGAAGAAGAGTATTTTATGTATACAAAATGAATATTTACAGGTAGTAACGATTCAAAAAGCTCAAGTGGCTCGCATGGAAAAGTTTATGTTTGAGGGTGTGGAACTACCTTTGAAAGCGTCTTGTTCTGTCTTTATCACTATGAATCCAGGGTATGCAGGTTGGTTGCTTTCCAAGCAGGTATTATAAAGTAAAAAGCTGATTGTTTTTTATGCTTATCGCCGATTTACAATCGATCCAAATCGATGTTATATTCACATGAGACTACGAAACTAAAAATTCTTCATGCATCATTGAAAACATTTTACGACACAGATTACTTAAGTAATATTATATTTTGTCGTTTGTTTTACCTACCGAGAAAATATTTTTCAGTACGTAAAGCAACACCGAAAAGTCAAATTCCAAAAAATATATTGTTTTATACCAAAAATATAAATAAATTATTTTTTAAAGGTCGAACGGAGCTACCTGATAATCTTAAGGCTCTGTTCCGTCCAATAGCTATGATGGTGCCAGACTATGCGCTTATCGCTGAAATATCTCTATTCTCTTATGGTTTTTTCGAAGCAAAGATCCTTGCTGGAAAAATTACGACAACATTCCGGCTGAGCTCCGAGCAATTGTCTTCACAGGTATTTGAAACTATTTTAGTGTACGTTTGAAAGGCTCAACATTTTGAGTATCATTACTCAATAACGACAGCCGATCAGCTCGCAAAGACTTTGGCAGCGAAAACCTACAATTTGTAAAAAATCTTTCATTTTGGATTGCCTAAAAGAGTTCTCTTCTTAACGACAACTGTAGCCCATTCTACTATAAAAGTCTTATTGGTACCTGATGTGCAATAATTTAAAAAATATATTTATGTAATCGCATGTAACGCCTTTACATCTTTCAGGATCATTATGATTTTGGCATGCGCGCTGTGAAAACAGTAATTCTAGTGGCCGGTAACTTAATCAGGCAGATGCCAGACGCAGACGAGAGACAAATCGTTTTAAGAGCATTGAGGGATGTTAACGTACCGAAGTTCTTGGCTGACGATCTTGTTTTATTCAATGGTAATTATGATGTGTATGACACATAAAGGCCCTAGGTTCAAATCCTAGGCAAGCGATAATACATACTGTCTGTAATTTACGCGAGTAGTACACATATAAATAAAATACTTTAACGGTTTAAACGCGATATATATTACTTAAACTTATTATTTTAACAGGGGCCGTAGTTAAAATAATTTTCAACTAATATATCACCTTTTGAACCGTTAAAGTGTTTTACTTAAATCTTAATAAATCTGAAATGTTTCAGGTATTATATCGGATTTGTTCCCGCGTGTGGAGATTCCAGTCGTCGATTACGGAATAATGGAACAATCGATAAGAAATATGCTTGTGAAGAGAGGCTACGACGATCTTTATAGTATTTTTTTTAACTAAGCTCTAATAACAAATATACTAACTCGTTTACTGTAGGAACTTATGAAAATAAAACTTTTATTGATTACAGCGTTCATATTCAAAATAATACAATTGTACGAGACAACCGTAGTGCGACATGGTTTAATGTTAGTTGGTCCTGCTGGTGCTGGAAAAACAAAGGTATACCGAGTTTATGTCCAAGATTGCTCCATCTGTCGACGGGAGTTCGTGATCTGGACGGAATTTCAATATTCCTATCGCCCATTCAGATTTCTAGATCCCGTGGGGATCGACCCGTTGATTATACATTGCCACCATAACACCAATGAGCTCGTCATCTATTACTCTGGGTGTTGAGTTCTATCTCTCTCTCTATTTGATTTACATTAATAGTTTCTTCTCTTCAGTGCTACGAGATCCTTCGTGACGCCCTAACAGCTATAAAGGGTAGATTGGCACCTGACGGGTTTCCTTTCACCCCGGTCCATACTTTCGTCGTGAACCCAAAGTCCATTACTATGGGACAGTTGTACGGCGAATTCGACTTGAATACTCACGAATGGTATTCATGTTAATATTAGTTTAATTATATTGCTAGAGGTAAGAATGGATGAAAAAATACATGCCATTGCATTGTAAAAATTATGACCCAAACGAGACTTGAATGTACGTACTGGATAAAGTGCTTTGAATACTTGAATTATCTTTTAAGGATTTTCTATAGTTGACGCGAGTAGTACACATTGAACTAAAACACTTTAAACGGTTTTAAATTCGGAATTTATTAGTTAAATTTAATTAAAAATTTTTTTTTTTTTTTTTTTTTTTCATAATGTTATGTAAGCTGTTATATGCAATTACAGGTATAAATTATAACTGTTTTTAAAGGGAATAAAATTATTTCTAAAGACAGAAAGACTTATGAATCGTAACCCCGATCCAATTTTTCTCCAGGACTGATGGTATACTCTCCAGCTTAGTCCGTGCTGGTATCGCTGTAGAAGACACAGATAAACGTTGGTACGTTTTTGATGGACCCGTAGATGCTGTATGGATTGAAAACATGAATACTGTTAGTACCATTTGTGGGTAACTTAAACAGATATTTAAATAAAAGTTTAAACGGTTCAAACGAGAAAATAAATGAGTTAGTTTATTTTAACTACGACCCTACATTTTGGATGGAAAATGGAAACTCTTTTTTGAACGTTAGGTAAAGTAAAATCAACTTCAACGTAACACATGGGTATCTATTGCGTTCAAATATTATACTTTGACAGTTAGAGACATCCGCCATATATTAGTCTCCCCGTCACCACGGCTGCTGCAAATCATTCGAAACGTCGGGCCGAAGTTAAAGATCATTTTCAAATAAGTTCACGGGGAGACTAATATATCGAGGTTTCTCTGACGTAAAAGTTAAAAATTGCTATAAGCCTCTGTATCAGTCTTACTCGCGAACTACAATACTTAAACAAATATTTCTCTGTATCTCTCCTTTCATTATACAATAACTATATTTAACATTTTATATAGGTGTTAGATGACAACAAGAAGCTTTGCCTTTCAAGTGGTGAGATAATGAAGCTAACGGATAGACAGCGGATGATATTTGAAGTTGCTGATCTGGCCGTGGCCTCCCCAGCAACAGTTTCACGTTGCGGCATGGTCTATCTCGACACAAAAGTGGTCGGCCTCCAGCCTCTTGTGAACGCCTGGATAAAGAGCAATTTGCCGCCGGTAAATTTTCGGTTTCTACGAACATAATAATATTACTAGAATAACTAGAGAGTATTGAAATATTTTTCAATTTTATTATTCATAGCAAATTCTTAGTAATAATTATCAAAAATTATTCGCAATTCAAAATAGATTTTAGATTTAAAATTTTACGACACGAACAGGACTTCAGAACCCACTATGTTCCATGTTGTTCTGTGGTGCCGGTCCAAGTCCCTGTCGATGACGTAATTTTTTTTAAATCGAAAATGGATTTATAATTTTTATAATGCCATCATGTGCAATAAAATACAAAAAAACATTAGAGATTTTAGAATAATTTTTATTATTATTCCAGATTGCCGATAATATCCGAAAGATCCTATATAATTTGATCACCATCTACTTGTACCCGGCGATTACAGTTTTGCGCTCAAAACTGGTGGAAATAGTGGCCTCTATAGATTCTTCACTCGTCCTAAAATTTCTAGAACTGCTTGACTATAGATTACGACCACTGACTGGAAAGGACGATAGACCCCCGCCTGGAGCTGCTTTTCTGGCTATGATGCGTTAGTATATGATAAGTTTTTATCAACACTTTGTCCCAAAGGACATTTTTTTTTTTTTTTTTTCTTTTTTTTTAAATCCTTTTACTCTAACACTAAAATATGTGAAACACACCCCATGACCACCACATTAGGGTGCCCAACCAATCACATACAAACTCCCAGAGTTTGTTAGCATACCCCTCGGGAATTGGAGGAGTTATGTGGGTCTCTCCCACTTGAGGAGGTGGGATACTAAAACAACTCTTATACTTAAGGGAGCACTATCAGCAACTTCAACCAATAAGGAGAAAGAATAGAAAATTTTATTTAGTGGGTATGTGTAAGGAATAACAAAGAATGTCAATGGTACATAGTAAAAGTACACACAATGAGTAGGGGAGATACTAACTTAAAAATTGGAAACGTAAAACTTATAGAGCACACTCTTAAAAGGACGCAGTGATTTTATACTATGAACTTAAAATTATTTTTATTATAGCAAAGCTAGCTCCTTGCTGGGTAGTCTGGGCCATAATCTGGTCTGTGGGAGCCACGTGCGACCACAACGGTCGAGCCATTTTTTCGGACTTCATGCGAAACCTTATGGAGGAGAACGGGACCAAACCGGCTTTTCCGAAGGAAGGCAGAGTTTACGATTATACGTAAGGGCCTAGTAATGACATTTGTATACTAAAGACATTTTCGTCCGATAAGGCAAAGATTTTATCTATAACTAGGTAGCCCTACTTTTATGTCCCCGTATAAGTTCAAGTAGAAACTATATTAGGTAATATTTGCTAACAGATTACATGATGGTGGATTCACGGACCCTACCGATGACGGCGAACCAGCAAATCCTTATTGGTACAATTGGATGGCCAATCTTGAAGAATACGAAGTTGATCCGGAGTGGCAATTTGCTGGTACTAAAACTTTTTAATTACTTACATTATTCCAAAAGAACTTTTTTCAACATTGGGCGGTTTATTCTAGAGATTAAAAATATTTGTAAATAAGATGTCGGCGAGAATTAGAGGATTTTTTTTTAATGACTGTCCCCAATAATACTTCTTATATACAAACAATTTTTCATTTGTTTCATCGTACAAACCATGCTCGATGGTGTAAATCTTAATAATACAACACTGTATATTGTAGATATTGAAGTACCCACACTTGACAACGTTAGGAGCGCTGCGATGCTCGGTTATAAAGTAGCGAACTACAACCACGTTATTTGCGTGGGCCCCACGGGAACCGGAAAGACTGTCACCATCACGTCCAAACTCTCGAGGGGACTCCATAAAAAGTTCATATGTGAATTTCTCGTCTTTTCAGCGAGGACTTCTGCCAATCAAACGCAGGTATTTACCATCATATATATAGGTATGACTTCAGTTGTAGCGTTTTCTGTATGCAATTAATATTGAAATACTAAGACAAATCTCTTGAGACCAAACTATAACAAATGCGTTGTTACAATCTTTATTACTCTTCTTTGCGCCTTGTTTTGTTTGTTGGAAGAGTCAGTAATATATGAACTTATCATCAGTTGATTAGCATCGCTGAGTACACTATTTCCTACTTAAAATGTACTCACTCCTGTAATTAATAGCTTTGCCCTATATCTGACAGTTTTTGCTTGCATAACCTCTTCAATAACCCACGCTTCCCACACAGTAGTTTTAAGTACACCTTTGTTTAATAAGTACACAGTCATATTTCATCTTTGATTAACTATTGATTTTTACTGTGGCAGAATTTCTCTTGATAATCTGGAGAGGGGTTTATAAAAAAAATATCGCGGTCTCTCAGGAGAAGTGCAATTTACTTTAACTCCTCAAGCAAGAATTGTCACTAGTAGAGTTTTTTCTCTACTTCATCTTGAGTAGAACCCTAGACGTTAAACGCGCTTATTACATTTTTTTTAATATAACATTGTACGACCATTACCATCTTACATGTAACCGTATTTTTACAGGATGTTATAGACAGTAAGCTTGAACGACGTCGTCGTGGCGTTTTCGGGCCTCCACCAACCAAACGGCAGGTGTTCTTTATCGATGATCTGAATATGCCAGCCCTTGAGGTTTACGGTGCCCAACCGCCCATAGAACTGTTGAGGCAGTTTATGGATTTCTCAGGTAAGAGATCTCAAACTAATTTAATAATATCATGAGATAGTTAATAAACTCTAATGAAACATAAAATACAATGATTGAAGGCGCTTTATTATTGTTTTTTGATGTCGTTTGCTCTGTCTTAGAATTGCAATTTTGCTTTGTCTTAGAAAATGAGTAGCAATTTCTGTGCCTATTTAGGCAAATATACAAAATTCTGTACAATCATTTATAGGCTGGTACGACCGAACCAGTATAGGTGACTTCAAAACTCTTATCGACATGGCTATAGTAGCAGCGATGGGACCTCCAGGCGGTGGGCGCAACCCAGTTACAATGCGTCTCATGAGACATTTTCACTATGTCTCTTTCACAGAGATGGAATATAACAGCAAGGTAAAAAAAATTGTTAAATTAACTTACTAATCTGCAATCAAAACACTACAAATCTTCAAAATGTTAAAGCACCTACAGACAGACTATTGTGTATCTTGACTTTAAGGAAATAGATATAGATAAAAATATATCTTTGCATTTACCAGTTTTATCTTTTCAGTACTGCATCTTTAGCACCATCTTAAAGTCCTGGACGCGAAACCTCGAGAAGGTGACTGTACGCGAAGCTCCATTCCTCAAGGGATCTATTGAGATTTTTAATTCCTTAGTGGAGGAGTTACTGCCAACACCTACTAAATCTCACTATACATTCAATTTGAGGGATCTCAGCAAAGTTTTTCAGGGGATGCTAATGATGGATGCACATTTCGTCAAGGTATGCTACTACTTCTTGATAATTTTTTGCGTCGTATCAAACATGAAATCTTCATGTGCTCTTCCGTTAGCTAGGATACATAAGTATTAATCACTTCCTTGCATGTAAGACAATAGGATTGATAAACATTGATCAAGTGAGATTTTGTATTGCCTCTACGGATATATTACTAACAAAATCTACTATAAGCAACATATTATAATATTTTAATATCAGGATGAAGATGACGTAATAAGATTGTGGTACCATGAACACCAGCGAGTGTATCAAGATCGTCTCGTCAACCATGAAGACCGCAAATGGTTTGTGAAGTAAGTACCAAATTTTTCTATTTTGTTTTTATATGATTTCAAAATCTATCTTTAATAAAAAAAAAATCAATAATCCAATTCTTACAGTTTGTTAAATAAGAAAATCAAAACTGAGTTTGGGAAAAACTCTGATGACGTGGTCGGAGGCAGGTTGATGTTATTTGGGGATTTTATGGACATTGGAGCGGACGATAAGAAATACTTGGAGATCACAGATCAAGAAGAGGTAATTGGCCTTAAAATTTTAACGAAAAATAAGATATGAGAAAACTTTCTTTAATGAAGGTCTTCTGGTTTCAGTTGGATGATGTATTGGCTCACTACTTGAACGAATACAACATGTCCACGACTGCACCACTAGACCTAGTTCTATTTGACGACGCTATATCACATCTGTGCAGACTGGCCAGGATCATGCGGCAGCCGATGGCAAACGCACTACTCCTTGGCATGGGCGGTTCCGGTATGTTTCAACACATATTATATTGCATATATTCAACACATATTATATTATTGATTGTATATATCATGTATACGTTTTTTTTTTTTTTTTAACTTTGGTTCTATGTTTGTTGAAAAATTGATACATTAAATTGATAGGAACTTCGTGGATGTTGCTATTTGATAGAAACTTTCCACGAAGTTCCTTTAAACACTAGGATTTTATAAACTAATGATTCTATACATAATGAGTCGCTTAACCTAGTAGTAACATTTCATGTATACGTTATTCATTTCAAATACACAGCGAAATTGTAGAGAGCTTTGTTAATCTGAATATTAAAATTTTATTTAAATCACTTCAACGGGTTAAAACGCGAAATATATTAAACTTATTTGAAAAATTATTTTAACTACGGCCCGACGTTTCGGATGCTTTGTATCAGTCGTGATCAAGGGGAGACTAAAGATGGTATGTTATCTCTAATGTTAATATAAAAAACTACTACGCTAACGTAACATATGAGTTTGACTAATATATTTCGTGTTTTAAACCATTCGTGTTTTATTTAAATGTGTACTACTCGCTTAAACTACAGCCTGTATTTATTAAAATTCTAGCTTAGTTTTATAATTTATCATATTTCAGTGACTTCACGTTAGAATTAATTTACGCCTTTTAATGAGAAATATCTTTTAAAGGCCGGCAGTCACTTTCCCGGTTAGCAGCTAACATGTCAGAGTTGACATGTGTGCAAATTGAAATTACGAAAGCGTATGGGCAAGCTGAATGGAGAGATGACCTAAAGCAGACGATGATGAAGGCTGGCGCAGAGAACAGGGGAATCGTATTTTTATTCTCTGATGCACAGGTTTAAAAAAAACATTTTACGCTTTATGTGCTTACATACAAATATAATTAGGCTTTGAGTTAAATGTTTTCTAATAAACTTCAGATTAATTGTTGTGACCATTATTAGAAATACGTATGAATTTAGATAAAAATGGAGTCATTCCTGGAGGACTTGAACAACATCCTGAGTTCTGGGGACGTACCAAATATCTACGAAGCAGAAGATCTCGACCGTATTTATATGTCAGTTCGTCATGCGGTGATGGAGATGAGTCTTCCTGCAACGAAAACTAATCTATTCGCGTGTTACCAGCGACGAGTTAGGAGTAACCTTCATATTGTTATTGTCATGAGTCCAGTTGGAGAGGTATGTATATATTATGTCCTTTAGATCAGGGGTCAATACGACTTAAAATCTTAATCATTTAATATTCGTCTAAAATATGTCATTGATATTAATTCTTTTGTTATCAAATAAATCTAATTAAGTAAGGGCGAAAGTTTATTTGGATTTTTAAGACTTCTCAATTTGTGAACTATTATTTCTAACAAATAAACTGAAATTTCAGATATTCCGTGCTCGGTTGCGTCAATTCCCTTCCCTGGTGAATTGTTGTACTATCGACTGGTTCAGTGAGTGGCCGCGCTCTGCGCTTAACTCAGTTGCAACCCATTTCTTTAATCGCATGTACGAACTACAGACAACTGACGAAGTTATCGCATCCATGGTGGTAAGCAGCATTCTTTGAATAAAAAGTAAATGAAATCTACAACAATTTTAAATATTTTTTTTTGCGGAGAAAAGTGAAGCATCTACCCGCTAGCATGCTACCACGTTCCTCTATCGTACACAAATTTTAATTATGATAGTGATAGAAATATTAAGTCAATAATTCCAAATTCGACAAACACGTGACATAAGGATAGATGGCTAGCAGGCATATTTTTCTAGTTCTATCTTATGAAAATAAAAAAATATATATGTATATGCGTTAACGACTCTATTGATAAAAGCTTTTCGCCGTTATGAATAATCTTTTTGATGTATCATTTTCTCAACATAATCATTTTTATATAAGAAATCTATATCTCACTTTATAACAATTATCTTAAATTCAACAGTCCGTCTGCTGCTTCGCACATTCTAGCGTGGTGGATGCGAGTGCCCGTTTCTTAGCGCAGTTAAATCGACTCAACTACGTGACCCCTATGTCATATATGGAGATGTTGGCGGCCTATGCTGAGATGTTCAAGAAAAAACAAAAAGCTATACTTAACGAGTCAAATGCTTTAAAAACCGGTATCCTAAATAAACCCTAAAATATTTAGTTCGTACCAATCCTATAGAAAAATTATAAAATAATAAACAAACCTTATAAATACAACGTTTTGCCCGACTTTTAAACCATGATATAAATAGCTTTTCCGATAAGAAACTACCTAAACTCGAGCACTACGATTAGAAGTCGGTTTCTTGGATATTATTTCTATACCCAGTTAATATCTTAACTTAAATGTAGGGTTAAACAAGCTAAATCAGACAGAAGTGGAAGTGAAACAACTCCAGATAGAGCTGGCGGATCTTAAACCATTAATGGAGAGAGCGGCCGAGGAGACCAGGAAGGTTATCGATCAAATCGCTATAGACACGGTCAGAAAACTTTTTCTTGTTGATTCTTCTTATATAATATACTAGGAATATTGAAGCATGTGCTATTGCTTAAGTCAACTGTTACTTCTGCAGGCTATTGCTGAAGATGCAAGAATCAAAGTCGAAAAGGAACAGGCAATGGCTGAGACAATGGCTAAAGAAACTACTGCCATGGCTGAAGATGCCCAGAGAGATTTAGGTTCGTAAAATAAGTATTAACGAATTTGGCTTTAGCTATATATATATATATATTTATTTAATTTAAGTAGAAATAAAACTAACACTAATGAAATAACAAATGACACAAAGATGCAATAGGTACGCTATCGTAATATTTTTCAGACGAAGCGATGCCAGCACTTAAAGCAGCTGAAAAGGCGCTTCAAGAACTAAATCGTAACGATGTTGTTGAAGTGAAAGCTATGAAAAAGCCTCCAGCAGGAGTCGTTCTTGTAATAGAGTCTTTGTGTGTCGTGTTTGATATTAAACCAATCAAAGTTAGTATAACATAATACTAACTTACAAGTATTACTAATAATAGTTTATCTAACCGAACGACATTGTGTATCATCGTTTTGCCTGCATGGCAATGTTCGGCCATTAACATCCATGGAGATGCAAGTCCTAGGCGTAAAATGTAATAATTACAAATTTACAGGAACCAGGAGCAGCTATTGGTCAAAAAGTACTAAACTACTGGAAGCCCGGCTCGGCAATGCTATCGGATCCGACGGCTTTCCTCGATTCACTCATGAAGTTCGACAAGGAATCTATCACAGAAGACATGATTAAGAAGCTAAAACGTTTTATTGCAGACCCAAATTATGATCCACCGAAGATACTAAAAGTAAGTTGAAGCGTAGGGATAGATAATAAAAAGCAGTTTAATGGCTAAACTAAGTACATTTTCTTAATTATTTAAGTATTCTGCCATAATTAGGTATCAAAAGCGTGTATGTCACTTTGTATGTGGGTACATGCAATGTATAAGTTCTACCACGTAAACAAAGCCGTTGCACCTAAGAAAGCTGCTCTAGAGAAGGCCACTAAGGACTTACAGGCGGTTGAAGGTGAATTTTATATTTATAAATTTTAGCAATTACTCGTATACATCAAATTTTAATGCTAACACCTGGCTGGTCTTTTTAGCAATGCTTGCGAATGCTAAGGCAAAGATGCAAGCTTTACTAGAAGGTATTGCAAAACTAAATGCGTATCTACAAGAGAAGGAAGAAGAAAAACGGAAAATGGAGGAAGACATTAACCAATGTTTGGCGAGAATGGACCGAGCTAATAGGTTTCACTTCAGTTGTATCCTTTACTTCATTCTACCTTATTTTAAATCATATACAATGTCAAAGAGTACTTAAAGTATAAACTACACATTTCTCGTATAGATTGTAGACGTAAGAGTAAATACCGTCTAAAGTTTACGCGAGTAGTACACATTTAAATAAAACACTTTAACGAAAGGCCGAAGTTAAAATTTATTTAAAAAACTGAAACGCTATAACTCCTTTGTTTTTATTCCTATTGTTATTACGTTGGTATACAAGTATTTCAGTTACTATTGAGACACACTTCTAGTGATTATTTATTTTGTATTGTATTTCAGACTGCTAAATGGTCTTTCAAGTGAACGTGTTCGTTGGATCCGAACTATTAAAGAGTTGGATATTGCAATTGTAAATCTAATTGGAGACATTCTATTGAGCGCCTGTTAGTTATCGTTTAAAGTAACATAAAACTCCATTGGATACTCCAAATGGTTGTTAATATCAATCTTACACAGGTGCAGTTGGGTACGTCACCCCATTTACGGATGAGTTTCGTCGGGAGTTGCTGGCTCAATGGATTCACCACATGGAGGTATGAACGACCAGACATAGACTTAACGATTATCTTATTTTGTTCGACAGTTTTCAATATTGTTACTATGTGTTTCATTTTTTTAAACACCACTAACTTATTACAGGAAGTTGCTGTGCCACACACACATGGTGCTACACCACTATCAGTGCTCGGGGACCCTGTCCTGATCAGGTTTGTTTTCTATAATGCGCAGATAAAATCTATATTGTTAAAAAAAAATGAAAAAATATATTAGTTTTAAGTATTTCAGTGTTTTACCTAAATAAATCTTTTTAGAAACTGGCAAATGTACGGTCTGCCTAGAGATCCTCTTTCTGTCGAGTCAGCTGTTCTAATGTCAAACTCGCGTCGATGGCCTCTTATAATAGACCCGCAGACTCAAGCCAACAAATGGATACGGGCAATGGTAAACTATAATTTAAGACTTTAGTATTTCTATAGTAGGTAAACATTATATAAAGCATTTTGTATTTATTTTAAAACAGGGCAAAATTGAAGGCTTGGTCGTATGTAAACCAAACGATAGGGATCTGCTACGAAACTTTGAGTCTGCTCTTCGCTTTGGAAAACCAATTTTACTAGAAAACGTTGGCCAAGAATTAGATCCGGCACTAGATCCAGTTCTTAAAGTAAAAGCTACAAGTTGTTACTATTTATATGACTTTAATCTTTTAAAATGAGGTTTAAAATCCTTGCCATTTTTAGCGACAATACTTCCGTCAAGCCGGTCAACTAGTGCTAAAACTAGGGGACTCGTTAATTCCATATATGCCTGGCTTCCGCCTGTACATAACAACCAAATTGCCAAACCCAAAATACACACCTGAGACTTCTGTCAAAGTGCAAATTGTAAATTTTGCACTCGTTCCGAGGTAAGATTAATACATTTATTTTTCTTCCTATTATGTCGACAAGATTGTAGTGCCGTATTAATTTATTTAATTTCTATACCGATTGAAGCGGTCTAGCGGAACAACTTCTATCCATAGTGGTGGCTCAAGAACGACCTGATCTCGAAGAGTTACGAGGACAGCTGATAGTCACACGAGCGCAGATGTCCTCCCAATTGGCAGAAATGCAGTCTGACATTTTGTATGGTCTATCAAACAGCGAAGGATCACCAGTAGATGACGTGCCTCTTATTCTTACTCTAGAAGCAATTAAGATTAAAAGTGCTGAAATTCTTGTAAGAACTAATGAAATACACTTAGGCATTAGAACAAAAATATTTTGTTATATTTTTCATAGTTACAATAAAGGCTACTAAAAACTATATATACATTTGTATCACGTTAACAGAATTTGTCCATAATTTGGTAAATCTTTTTTCTTCTAGATCAAAGTCGAAGATATAGAGAAAACGTCAATTGAAATTGACGCAGCGCGCGAAGGTTACGTACCAGTGGCTAATCGTGGACAGATCCTATTCTTCTGTCTATCGGGCATGGCTAATGTAGACCCGATGTACCAGTATTCGCTGGAATGGTTTGTCAAGCTCTTCATACGGAGTATGGCAGAGACTGAGCCAAATGGTATAAAACAAATTTTCTTCTAAATCATACGTAACCTGTACGTACTACGTAGGAGTACTACAAAGAATTAATTGACAATCTATTTTCAGAGGATATAATCGAGCGTGTGGATATCATCATAGAGCATTTCACGTTTCTGCTTTATCAAAATGTTTGTCGCAGTCTTTTTGAGCGGCACAAGCTACTGTTTGCATTTCTCCTTTGCGCCAGAATTCTGCTTGACCGAGGCACTATAAGGTCTACAGAGTTCAACTTCCTGCTGAATGGAGGAAAAATAGAAGAGGTTAGTCTCAATTTACTCTCTTGCACTGTGGGCAAGAATTCAATTGTACCGTAAATCGAATTAGTATTAATAATTTGCGTGTTTTTAGGAGTTGGAAAATCCAGAACCGAAATGGATATCAAGACGTATGTGGTTGGACATGCAGGAACTGGCTTCTGTTCCCACCATGAAACAATTTGTAATGGACTTCCCTGAACAGACAAAATTCTTTAGAACTTATTATGATGCTTGGAATCCCCACAAGTGGGTAGTGTTAGGTTGATCTGGATATAAATATTATTGTAATATTTTTATTATGCCTCATATATTTTATTATAAACTCGTAGATTGCCCTATCCAAAACCTTTGGACACTCAACTAGATCCGTTCCAAAAGCTCTTGGTGCTAAAATGTCTTCGACCAGATAAGCTTGTACCAGGGTTGCAGGTAGGTATTTTAAAATTTATTGCAAAAAAGTCATCATAATATATGTTCTCGTATCGTTATTATATTTTTTTATCTAAAATATGAAGCAGTTGGTATTGTTATCCCTTTGAAAACATTAATATTTTTCACATGTTATTGCACATGAAGGCACTATATAATTTAAAAATCGAACTCGGTAGCTCAATTGGTAGAGCAACAGCACGGAAAGCTGACGATGCCGGTTCAAGTCCTGCCCGAGTCGAATTTTTTTTTTAAATTGTTATCCCTTTCAAGAATGGTTATTTTAAGAATCTATTACTTCAGGACTACGTGGTGGTTGGTCTCGGAGGACGATTTGTGGAGCCTCAGCCGGCGGATCTGGCAGCACTCTATGCTGAGTCTGATCCTCTTGCGCCAATCATATTTGTACTCTCCACAGGAACGGATCCAGCCGCTGGTGATGTATATTTTTTAAATAAAAAAAGCCAAGTAACAAGTTTAATTGAATATATAAAAACGTTAATCAATTTCACCAATAGAAATAATTGTCTTCTAAGTATTTTCCCGTAATGACTATAACTATGTAATAAATATTTGCAGATTTGCTGAAGTTTGCGGACAAAATGAAAATGGGAAAGCGGTTCGAGAGTATATCGCTGGGGCAGGGCCAGGGGCCCCTTGCTGAAGCGATGATGAAAATTGGCTGTGATTTTGGGAACTGGGTATTTTTCCAGGTGCGTTATATAAATATATATATAATAATAAACACGATATACAATATAAACGATTTAATGTAAAGACGTAAGTTGTGCTTGATAAATGATAATTGAGATCACCTTGGAAACAGTCCTTAAACGAAAGTAAAAATTTAACTAAAAACATAATAAGTTTCATCACGTTTTTAGAACTGTCACTTGTCTCCATCGTGGATGCCAGTGCTAGAGCTTAATGTGGAGCACATTCAACCGGAAACTGTCCACAAAGACTTCCGACTCTGGCTTACCTCCACACCCTCGCCATTCTTTCCTGTAGCGTTACTGCAAAACGGTATTGAGTTTATAAGCATCTTTCGTAATTATAGAATGTAATTTTTAATTAAGCACTTTTCCTTTTATTAGTTTTACTCTAAGTGTAAGCTAATATATACCTATGTACCAACTTTGTATAAATTTAAATTAATTTCATAGGTTACAAAATGACAGTGGAGCCACCACGTGGGATCAAGGCTAATCTCTTAAAGGCTTACATAAACCAAGTACCAGACTTCCTTGACTATTTCAATTCCAATGACAGCAAGGTTCCCAATTTTAAGGTAACAATGAATTTCTTTAAAACATGACCTTTTCAAATTCTTGTTAAATATATTGAAAAAACTATAGTCTAACTATCGCGCGGTAGATTCAATAACACTTCTACACTTCCCCCTTAAACGTTTCTGGATACTTTTTAGTTCTACTACCTACTACTACGTCCTACAATGAATACCCCTTAGCCAGGACCGGTAATTGATTAGCACAGGATCTTAGATGAAAAACAATTAGCTGCTTATTAAACAAAATGTTTAATTCTAGTGGCTGCTTTTTTCGCTTTGTCTCTTCCATGGTGTTGTACTGGAGCGTCGCAAATTCGGCCCGCTTGGTTTTAACATTCCCTACGAGTTCACAGACGGAGACCTCCGCATATGTATCTCTCAGTTGCACATGTTCCTTACTGAGTACAATGAGGTCCCACTAAGGGTGTGTATCAAGAATTATACATATCCATAATATGCAATGAAAAGAAACCATTTTTTTTTTTGTAAACAATCTTTTTTTGTTAATTTGTTAATATTTCGCTATTTTTCTGTTTTTCGATTTTAAAAGATGCTGACCTATGTAGCCGGTCACATCAACTATGGCGGGCGAGTGACAGACGACTGGGATAGACGTTGTTTATTATGTTTGCTAGCCGATTACTACTCGACTACTGTACTCAACGATCGGTGGATGTTTGACGAGAGTGGCGCATATAAACAGGTTAATACGCATTCGTTATGTTCTATACGAGTGTATCCAAATATAAAATTAAAAAATTTATAGAATCGCGTTTTATTAAAAACACGGTAATTAGCCATGTCGATATGAATTTTGTACTTTTGATTACACGCGGTTCATGTGTTTACAGCAATCGTCTTCCGCGTCCGTTGATGATTACACGAGGTACATCCGGACGTTACCCCTAAACGATGACCCTTCGCTTTTTGGCCTGCACAGCAACGCTAACATTAGTTACGCCATGTCAGAGACGAGCACCTGTCTTAGTAAGTACGATGTGAGGATAAATGTAGATGAAACCATTGTTTTAAAATAATTTTTTACCGTATTTTATGAAAACCCGTCGCGAGAGGACGCTAGTTTTTCTTTAAAACCAAACACGGTTTATGTTGCTTAGTACCTACAGTATAATGCAACAGATTTCCTTCTGCTGTAATCGTTAGATACGCTGCGCAATCTCCAACCAAAAGAAGTAAGTGGAGGTGGTGGTATGACCGCCGAAGAGATGACTGAGAACGCAGCGAAAGAGATATTGGGTATCATACCACCGATGTTGGACCAAAAATTTATTGCTACTACGTACGTATTTTTGAAAAGATATTACTTAATATTTTTTTATATCATACATAACTACGTTTTAACTTACCTTAGTTGTATATTACTTCTGTTTCAGATACCCTGTTTCATACAAGGAATCTTTGAACACTGTGTTGATACAGGAAGCTATAAGATATAATAGATTGCTGCTTGTTATCCAAAATTCACTTAAGTACTTACATCGAATTACTTATATAACGTAACATTTAGTAACAAACGGACCAAATGACTCTCAACTGATTGAGACATTCACAAAGATAATTTTACAATATGGACAGCATGATGTATCACTATTTAGTTCACTGTTGCTGATTCTAGAACTTGTCATATTTCTTCTTATCTTATTTAAGACTTTTTTTTAAATTGGCACTAAGAATTTGGTTCCGGGCTTTATTTCACATAATTATTAAAGCAGAGAGTGGCTATTTTGCGAGAGTAGGTCGGTATATACTTCATGCATCATCTAATGCAAAGTATAATAAAAAAACTTCACATTTTCAAGGGACCTTCTGAAAGCCCTGAAGGGTTTGGTCGTGATGTCGGAAGCGTTAGAGAGCATGGCTGGAAGTCTTGCTAGGAACTCTGTACCAGCCATGTGGAGTTCCAAAGCGTATCCATCTCTTAAGCCTTTGGGTAAACACAATAATTATATCTATTATTCCGTTATAATATGTATGTACATATTATAATAGACGATTAGTTACTAATGATAAGTTCCCTTTATTCTATAACATACTCGGTTTAAAGAGTATGTTCCTTTTGATACTCTTGTTTATAACTTATACATAAAATCAATTTGTTTGTCGCAATATGTCCTTGGCATTCTAAAATGAAGTACTGAGGAATAAAGTTCTATAATCGATAAATAAATAAGTTTATTAAAACGAAAAACAAAATAAAAATACAACATGACCGTTTCTTTTTTTGGATAAAGGTTTTTTCCAATAAATTTTTGGGTTCTTATATTCAGTGTATATGCCTGAAATACTACATTAATATAATATATTTGTTTTAATGTCGTATTGTCAGTATCCAAATAAATGTTTAGCTGATAAAAATAATAAAACCTTAATCAATGATAAAATTTTAGCTGCGTGGGTAAAGGACTTGGTTCTGCGAGTGCAGTTCATGCAGCAGTGGGCTGATGGTGGTATTCCAAAGGTGTTTTGGATTTCTGGGTTCTACTTCCCGCAGGCCTTCTTAACCGGTGCGCTACAGAATTACGCTAGGAAACACGTTATTGCTATTGACACTGTTTCTTATGCTTTTGAAGTAAGTTTACTTTAAGTGTGATGTTATTTTTTCGATATTTTGTTTCTGTGTATGTAAAAAAAGATATTACAAAACAATAGGTATTATGAAATATTCTTATGATGTGTCGTTCCTAAATGTTGTGAGGTAATGTTAAATTCATTTAAACTGCGTTTTGTAACAGCCTCTGGCGGGACCGCCAGCAAAGAAGCCAGATGATGGTTGCTGCGTCAGGGGCTTGTTCCTGGAAGGAGCCAGGTGGAATATGGGAGACATGTCACTGGAAGAAAGCAAGCCAAAAGAGTTGCATACGGGTTTGTCTCAATACTTAATTGACTAATGCTTATGGAAATATGCACGCGCGGCAAGACGAATTATCAAGAGTATTTACACCGAGTCGTTTATATACCTTCCTCACGACGAGATGAGCGAGGTCCCTGATTAAACCCCTAATAATGCTGAATGAATGCTGGTAATACCTGCAATACATTGTTAGGTTAGGCAAGGAACAGAGTGGGTACTTGTACCTAAATAAATATAAAGAGGAACGATTCCAATTCAATAGTCTCCTATACTCTATTATTTCTTTAGTCGACTCCATTGAAAAATATAATTAGTTTATAATTCGACTTAAATTTTACAACTGCACAGATTTAATTACTTAGAAACTAATGTTTTTTATAGCCATACTGGTATATTGATAATGTTTTACAAAGCATACCTTTAGCTCGTATGAAATGGAATACATAAACACTCGTAAAATCGTTATGTGAAGTGCTTGCGTAATTGGAAAAGTGGGTTTTCTCTACTCAATACTAAACCATTTTCAGAAATGGCCATAATCTACATGAAACCTGAGCAAAACCACAGACTACAACAAGGTCTGTACGAGTGTCCCACATACAAAACGCTGCTGCGGGCAGGAACACTTTCCACCACTGGACATTCGACGAATTATGTGATGACCATCGAATTGCCAACACACAAACCTCAAGCGCACTGGATTAAACGTGGCGTTGCTCTATTCTGTGCACTTGATTATTGATTAGAATAAATTTAATCTAACAGGCTAGGAATTTCTTTAATACCTAACGCTTAAAAACAACACCTCAAACGTACAATAAAATGTATAATATCATGTAAAAAATAGTTTACTCCAAATATCTTAAATAAAGTAGTATACATAAAAAATCTACGAATAATCATGATGTACATTGTATAAAAATTCCTTGTAATCTGAATCTGATATATGACTTAACACTAGTTTGGAATGATTTGCTTTAACTTCGCAAGAAGGATGCATTTTAATCCTATCCAATAACTGTTCGCGACCATCGTCATCTATACATGAATCGTCAGAACCGAAAATCCCAAAAATATCGTCAACTTTATAAAAGTTCAGTTCTAATACTAATATATGTACTAAAACGTCAAGATCAGCAGACAAATCTTTACTTAAATCGAGCATACAATTAGAAATTTTGTGTTGAGTTCGCTTTGTCATCCAAAAAGCGTCAAGCGTCTTCTGCAATGCATGATAAAACAATTTCCATATATGATGACCATAGGAGTTTAGGTCGTCGCAAAATAATCTTACACACATCTTTGCTATATCTAAAGTGTTATCTTCTAAAATATCATCCTCATCTAATTCATTACCATCCACCTTCAATAATATCTCAAAGCATTCAATAGCCAACTGTAAATGGCTTATTGTTACATAATTTTCCTTTATGGACAGATTTTGTTTAAGGCCTTTCAGTAATGCAGTTAGCACAAAGGGTGGGTTGCTTGCAGTTTTCCAACATCGCACATACATTTGGGTAATATAATTAACTATCTTGTCAACATTATATCTAGCCATTTTAAAATTTACTGTCTTCACATCCCACACTTCAAACGCTGCATTTAAGACGGGAGCTAATATTTTATAAAAAGCTTCAACTCGTTCTTGGTCAGATTTCCATGAGGACAAGCAGGAACTTACAACATCCAAGTCCATTCTGTTTAATTTTGAACACACCATTTTTTTAGTAATTGCCTCAAAGATCATCTCGGCAATAACGTCATTATTAACTAAATGTAGCTCTCCACTCAAATGTTTTAACAAGGGCATTCTTAAAAACATTCCACATTGTGGTGGCAAGGTCCCTAAAAGCTTTTGAGTTTTCAAGCAAAAGTCTGAGCGTATTGTAATAGGTAAGCTTCGGGCCATGTATGGCAACCTACGAACGATTAAAACTTCGTCATCATTTAAGTCGTCCATTAGATTCTGCAGAAGGTGCCATTCTTCTTTTGAATATTTTTTACGTAAATAATTAATTACTCTATTAAAAATTTCTGTCCTGACCGTATGGTATTTAGTATTTTTCCAAAGCGCAATGATCAAGTTCTTGGTATCAGTCCTGTTGACTTTAGAAAATAAAACCCAAACACATATTTTTTGCAAAAATTCTGGCCATTGATTTAACGTGTTCATACAAAGCCCTATTCGATGTAAAGGCATACTATGTAATATAGAATTAAAAGATGCAAAAGTTTCAAGTGTATGGACTCCCTTAGCATACAGTAATATCATATCTATATTTGGTCTTAAGTACATATGATGCATATTCCTGATAATCTGTTTATAGAATAAGGTTTCTTCTAAATTAAATTCGCTCACTGGACCTCTTGGAGTGTTACTTTGAATATAGTGTAACCATTCAGTCTGTGATAAAAGATTAGAGGAACCAAATATTAGACATTTATGTGTATTATCAAAAAAAGTATCTTTATACTTTTTAGCTAAGGAATCGAACCAATAAGTACGAATCTTTCGGAAAAACCTTTCACATAATTTACTTTCCTTGCTTATAGTAAAAGATTTTTTATCAAAGAGTAATATGTTTGAGTTGTGCTTTAAAATATTCATGTAAGCAATGCTTGCTGATGGATTTGTTATAATTTCCTCTTCTAATAATGCTCTTCTCCACATTTTCCTTCTTAAATAAAGATTTCTGAGTCCATTGTAATCATGTGTACTATTCATTGTAACTATGATAGTTTTGATTTTATTCAATAATGATGGATATTCTTTAATATCCTTATTCCATTGTTTCAGCAAGATGTACGTATTTTCACACCATCCAACTTCATCACAATTGTCTAGTTTCAATAATGCAAATTTCAATAAAAGCTTCAACAATTTGTTTTTTTGTACTTCATTTAGTTTCTTTTGTTCATTTTTAAATGTATCAAATTGCAACTTTGTCATAATGTTTACAGGGAGATTTTTGTCATGAATAATTGTGTATATTACTACAGATTTCAAGAACATTTGTAATGTTTTATTGTTAACAGAGTACTTTGTAAAGTCTATATCCATAAATATATCATTGTAAATACTCCACATAGTATAATCAAACTTGTGAGTAGAACATTTCGTCAATATTAAATTTATGAAAGTTAACTTTTCACTGTTACTGGTAGAAGGCAAGTTATTTTTAAAGCTAATTAATATATCTTTTACTTGCTCTTGATCAGTATCACATAAGTAAAGTTTTTGTAATTTGAAATTGGCATTTTGGCATTCTACAAATTTTTTCTGCCTGTCAATAGGAAAATGTATCATCAGATCTTCATCACTTCTAATGTTTGCCAAGAATTCTGAAAATTTTTCTTTATTTATATATTTTACAAAACTTTGCATGTGTATATTATCCTTGTAGTGTTGTATATTGAACATAATTCTTAGAGGACATGTTTTCATTGCTAATTTTGTATATTTTCTATTGAATTTTGGCAAACACTCTTTGCTTAGTCCATCTAAGATATTAAAAACTTGGTCTCCATGAGTTTTGATAAGAAAAAGACCTTTCTCTAGATTTTTAGGTCCTTTTTTATATGCTTCACAGTATATTCTAAATAAATCAAAACTGCGAGCAAATAATCTTTCAAATGTATGATCTGGCATACTATATATAGTAGGGATTATTTTAGATATAATAAACTCTGTAGAACAGTTAAGAAACCATCTCAAAGCTTCCTCAGTATTTATTTCTACATAGAAATTGAAAAACTCTTCACTCCGGCCGAAATCTTTTATGTGGCATCGAATATTGTAAAGAAGTTTATTCTTGGCTTCCGTTAGCATATATGGAAAGAGATGAGTGTTTAAGAATACTGGATTTATTATATTTGCATACTGAAGGTCTTTGAATAACCATGTGGAGTGCTTAAGTGCTCTAGATATATATAACATATCTTCACACTTAAATACTTTAAGTAAATAGTCTACATTCCTTGTATGACAAGCAACATCTACCTTTAATAAGTTATTTATGTCAGGTTCTTCATAATCAATATCTGATAGCTCTCGATTTTGATTAACTAAGTCCAAGACCAATTTGTTGAAACTCTTGTGTTTCTGGCCCAATGTGCTACCTTTTATAACAGTCATAGTATTTCTGCGAATGATAAATTAATTTATTTATTAATCTAATATTACTTATAATGATTAAATATTGCAAAATGATAAAATTGCTTCAATTACGAGTGATAGTTTTCAAATTTTACACTTTATAATAATTGTAACTAATAAGAAAAATAAATTTGTATACTTACGTTTTCGCACAGCCTATAAAAATGTCAAAAGATAAACACAACGTAAAAATAATGCTTTATAACTTTGAATATTTGCGTGCTGTGTGATGAGTTGATGACTGATGCCTCAAAGTTATTTTCTAAAGAGGAAAAATATCAAATAATTAACGAAACCAGTTACGCGCGATAGTTATTTCCTGACACTATCTGGAGTCATAACAAACATTTGACAGTACCCAGGTCACAAATGTCACTCTTATGAAACTCTGTTAGTTGTCACTATAATATTATACCAAAATATGAAAACAAACTAAAGTCGCAAGTCTTGCAATATGTACAAATTACTATAGTATTATGTCATAATATTTATAAATATCGTTTTAAAACAAATTATAATTTTTATAGAATGATTAAGAACGATTTCATTCAATTATTTCGTAACATTTGTAATATAAAAATATTGCAATAATACTATGTGCAATATTGCACAATAATAATCAAAAATATTTATTATCTCCGTCATATAGGTTCATTTTAGCGTACCTCTATAGTGTGCAAGTGAGCAATAATTAAAGTAACAAGAATATATACCTGATATTAAAATAATAAACATAGTATATTTATCAGACTGATTATTTATTGGAAATCTATATCCTTAGTGCTTTCCCAGTGAATATATATATATTGTAAGTATTTGTGATTTTTGTAACTCATTTTATGCTTATATAAGTATAATGTTTATTTTTTAATATCGACTTGCAGTATTGACAATGGAAACACTAGGGAAAAAACAAAGGAACTTCAATAAAATTGTCCAAGAGGCAATCAAAGATGCCAAACCATTGGAAGACATCAATTACAATGAATCAGATATAGACAATCTATTGAAAGTGGAAGTTGCATGCTATACTAGGAATATAGATTATTTACTAAAAGTGTTCAAGTGCGAAGACATGCTATATATTTCCAGAGCAATCAAACACTCCACTTGGTTAGTTAAAGATCCCCAATATGTCCATATTATTAACCCACATTACTTACACAGCCAACTATTTCCATACATGCTGACCGAAGCTAGGAATAAACTCCTTCTTCATATTCGATTGAACCTAAAAGATCTTACTCAAAATGAAGAGTTCTTTAAGTATTTAGTTGATATAGATTTAAATGCTGCGATGAAATGGTTTCCAAATTGTTCAATTCCCTTTATTTTGTCACGATTAGAACAAGACATTTACAGAATACCTGATAATGTCCTATTACGACTCTTATGGACTACAATGGAACCATTACGAATTTATGTGAACAATGTATATTGGAAAAAGCCTATGCTTGAAAAAGCTATGTTTATAATAAGCACACATGGTGAAGAATACTTTAATATCTTAGATACTGTAGATACTAATCAAATACCAATTTTTAATAGAAAATATACAAAAGTTACTATGAAAACATGTCCACGCCGGCTTGTTTATAGTTTTAATAGATATATAAACTTTATAGATAAAGTAACTTTTGCAAAATACATTAAGAACCAAGATTTTCAGTACTTATTAAATAATGTTGGTGAGAAAAAATTGGAACATATAGTCCCAGAGACACTAAGAAATATAATTCTAAAACAGCATGATCAAGACAGACTGATAAAACAACTATTAGAGTGCAGACCTGATGATATTGAAATTCTTAAAGATTTACTTCAAAAACTACATCATTGTAACTTTATAAATGAATCAAAGAAATTTACCTTACAAATTATCAATATTGTTATCATGAAGTTTTGTACGCACAGATTTGATAATGAGACATGGTGTATGTTGAATACAATTTTTACTAGCATTGGAGTTTATCAGTCACATAAAAAACATTTTCATAATTGCATAAAATCCATAATACTGTACAAAATAATACACAATGAGGATATACCTGACGTGTTGCTTCCTTTTCTACAAGAACTAAATACTTTGAAACTTGAGAAAAGCAAATTTACCGAGGAAGAAAAGGAAATAGTTTTTGACTATATGTATAGCCTCGCATTTAATCGCGTTATATCAATTACAGGTAATGATAAGGTACAGGAAAATTTAGAAACACTTTTAGTTTTGTTTCATGTGTGGGAAAAAAATTTGCAAGGTTATCCATTAGTTGTAAAAAAGGTTCAAGAATTATTAGAATCCATAAAGCCATGTGATGTCGAAGCTATAAAAACATTGTACAAAAACAAAATTTGGCGAAAATTTGTTTTGAATAAATTATTTATAATGAATCCATCTGAAAACGCGTGTATAGAAGCTTTGAAACATGATCCATGCTTATTGCAACACAATGACGAAGTTATTATTAACTTGTGTTCACAAAATAAAGAAACGTTGACGAAATTTTTCAGCACTCTGCGAATATTTTGGTCAAATTCTCTAGCAAAAGACTACAAAGAAAAACTTATTGGGCAATTAACCACAAAACCATCCAACTCGTTATATAAACTTTTAACTAGACAAGAAGTATTAGAATTGGTGAAAATTAATATGAATAATGATGATCAGATTCAATTGGATACACTTAAGAGCACGGGAAAGCCCAGACATATAGCTCAAAATATGTATAGAACGCGACCAAAGCCACCAATAGACATGGTGCTATCGTACGGCGCAGGCGCTTATTTGCACGACGCACTATCATCTATTAAAGCGGTACTGCATAGTCTCCCAGCTCAACGAACAGAAATAATTATTAAAATACAAGAATGGCCAGAATTCATACAAAAACTATATGTATTACAAACATTTACAAAATATAACAAACATGACAGAAAAAAGATAATTTCCGCCATTTGGACCAATACAAAATCTAGCTCGGTGCGTGCTGATATTTTTAAAAGGTCGTATAAAGCTCTGACTAAATTTAATAAAAATGATATGAACAGCAATGAATCGTACAACGACAGTGTCGAAGAGGAATGGCGTCATTTAAAACTATTAATAGAAAGTTTGACCGACCACGAAAGTGTGATCGTCTATAATTTGCTTAGCCGGTTTGAAAAGGTACCGTTTGCAGTACGGCGTGAATATTGCGTCATTGGTTATAACTTTTTAAAACGTTTACCCCTAAGGAACAATTGCCGGCGTTTCATGAACAACATTGTATCTAAAATAGAGTACAATAAGGTGATGTCGTATCTAGAATTAGATGTTATAGCAGAAATGGTTCACGACACCATAATCAAACGGCTGTGGACCGAAAAATTAGATTGGACGTTCATGAAAATGTTATTTGCATGTGTGTCATCACAGACCGACACAGAAAAACAAACTGAAGCTTTTACCAAAGTGCTAAATCCTGTTTTGGAGTGCGCTTTCAAACTGTGGGACACTAAAGTTCACGGCATTTTTATGGTGCGGTATAACATGAACGGCCTTTTTTCACAAGTAGTTTACTCGTACAAAGACATGTTAAAAAGAAAAAGTACAACAATACTCGATCTACTATTAAACAGTTTAGAACCCAACTTGCCCCACAATTACGTTATCATAACAAATTTTAAGCTAGCAAGAAGGTTTTTCGATATATTATCGAATTGTAACAAGATTTTACGTAAAAAACTTTACGAGAAGACAACTTTGGATCTAGGCCAGATTTGTATTGAAATTTTTTGTGAAGATGTAAAAAAGCATTCGCAGAATATATGGCGGTCCTTCTTTCACGCGTGGCAGATGATGCTTAGCGGATTCGGACTAAATAAGCGGACGCAGTATAAAATTGACAATAAAATGTTAGACTTAGCGGAAAACCTATCGACAGATTTAAATATATTACTTCATGTACTTGTAGTGGAGCATATTTATTATATTCAATACGAGAAGGAAGATAAAAAGGGAAGAAAAGAATTACGTGACAGAATCGCGAGGCACCCGTCAGCAGAAGTCAAAGCGAACGTGTCGAAGTTGTGTATGACTGACGGTTGCAACATACCATACTTCTCTTACTTCTACAATTTGGGATAATTTTACACATGTATCTCCCTAATATGGAGCCGGTGGATGTCAATTCAGCGGATTTTTTTATAAGGTAAGTAGTGAATTGACTTTGTGAACCCTTGCTAAATAAAAAAAAAAGCAACATAAGCCTAGAACAAAAACAGTAGTCATATTTTTCTACGTGTTTTACTTGACGTTAATTAAAACAAATATATAATTACCAGTATTACTTATTTATTGAATAATAAAATAAATTATCACAAATATGCATTTTCTATTTCTTAACACGAATATTCAATTTACAGTTATTTGCTCTCCTTATATCTTCAAAATTCACGCCGACTGTAAAGAATATGTCCTTGTTAATTAGTTTTGAATTTACGATTCGGATTAAATAAATTCTACTTGTACGTACCATAAAGATGAAATGGAACTTTCCATCAGCCTAAGGCCTAAAGCCGTGTTTGTTAAATTTTGTGGTAAATCCGTAGCGAATATTCCAAAGTTTGATAAAAGTCAAATCAGTCTAGTAGTTTATTGTTAGAATTGAAAAAAGGTACGTAACCGCAGGACATAACGTACAGTAACGGTAGGTTAATAGATTAGAGCGAGAGCAAGTAATACTGACATGATTTGGAAGCACATAATTTGTTTTTCTCAATGTAATTATAATAACTAACTTTTGTATGCAGGGCCCAGTCTCACGAAGTGCCTCTTCCGCTTTTTCTTCGCATTCCGTCTCGGGTAGGCCGAGTAACTCCGAAATCTTATTTATTTCTTTATACGTCGGTCGAGAGCGAAGTATCTGAAAACATTTTTAATGTGTCTATTAACTATATATTTGTGAGCTAATACTCAAATAGCTGCTTCAAAAACAAACAGTCATGTAACATAATAAAATATTGAATTCTTGTATTGATGTCGCTAATTTACTAGGCTCCAATATTTAATAAACAATATCAACCTCAGTGGCTACATCCTTTCGGTTCTCCATAGGTGGCATGTTCCAAAAGACGATTCCCACAATAAACTCGTCACGCATGTAATACAGCAATCCGCGCTTGTAACGATTTTGATACTCGTCTGACCTGTGACGGTGGCGCGGTTAATATTTTTATTTATTAAACTTTTAAAATTATAAACATAACCATGATTTACAAGAATAAAAACCTATGAACTAGCTGAGAACTAGATAAATAACAGGCGGAATTATGGCTAAACAGCTATCTCTTCCAGGACCATAGGTAATAATTTAAATCTTATCCATTATTTTATAAATTATAACTTATCGGTTGATAAGCTACACGTTACAGGCAATATTAATAAGGCTCTATTAGCTTAATTGATCGATGCTATTACGCATTTGTCAGTGATGGCCACGAACGTGTTTGACGCAAGTCATTTCGAAATTTCTCTCGCACTTACGATTGTAACAAAAACATTAGAGTGGTCATTCAATATTTTATAAATAGTAGAATCTCACTTCTTATAGCAAGGTCTGTCGCCTCCGCCCGACGCGTCCGCGGGTGCAGCGTGTACTTGGGGTTTCGCTTCATCGCTGCAGGGCTTGAACACGCCCACTGTTGGCATGCATGCGCCGACTTCACCCACCACCTCCAACGTAAAAATGTACATAACACGTCAAAATAAATGATTTTATATTATGCTGATGTGGTATCAACATACAAACGAATCATATATTATAAAATGCCTTATTTTTACCTTTCTCTTTCGTTGTCTTGGCTTAACTATTAAAATACCTAGCAAAATGAATACATTTTTACCTCCATGACTAAAGCGCCCTCTAGCGACAGTCTGAAGTGGGGCTCCATATTGCAAGGTATCCAGTATCCGGTCATATTGCTGCCAGCTATATATCCTTGTTCAGCAGCTGGGCCGTAGTGGTCCATGCGGATTCGCGTGTCCTTCCACTGGGAGTATATACTCGCGGCATCACCAGCCTGGAAGAATCTATTACTTTACAAGCGTCTTTCCTTAACTATAAAGTTAGACTTATCCATAGGCATTGTTTAAGTCCACGCTGTTTTATTTAAACATGTCTATCTGGAAAGTATGGAATACTGTTACAACCATAACGCATTTTTGGAACAAAAATTATGCTACCGACAGCCTATCCATTTAAGACGAGAATATATATATTTTTAATTACACATGAGGGTAGACATGTAGTTTACGTGGGGTTAATTTGATGGCAGGTGAAATACCCCAGCCATATAACATAAACAAGATGCGCTATCGACCTATTTTGGCTTTGGATATTCGGAAAAGTAACAAATCATAACGCTTATATATCACTCCTTAAATATGTATGTTAAGCTCAAGAATTTACGGACTAAAGTATATTAGCAAACTTTATATGAGCTATTATTTAACATTTAATACTTCTCATTCTTCTTTTGTACCTACTCGTAATACTACGCTAAATAATTATACATAATCATGTAATTTAAACTTACAACATAGAGATGCGTCCTCGCTTCCAGTTCGGTGTTGACGAGGAAACCTCCATTGACAGGGTCCGTTTCCAAGAACGATGGCCCCGCCATCTCTGTGCGGGGATCAGCACCCACACACACGAATACCTTGAACAAGAAATTACTTAACAAGATTCAATATAAAATATAATGAATGTAGACAAAAATGTAATCTACGACAAAACGTGCATCGTGAAATACAAACATTAGTTATACAAGAAAACATTACTACAAATATATTTTTGTTAAATAAGATACCAATACTTCTCTCCTACCGTTAACTTACATAGTCAGTAATAAGTGAGGTGCCATTAGATAGAGTTAACTCCAAGCGACCATCTGCAGATTCAAAGGCGTCGTACACTTGAGCTGAAATTTAATGTATTTAAGGTACTTACTACAAATTAAAATTACTATGCTGTGGGTAGAATCTCATAACAATTGTAAACGCGAACATTATTCGTTTTAAACTGTAATAACATAATATTGTTCGCATTTTTTAGGAACCTACTTAACTATATAGGTATGTATAATACGTAAAACGGAATATTGCTTAGCTGTAGTTATTAAACTAAATTTAATGATATAAATATTTGGTTCAATACTGTCTATAGTTTACGCGAGTAGTACACATTCAAGTAAAATACTTTAACGGTTTAAAACGCGATATATATTAGCTAAACTTACTTACTTGAAAATTATAGTTACGAAAACAAAACTACCGACCTTTCGATGTCTCCCCGTGACCTCGACTGCTGCAAAGCATCCAAAACGTCAGGCCGTAGTTAATTAATTTTTAAATAAGTTTAAGTAATATATATCGCGTTTTAAACCATTAAAGTGTTTTTTTTTTTATTTTTGTATTTTTTTAAATAAAGTATGCCGTATTACTCTGACGCATGCAATTGACACCCTCAGCCCGTATCTTCTCAGCGGCCCATTCACCAAGATATTCCGGTACAATTCCACCCAAAATCCCGCGGTCTTTGTATATCTGAACGAATTGTATGGGCTCTTCGTCTTCATGACGTTCCACCGCTTTATCTGGAAACAATAAAATGAAAATAGAAGTACCTATGTCCATAGCTAACCGTAACCAATGAACTTTCTTCGGGATTTCAACTCAAGCATAACATTTTTCATTAAACTAACATTCCATACTAATTTTCATTCCCAACTAAAGCGATACTTATTTTTTGCAATAACCGCCATCTATTGTTGAAGTTGTTGTTTCAGATACTACATTTGTCTTATTTTTTAGACCCATGTAACAATTTAAAACAGTCTTCATACTGTCTCGTAAACAATTGTGAAGCACTCACTCATCCTTCCTAAATGCCACGCCAGTTCACAGCCTAACGGTCCAGCCCCGATAATGGTCACATGTTTTGACTTCTTCACTTTTCTGTAAGCGATCTCGAGGTCCCTTACAGTGCGTAGCGTGCAAACTCTATCTCTTACTGCTTTTGGGGCATACTTGAATATGGAGAGGTTTCGAGGCTTGGATCCTGAAATATTTGGTTGGTTTATATATACCTACTATAGTCGAATTAGCGTGAACGTTAGGATATTTTAAAATAGCTTTAAATGATCTTATATTTAGGATAAAAATTAAGAAAGAAAAGATAACAGAAACAGTGGCAAGTGGAAAAACGGAGAAAGTATTAATCTTTGAACCGTTGCGTGCGCTCGGAACGGATTCAAGATACCCAAAAGTATCAAAGAATGAAAAATGTCCGCGACAATATATGTCAATCTTTTAAGACTAACTTGTAACACCGACGGGACGCGACGACGTCGAGAGTAACAGCTTGAATTTATAAAAATGAGGTTTGTAAAATTAGATGCCTATAATAATTATTCTAGGGCACAGCTAGTATGTTATTATTGAGGTATCACTATCGAAAAAAGAAAAGCAATTTTCCTTGATAACTGTTAGACTTTTTACAGTCAAATACTATAATAAGGTATATACCTGGGGCCAACAAGCACCTCTCGTAGTAAATGGGCTGTTCGCCGCACAGCGTCTTGACAAACGCGACGTGGTCATCCGCATCCACTCGAAGCACGCACCAGCCCGTGGCTATGGAGACCGCCGGACCCTTTTTCTTGCGGTAAAACTTCACGGGATCCAGGAAGTCAAGGCATTTAGCCAAGTACATACTAAAGAACAAAGAGTAATTTAAAAATGCAAAATAAATTGAAACAATTTTCGACTCTTTAATCGAATTTTTAAATATTGTGCCTTCATGTGCAATAACATGTAAAAAATAATAAAGTTTTCGAACAAAGAGTACTTATTTAAACGGTTTATATATAGATCTTAGGAAAAAATCTTAAGGTTATTTTTTAAATTAGAAATTATCTTACGTGTGCCTCTTGCCCAATTCGACGTAATTGAGATGAAAGATATCAGGCGGATCCGCGTTCCACCACATGTGCTTCGACATCGGCGGACGGTCGTACGGCAGGCAGTCCTCTTTCGAAATTATGAAAACCTATGTAACCAATAATATTATACAATACACCATAACAGTAACACAAAGATCGCGTATTTCGCATTGTACAGATGTTATTTTTGTACAGACCTGTCCACTTCGCATTCTTTAATTAAACAAGCAAATAGGAAAGGTAATGTGCGATAATTGTTGTTTACTAAACTGTCACTTTATATTCAGTTGATTTTTTTATTTATGGTTATAAGAGATACAGACATACAGTTTTTGTTTTAGTATTCCAATGACATTAAATTATTCACGGCAATAAGTTGGTAGGGAACGGAAGGACCTCGATTACCATTTTGTGTCCCAGTTCTTCGTACCTAAGTGTTTGTGAGAAAAAGAGAACATGATATTAATCTACATTATCGCTTTGATACTAACCTTGGCAGTTTTGTCATGCTCCATGATCGCGTTATACGCTGCCCAGCCCGCTGCGCCTGCGCCCACTATCAGGTACTGCACGCAAGCGGGCAGATCCGTGCTATGAAAGGGCCGCTTCATTTTGCGACGGGGGCGCCCTTAATTTAAACAAAACGATTTTTACGTAATATAACGCAACCAAGCAAAATAACCTTACCTAAGTAACAATCTCTCTTGTTTTTACGTATGAAGTAATGTACGGCACGTATACAAAGTAATTGTGGTTCTATCTTTTCGCCATACCCAAAAGACAAGTACATTTTAATCTTGGTAGAATTTTGTAGCTAAAACTGATCAAAAAGTTCTATTGTTTAAACCTTCGGCTTCGGACGACAATGGACCTGACATCGGTCTATCTTATAAATGAACGATACAATGAAACTCACATATTGGTACACTTTCGCCAAGTTTCTCTTTTTCTTGTCTCCACAAATACATCTTGTATAACTGTGAAAACATATTATAAGATAATATCGAAGCAACCTGATACAAATAGTAAGTGTTTTAACGTTAGATAAACGCAGAATAGAGAGAGACATTGTCTTATTACGGAGCTAATTTATTTCTTCTTACTACACCTCAATTTAATATGCTGCTAAGCTGAAAAACTTAGGAGCAGCTTGAATTTTATTGAGAAACCGTTACTGATAATTACTTTTTAGCGTTTAGCCGTCACGCTGCATAAAAAGCTATATACAAAAAATATATATTTAATTTTAAGTAAATTAAAAACCTAATTCGCTCTATAGACTTATGTTCTATCTTTAAATAAAAGGATACTTACAATACCCATAATACTAAGAAAAGAGCCCACAACCCAGACGTAGATCCAGGGGAAAGGGGGCGGAGGGGGAGGCGGGCACGTTGGCGGGTCTGGCACCGGCTTCACTGAACAGGGACCTTTTGTCCTCGCACACTCCAACATTGGCTTGCGATGTACATAATATTGTTAACTTAGCTAATAACATTGCTAACGAAAGAAAAACATATCTACACTGCAGTTACCTAAACTTGCCTAAACCTTTTGTCAATGAGAATCGTTTGAACACCAATAATTTAGCACACGAAGGCCCATCATCATAAAAATTAAAAATCGATTTAAGATTGATAAAACTTTAAAACACGGGCGGCATTTGAACCGGCATCCACAGCGTTCCGTGCTGTTGCTTCGCGATAGTGAGGTATGGCGATAATTTTTTTTTCAATCTAAAATGGATTTATGATCAGAATAATTCCAATGTTAAAGTTAAACTAAACATAATATACAACGTAACGAATTTATTATTAGCATCTTAAGCAACATTTGAGTAAACATTATTGATCACAAGAATCAGAGCCCGGTTACGGAGTGATTTGTTTGGGAACGTCTAGGTCCGCGGATTTGCCGGTTTCGTCCTTTTCGGCTTGCGCCAGTAAACCGAGCCGATCTAACGGCTTCCACGGCTCATGAAACGCGTATTTATATTTGTCCTTGCCGTGGTAGCCGAGCTTCGGCAACTCTTGCTTGTTATCTTCAGTGCTGACTAGCTTTTTATTTGGCTTCTCCTGCCAGTAGTTTGGATGCACTATCGGGGAGTCGAAGAATAAATCTTTTACACCGAACCCACTTCCGAATGTTTTATCTGGTTTGAAATAGTCATCAGATGCGATCTCCTGTTGAAAAATGTCACGTTTAAACATACAATATTCGTAAAGTTTAGTGCGTTGGACGAAATCTTCTAACATTAGGCTGTCTATAAGTATTTCTTCTTACCGATGGATCGGTTAATAAGCGCAGCACCATTGTGCATTTCGTTCGCCGATCATCGACATTTCTCCTTCTCCCTTGCCCTTTTTACCTCTCCCGAAGAGGTTCTTCAAAAAGCCGAAAAAGCCCCCGCTTTCTTCCTCTTGCTTGGCCTCCATATCCTCGGGGCACTGCTGTTGCTGTTGAGTGTGGTGGGGAAACCCAGGTTGATAATGCTCCTCTGTTACATTCTGACCTTGCTGTTGCCGCTGGTTGGTGCAATATACTCCGTTCCACTGATGAAGAAAGTACAAACTGGATTTCATTAGATTTATATCGCGTCTGCGTCGCGCAACGGGTTCTGATTTCGTCAAACGCACTCAAATGTTACTTATCTTAATAATTATGCGATAATTGACTATAAAAAAGGAATTTCTGAAGCTACCTTAGCATTGCTAGGAGGCAAAGGCGGGACGACCACGTCGGGGACTTTGATTCTGTAGGGGTCGTAATTGGGAGGTTGAGGTTCTCCGGGACAATCGCATCGCCAGGCGGGTGGGGGCGGATCGTTCTTAGGCCAAGGTTCAACCCGCTTTCCCTCCGTTTGAGCCATGTCCTTGCAACAACTCCCTTTATCCTTTGAATAGCATCGGAGAGGAACTACAAATTACATTGAAATTATTGAACCAGTAACTAAATTTACAATTTCTTACAAGATTATTCATTTAATTCGTGGGATCCCTTACCGTAACTTTTGTATGCCGCGGAAATAAACCCTTTATTGAAACTCCGAAAAGAGTTGAAGCAGAATCTGTTTGTCATATTTAACATGTTTTCTAATTTATTGCTCGATACAAACACAAATTTTAATTTTGAGGAATTGGTATGAAATTATTTACATTGTTATTAAATTAAATTGGAATTTTGATTATATGGAACAGTCAAAACGTTGACTGACGTACACATTAATTTCAAAAACAGAATATTATTTTTTTTAAGAGGTTTGCTTTACAAAAAGGTTTGTTATGGTTTTCGGAATACCAAGATGTTAGAAAATATATATATATATAATAATGTATTTTCAGAAAGTGATCACGACAATTATATTAACATAAACACATATTGTGGGCAGGTCCTATATATTTTGTATGAACCTGATAAAAATAAATTATTTACATCATACAATCCAGATGTATTCTGTAATTATTATTTGTATAGTGCACAGTAGTCGCGACTAGATTGATTACCTGGAGTTCGCGTATCTACTCGATTTCAATAGTTTTATTAATAAATATCCTTTTCTCAGGCGTTGTTACTCGTTAGCAGTAAACAAATATCTATTTCTCTATAAATAAAAGTTCATTGTGATAGTGTAGGTTAATCTCAAATTAATAATGGAAAAATATACGTTTATTTACATATAATATTTATATGGCTGTATACCACTAGTGAAACACAAAATACAAGGATTGTTATAGGTGTAGGACTTTAAATATAAAAACTTGCTGTTCTGTACTTTTATTGTATATAATTAAAATTTCATCGTCAAATGCATAGATTGTTATAAAATATATAAAATAAAATTAACGAACACAGGCGCAACAAATAATAATTACACTTAATATTCTCTACTGGTCCATGAAGCCACACACATACATTATAATTCGATTTTGGACTATAATAAAATGTTTTTTTGAGTCATCCGCTACAGAGTTACAGATAACCCCGAGAGATATTATACAGGAATATCTTGAATTCTTGGAAAAACTGTGTCATATTTTGAAAGAAATAAAAAAGAAACTATTTATTTGCTACTTATCATACATAAGGCAGCCATTTCATCACGACCTCATAATTAAATAAAACATTTAGTAGTATAATAATTAAGGTAATATTCCGGGGACTTTGAGGGCTCTCTTATCAAAAATCTAATTTATGTTTTGGTTCTCATGCAAATATGTGACTTGTTCCATAATGTGAATAATTACCCCTATAGGTAAGTAGATTCACTGTAAGTTTTTAACTGAACTGAACATGATTCAACTTCAAAAAGATATCGAAAAAAAAACAACACAATTTTTTTCTGATAACCTCGACAGTTATTAGCTAGTAAGTCCATCTTTCAATTTTATTCAAGACCAAAGAGCCAATTGACTCCCTGAACAAAAAACAGGACCAGGGGTTGCCATGCCACCATCCACCTGATCCAGTCCAGCATCTGAGCGTATAGGATGTGGGGACGGTCCCAGCTAAATCATTGTTAAGGAAGATTAGTGAGTGGTGATTGCAAATTGGCAACATGTTAATTTATTAGTATAAATGTATTTCTCGTAAATAAAGAATATAAAAAACTGTAGCTGAAGTAATTCTTAACAACAAGACCTGCAACAATTACTTCAATTTTTTTTTTTAATTTCGAGGAGGTCAGATAAATTTACGACTTGTTCATCTGCGGTGGTTCCTATGAAAGAAAGCCTTCATGTTGCCCTAAACGCGGAACAAATTATTTGTGACAAACACATGAAGAATAGGCGTCATTTCTACGAAATATACAGACAAATCATATAACTCTATGACAATGTAATAGTTGAGTAAAAGGATACGGGTTTGTGAACATCGCCTTAAGGTCTACCTTCTCCTTGCAGTAGGGGCAGGTCTCCTTCTTGCCTACTATGCACCAGCCACGTATGCAGAACTCGTGGAACACGTGGCCGCATGTCAGCTTGTATGTGTTCTCTGTAAATACGATAAGACACTGTGTTACCATAGTTTTATTACATTTACACTAAACCAATTTAATGTATAAACATAAATTTCTAATAAAAAAGTTAGCAAAATACTGGTTCTACAACCAAGACATAAAGTAATAGTAATAAGAAATATAAGTCACTTACCTAAAACTCCCTCCTCATCAATACTGACTAGTAACTTATTACCACAGACTGCACACACGTTCTGCTCTAGCTGCCTCGTCGGTATACCCTCAGCTGTGTAGTACTGAAAGTATATTATGGACAGAAATTCAAATACCACAAAACTATAATATCTAATTATGATAATGAATTTGCCATTGAATACATTATTTGTATAAAGATTACATACTAACTATATGCTTACTTACTACATGATTCAGTAATGTTAAATGGAATGAAAAAGGCAATCCCTTGAAAGAAAGTCTTTCTTTTTGTCTACAGGTACTTGTACAACATAAAAGATACAAAATACATGTGTTGTACTTAAAAAAACACTAACCCCTATAGATGCAGCCATTTGCTCAGAACAGTACTCTGCAACATCTCTACCTAAAACTCCAAAGTACAGGCCATAGAATAATGTGACTAGAGAAAAGTCCATCCACTTATTAGGTTTTTGACCAAACAACATATTTACACCTATTAATGTTAGAATGAGAGAAACATATCCAAATAGACCAAGTGCAACACTTGCTTTGTATATTATGTAGAACCATTTGTAGACTAATCTGGAAAGTAAGAAAAGATCATTCACAACATTGTTTTGATAGCCAATAAATTATGAAAAATTTAAATCAAACTAAACAAGAGGAGCTTCTGAAATCCTTTAAAACATTTACAATAATCAAAGTACAAACAGTTAAAGGATTCCAAAAAAACCCACCAGTTTCAGAAGACAATCTTGTCTGAGAGTAACTTGTCAACAAGTGGAGAATGTATGTTTTTTAAAGGAAATTAAAATAAATTTATTAATAGCAATCAAAATTTTCATTAAGAAATTACAATCTTCTTAATATATATTTGTTTTTAAACATGTTATGGTGTTGGCAACATAAGCCAATTCATATGTGACTGGAGGATTATACCTTGGGGTTGTTGGTGACATTGGCTTCTGAGACGACTTTCGGATAACTAATGCTGTGAGAGTTGTGAATATAAACCAAATGATTACAAATCGGTACCAGCCATTTTTAAGGCTCATTATCAATGGCATTGACCACATTGTTACCATAGTGAAGAGCTAAAAATATAAAATATGCTTCATGTAGTTTGTTATACCTACATATCCTATAATCTATACTAATAATATTTGTACTTGTACGTAATATGTACAAAATTACACTGGGTAAGTAAGTTAGTAATAATATTTTGTATAGATAGAGCTGTCCATTTTACTTCAAGTTTTATTTGTTTATTTATACATGAGGATGCTCGAGCAAGTGGCTTAAATAACAAAAAACACAATTTCTAATAAGAAGGAGAATAGAAATATGCAATCAACTTAGGTAAAAATAAATTTGGAATATTATTTGTGTAAAAATTATGTTATGTTAACAATTTTTGGTCACTCTTGTAGATTAATATTTTTAGACTATAAAAATATAAAAGTCAAGTCATAAAAATTGCAGACAAGCTACTCAGTCTCTAACACCCTCATATATTTGTATTTATGTAGTCGAATTATTTAAAATAAAGTTGTTACTAACATTATAGTAAGAATTGTACCCATACTCTTCTCACACAAATATATTCAATGTCTAGTGGACAGAGTGAGCAAGAAATCGGTCAATTATTATAAAAATTATACATACCGCATATGATCTATAATGACATTTTTTCCATTGTACAAAAATAATGTGTGTAACCATTAGGGTAACAAAAAATATAAGTATCATAGTGGAATGCATTGACTCATGGCCTTTATGTAATTCATGCATTTTTTGATGATCATATCTGCAAGAAAATATCACTTTTTAAAAATACATCACTTATTATATACTTATATTCCATTAAAATTTGGTACTTACCTGAATTTTTCCTCTGGAGTCAACTCATTGTAGCTCTGAAATGTTATGAAACTAATCATTTGAGCATGGGTAAAATACATTTCTATTATTCAGCTATGAAACTAACACTAATTTACTATTTTGACTAAGTTTATTATAAGATAAATATACTCCGTAGTTATAATAATAATTTATTGAGTAATAAGATACTATATACATGTATTTATATTATATTTATTTAATATATGTATTGTACCTTATTGGCGTCCACCGGTATGTGAAAATCATCCATGGTTAAACGATTGTATACTATAACGAGCGGCAAATCGATGCAATGTATGTCTTTACTTTCTCATAATATAGCAGTGAAATTAATTGGTATTAAATATTGAACACAAGACCTATATACCCCACATTTCTTATTAACATTCAAAACTCTAAACTCTAATGCTTATCTCTAGTTTTTCCTGAATAGAAATAAAATTATAAAATATCAGTAATTTTCACTTTACACGGCATTACAGATAAGATATAACAATTGACAGCTGTGCTATTTTTTTTAATAATATGTATTTGAGAGCCCGACACCTAGACTTTTAACTTATGACTAATATTATATCGATACCGGAGTGTATGTTATGTCTACTTCGTGTTAAGGGCACTACCCTTAATTTTCCTCGTTAGTCTTGGGTTTTCGAGCTGTGTTCGAGCCTTTGTAAAAATTAATTTACTGTCGACGTTTCGCCTACTTTCTTTTTTGGCTTAAAAACCTCGTTATAGGCCATAAAATATTTAAACTTGTTCTTCTTCTTCTTAATTTAGCATTGCTATTCTAAATGGATTCTGCCAATGTCATGTGTCTATTGGAGGAATGGCAAGGCATGATAATATAAATTATTATTGTTATATTTTTTTTCATCACTGGTGTTAAGTCAAATCATGAAAAAAAGTTATTAGATTTTAAATTACAATAGAAGTCAATGTCAAGAATTTAAAAAAATGATAAATTTTCAAATGTCAAACTTTCTTTTATTAAGACATAACACATCAGTAATGTGACAGATATATAAATAAATAAAATAAACAGTAGTAATATTTAACATATAGTACTACTTTAGAAAAATAATAAAATATCTACAATGTAAAGTACAATACAGACCATTATATATTTTGTACAATGTAAGAAATAATTGTTTAATAACAAATAAAGGTAAATCTTTTTTGAACCCTTTTTATTTGTATAAATCTTGGGTTAACTATTGTTATAAATAAAACTGTTTTCGTTCAAGAGATAAATGGGCCCATAATGGACACAAAAGTTCCTGTCAGCTCAACTCAGAATAAAACGAACACTAAAGTTGCTGTAGCAGTCCCTAAGCCATGTCTCAATAAGGTAGGAAATTGAAGAAGATCTATATTATAGTAACCAGCGTTTTTAACCATTGGCTTATAGCTCACACACATCTTTATTCCTCAAATTGTTTAAGAAGCTAGCTTCATTGATAAGTTATTCTTAAATCTGAGTAAAATAACACTTACAAATAAATACAAATTTACTATAATTAACATATTATAAGGAACCATATTTCTTATATAACTTATTAACAGTTCTTATTAAAGGTTTATTTAAATCTCGCCCGACATCCTTAGCAAATAGAAAGTCGATATGATTCCATTTGGAACAAGGACATGCTGGTCTCACTTCCTCTAAAACACCATTGGCTTTTAATTGGTCTGCAAGTTTTAGTGTCTCCTGGAACAATTTTATTGTTATTTTGTGAATTAAATGACCTGTATTTGCTTATCTTGCTTCAGCCAGTACATGATTTACTACAGATTAAAAAGAATTGCTGCATTGTGATTCAATATTTCAAAATACTTATAATTAATAATATTCTCATTAATTTACTATGATAAATAATGAAAACAATTATATTGCAAGTTAAATATGAATGTAAATGTTACTTACCGCCTTTTGTGTTAATCTATCAGACTCTCCATACAATAATGTAACAGGCACTTTGACATTAGACAAGTTATAGGGTTTTACAGATCCATTGATGCCTCCCTCCCAAGCTGTGAAGACTTTAGTTATTGCCACTTTTGCATAATGCTCAAATTGTTGCCATGCACCTGGTTGAACCCTTGCTATCCATACAGGGTACATATTCTATCAGAAGTTTATAAAAAAATTTAATAGAGCTTATCAAAGTGTTACAAAACCCAACCACAGTACAAATTTAAATACTAACATAACAGAAATGCACAGTGAGTATTGAGTTCTTGATTTTCAGCACTAAATGTTTGTCAGTAAAATGTTTGACAATACTTACCATATCCATTGGCTCATTGTGATTTCCCATTAAGTAAGAATTAAATTGCACACAAATGTTGGCTTGTGCACTCTTCTCGATGCACGAGTTAGCCAATATCGGCCACTTTGCGAAATCGGTTGAGTAAATACCTTGTTCTCGCATTCTTTTCTGTTGAAAAAAAACATTGATTTCATTAAATCCATTTCCAGTGCCAAGCTGCCTAGTGTTGCCGAACAGATATTCAAATTTCTTAAATAAATTTGCCGTTTTCGTTACGTGTTGTAAAAAATAGGCGTTCGTGTCTGTAATGTTATATGGCTGATATTTTATCATTAAATTATATAAATTGATATTTTAGATGTCGTTCAGATACTTACTGTAATACCTAAGTCATTTAAGAAAAACTGACTGATCCCCTCCATATTCCCCACGTACACGGCGGGTGCTAGTCCAACAAATGCGACGACCTTTTCATTATATTCAGGCCGTTCTGACATCATGACGAAGAAGCTGGTGGTACCCATTGAGTGGCCAATGTATAGAATCTTGTCCAGCTTAGTGATGCTTAAAATCTTATCGATCATAGCTGGTACATCGTATTTGCCGTGTTCCTCAAAACTAAAAGTAAAAAGTTATGATTGACCTAATTAGATACTTTATATAGTCCTCGGTTGAAAAATATTTCAGGGTTAAAAATAATGAGCCATAAAAAATTTCTATTGTTTTCTAACTATTATATAACAAATATATTAATAAAAACCCCTAAAAATCTATTGATATAAACTTCAAAAAAGACAAGACAAACGTGCTTTGCTTTAATTCATATTTAAGTCTTCGGTGCGTTAATCATTATTCAAGACTTCTGCTACTTCATCTCTAGTTACTAAGCGATATAAAACCTAAGCAAATCACTAGCAATGAAGGCATTTAGATGCTTTTCGAAAAATTACCTGAATTTCCAAAAGTTTGCATCCCTTCGTGTTAAATTTTGATGTCCACTGTATTGAGTCCCTCGCAAATTGCCCAGCCATACGTCGTAGCCAGCATCCGCGAGCATATAGGCTAAAAAAAGTCAATACGACACGTTTTGTCAGCATTTCTTTACTTTCTTTAGATATTGAAAGAATATCAAAATTGACTTACAGTAGTTGAAATATTTTTATCCGTCACGGGTCCTTAAAAAACAAATATTTCCTACCTTGTGTTATATTGTTTTCTTTGATAAAAAATGTAGGGTAATCTATACTAATATTATAAAGAGGAAAGATTTGTATTTTTGTAGGTAACGGATAAACTCAAAAAGTACTGAACCGATTTTAATAATTCTTTTTTCGTACGCGTCCCAATCGCGAGCCAGAAAATCTAGCGTCGAACGTTCAGTTCGTCTTCCAGAACGAAATGCAAAATCGTCGCAACTATACGAACGATAGTCAAGCGCTTGCAGCGACTTGAAGGAAATAGAGCTAGGAATTCGCGAACGCTCGCAGCGGCTCCTGACACAGCGAGATAGACAACGGTCATTAACAGCTAGGACGCGCAATACTTTTTTTTCTAATTTAGTGGTTCATGGTCGTTTTAATTAGCATGCTTATAATTTAAATATCTGTACCTATTTATGTCTACCCGTGCGAAGCCGGGACGGGCCGCTAGTACAAATATATATATTTTTTTCATTTAAAAACCTAAATCGCTCGAGAAAGATACTGATCCACAGATACTTTTTGACTATAAACTACACGACATTTGACCCATAAGGCATATGCTTAATTTATTACAGAAATACATTTTTCTTAATACGCATTTCTGCTTTTCCTCACCTCTCTAACTTTCTACAATTCTTACCCAAACTTCTATCAGGGCCCATGAGCAAAAAGTTGTCGCTGCTCCCCAGAAGTCCGTGCACCAAAAGCACAGCCTTCTTTCCCTTTACGTTATCAGTTCTCCTCGCCGTTCTTCTTCCAGCTGGTATCCTGTATATCTGCAAGATGTAGCCATCTGATGTGGTTACTCGGTGCTTGTTTACTGGGTAACCGGCAGAAGTAATAAGCTGAGGCTGCAAAAACATGTATTTATGTGATATTAGCAATAAAAGCTTGCAGATTTTGAAGGAATGGCTTCATCATCAGGGTGTTTTTTTGACAGATGTTAATGGTACCATTAGTTATTGATAAAGACCATTTTTCGAAGTGGCTTTTCTCTCAAAATGCTATTGAATATGTGCTAGGCCTTATTTGAAAGATATAGCGGCGTGAAATCTTTTTAAATGGCTTTAAATCTGTTGCGTCCAAAGTGTAGTTTTCCCCGATATAAAAACGTGGAATGAGTTCACAAGCAGACTTATTTAACCCTGTAAGTTTATATATAATTCCATATTTTGAATTCCTAACTTCCTAGAGATATCAGTACGATAAGTTTACTGGTCACATTTACAGCTGGTAACTACGAGTTTTTATTTATGCTCCGTTCCGTGTGCATTGAACTTAATGTTTTTTTGCATATTAAAATAATTATGTACGCGTTGGAGATAAAATAGAGATAATTTTTTCATACACTCACGTTTAACTTAACATGGAGAATAACGTAACGGGATATTTTTTCTGCAACATGAACATTGACTATGTAGATTTAACATATATTCTTCACAATAAATTTTTTTAAGTAATACCTACTAACCTAAACAAAATAAAATCGATCGTGTTATTCTATGGGTGTCACTGGCTTATCGTACAGACAATGTTGTAGTAGATGTGATAATGCTTGATCGAGGAACTGCTGTGTCGATTATTCGCAATTCTTTATATATAGCTTATGTAAATTGTAAAACATTATTATGATTCAACAAATTCGTTCAAACGTGTTGTGAATTATTCTGCCTCCAACCTTAGCTTGTCTCGTGATATGAATATTTAGGAACAACGATTTTTCTTGTACACTTGGTGCGGCAATTATGACACGACAAATAATAATTTACTTATAGGTATAGGTCGCATTTTGTAAACCGTAAAAACTCTAGATACATTTTAATGTATAGTTGCTTTGACTGTAAACATGATAATCTGTTAACAAAATTGTATATACAAGCTAAAAGCTTAGATAGACAAACCTTGTAGTGTGTTACATGTAATATGAAAATAAATCACTTCTTAAATACTGTCTATAGTTTACGCGAGTAGTAGGTACGCATTTAAATAAAACACTTTAACGGTTCAAAACGCGATAAATACATATATATTGCCATATTATAACGTTCAGTATTTCTCATAACATACCATACATACGTAAGAAAACTGGTGCTGAGTTTCTGAAACTCAGCACCAGTTTTCTTGCTTAGCTAATTCAAGATTAATGTATGTTATGAAAAATACTGAACGTTATATGTCAATGCTTATGTTTCCATGATTCTTATGATATTACAGTATTATGCAATACTGTAATAGTAAATACGTATACAAATCTTACATAAGATTTTCTGAAACTATTATTTCTCGTAATATAGGGACACGGAACACAATAGTTCAAACATCAGCTCATTAAGTAAATCACGATGAAGGTCGACATAGCATCCTTTGTCAGAAAGTTCTCATGTTTTCACATTGTGTCATAAATTCTGTTTTTTATTTTATTTTATTACAAGCACTATAAGGTATTATTTTTTTTTTCCAGCCAAATTGAATTTCGAACTAAATAACAAATTTTCTCTAAGATATTATTCTTTCCTTTCTCCTAAAGAATTTGAAGTTTATAAAGTAGCTGTTGTTTCCCAACGATTTATTTATTATGTTTATAAAGCTAATACCATTACCATAGATATCCTTCAAAGGGAAAAAAACTATACGGATAACGCACATTATAGCGATCTATTAAACAACTTTTTATATACGTTCTTCCTCGTGGAATTAATTCTATATATGTCTGTTAAAAAGCAATAAATATAAACAGGAATCCATTGCGACTAATTAAAATTGCTAATCGATAGAATTCCCTTGTTCGCTTAATATCGAAGTCATAATCATGTAATTTTATCTAATTTCGTTCGCATATGTTATGACGGTTGCGGAAATAAATACAGTCTTAAGATCAACTTCGGCGTGTTCTCAATTCATGTCCTGTAGCGCTCTGCTCATGCGCAGTTTTAATGCCATTTGGTTATTGTTAGACAATTCTATTATTGCGATCGCTTCCGTGGCTTGTTTGTTAGCGCTGTCTTGGTTTTCTGAATCCACGAAATATTTAGGATTCGAAACGAGAAAAAGAAGACTATATGTTTTATAAACAGCTTCGTGGGGGCAAGGTTAACAAGGGCGAGGGCTAAGACTACGAGAAAGATCTTAAGAATAGAAGTTGTTCTTTTTTTTAAGACCTTTTACGTTTCACGAAAAACTTAAAATATTTCTGCTAGCGTAAATGAAAAGTAAATTTCGTTTTCCTCACTGTCGTTGTTCAGACGTATGTGCCCTGTCCGAATTGAAATTTTGTTTTCCACTTTTCAAAACCTAATGCAACGCTAGGCTATGTGTATAATTATTACGACAAAAAGGGCAATATTTAAACAATAAAACATAATTAAATCTGATCTCACCAATAGACCGCCCAAATGTTTTACATAAGTATGGTAATTCAATAGTTGCCAAACCTCCTTGACTTCCGCATCTGATCTTCTTTGTTACTACATATATATGATTTATATTTATTCTACCTGAACTTCCTAATGTTGTTTGCGAAGTATATTTTTTATAGAACATCTGGTGTAGAAAAAACATCTCTCAGAAGTAGTCTAAGTAATTACGACTTCCTATTGAAAAAATAGTATTGGTGAGAGACGAATGAAAATGTATTGTCGTTTTTTTTTTTAGAAAAACGTAAGAGTAGGAACCTTTATCAGCTAGGCTTATAAAAAATAGGATCTACCGGTTCTCTTAACTTCCAAGTATACATATAGAATTCAATCAAAATTAGTTATGGATATTATTGTTAGGAGGAGAATGCTAACCTAAGTTACATGATTATTATATTTTATGTACATATTACTATATTTTAGTAGTTGTCAAGAGTTCTTTGAAGACTTTTATTTATATAGTAAAGTTTAAGTTTTAGAAATTAAAAAAAAATACGGTTTTTTATTATGTCCCTTATGGCTAACCAGTTAGAGACGACTTCATCGGTCAGTAGGGGTTACTTTTTTAATTGCTACTTACTCGTTATAATTGATAATTATATTTAGATCTAATATTATCATTCCAAAATACTTTGCATTTTAAGTAAAATCTGTTTTATTATTTCAATGGAAACGCTTAAGAAATATGGTTCGTATTTTAGGGTGACTTTACATAATACGTACATTTGTCTTTTTCATATATACAAAAAAAATCTTGGTTTTCCTATTCAAACGTAATTATTTTGTATTTTTCCGAAGATAAAACTATGATAGGCAACTAGTTCTCACTAATCACGATGAAGATTAGAGATACATTAATTACATCTATTGTAAATATTTATTTTCCTGCAACAAGTAAAGGATTGATTTTAAAGTAAGTATGTTGTATATTGGAGTATGGATCAGGGTTTTATTGAATTTTGGTGATTAATTTTTATATTTGTAGTAGTTAGTAAGGACTAGAAGTAAAATCAAACATCATCTATTTATGTTGGTGACTACTAAGTACACTTATGAACGTCAATGCAGTTAAAAAAAGCTCTACAATTGTTTCTATCAATTCTCGGTGGTTAGATAGTGGTATTTTTGTCTAACGAGTAGTAAGAATCGTTACGTAGCTTAATTATTTTTTTTTAAATGCAATTTTGACATCACGTTCGTGTTCTTTGGCTTTCAAATCGATTTTCTATTCCAAATTTCCAATCTTATCAATGACGATTTAAAACATAACATAAGAAGGATAAAGGGTGAGATCGATTTCAGGTTTAAAGACTAACCTGCATTAAATCTACTAGGATATAATTTATTTTTATCTAAGGCCTGGTTTTTGTTAAAAAATGTGGATTATGTATATAATTACGCGCTCTTACAAAAAATATGTATGTTCTTAAATAAATGAAGCACAGTTTTTTTGTGTTTAATTTAACAATGTTGTATATGTTTGAAAACTTTAATATGGAATGATGATGGAATTATATAAAATCAAAATCTATTTAGATTTTAAAAAATCATATGCGTTATATAATTTATATATCTATTTTCTAGTGCTTAAATAAAAGCTGAATAACATACCACCGTCGCATACGCTTCCTTGGGCAATATTTGGGCATTACAAATTACAATAAGCGCGAAAAACACTGCAAAAACAAAATTCATTTTTTTCTAAAATCACGAAAAATAATTAAGTAACGAGCCTCGAAAATACTATTAAGCCGTGAAAAAACTAGAAGTTCAATTTTGACTTAAATTTTTTTAAACGGCAAAAAAATATTTTTTAAACGCGTTTGCCTCTCGTAAGTTTTCGTATCGTTGTGATTTGCAATTGTTTACAAGCAACACGCTTGATATATTTATATCACGTTAAAAATGTGTAACTACGTCCGCGTGCTAAGTACATATCTCGAATAACTTTGTGACGCATCTAACGTACCTATACTTGCCGGAATATTAACACAGTTAGAAGCTTTTTGACTTAAAGTTCTTAACATTTTTTCGTTAATTAAGACTAATTATGAATCATTAATTTCTTAATTAACTTTAAACGCAAAAAATAGTCAATCAGTCGTTGTCAGTCTACGAAGAATGAGAAGATCTCTTACATTAGACTTTAAAACATAACAATTAGATGTTAAAAAAATATATGAAAAACTAGCTGTTCCTACGACGTCGCCCGCGTAGAGTAGTTATTTTGGATATATTCATTTATTTTTGCAAAAAAAATTCAGCTTGATAAATTATAGCTATTACCCACGACGACGCCCGCGTCCCATCGTTCTTGATTGTTAATCTCAAGAGACTAACATATACTGCCGCGGACAATTTTTTGTGTATTTTAACCAAGAATTTTTCAATTAGATCCAGTAGTTCCTTACATTTGCGTGTCAAACAAACAAACTCTTCAGCTTTATATCATTATGATAGATTACTAAGAAACTAAACTCGTGTTGGCTGGACAAATTTAGACAGAGGTACTTAGTATAATTACCTGCAGTATTTTTTTTGAATTAATTTGGCTCCTACGTTACATTAACCTATGCGTACGAGTGTAAAAAACCTCTAGTTTTTAATTAACACTCGGTTCTATAAATATACTATGATCTAATGGTAAATTAAAGGATTATTTCTGCTATCAGGCCAAAATTAGATATTTTTTTATATTCCTACCCGATTACACGTAACAAAGTTGAATTGCGTGCGTTTTATTGAGAATACAATATTTGTGACAAACCGTACAAATAAATTTACGCTCCCAGTTGCTTCACCGTCCTTTTCTTTGTCTACTATACTTCGAAACCCTAATGTATGTCACGATAGGTGTCGTTTGAGGGTCGGGTCATTATCTTATTTGTATAAAAAGATACACTATTGAAAACATTAATATTTTTTCCCATGTTTTTGCCCATGGGGGCCCCCTTTTTTTTTAAAATTGAAATTTATTTTAAAAATTTTCCCCCCCCGGGGGGGGGGCGCCCGCCCCCCCCCCCCCCCCCCCCCCTCCCCCCCCCCCCCCCCCCCGCGGGGGCGGGGGGGGGGGCGGGGGGGGGGGGGGGGGGGGGGGGGGGGGGGGGGGGGGCGGCGCCCCCCCTCTTTTTTTTTTTTTTTTTTTTTTTTTTTTTTTTTTTTTTTAAGATACACTATCATATATCAACTGTTTACAACATAATCAAGATGCTTTAATTTTTTATTTAATGTCAAATAACAAAATCGCTGGTTATCTAACAGGTTTTGTTGCGTCTTTGTTAAATGAACCCATAGAATTTTCCACAATAAATAAATATTTTTGTTATTTTTTCTGTCTACGTGGAACTATTATGAGACTATAGTAGTTACGTCATTATTAAATCAACTTGGATTTTGTAAAGGGCTTACTGGTTGTTTGTCATAACTTCAACGACTCGATAGATTTAAAGAAAATTTATAATAATAACATAATGTATAAAATATTGATAACGCCTTAAAACGCAAAATATATAAGTTAACTTTTACTAAATACGGCCTGACATTTGGGATGCTTTGCAGCAGCTATTGTCACGGGGGACTACATCTGCTGCAAAGCATAACGATACGAAACGTCGGGCCGTAGTTAAAATAAATTGTAAATAAGTGAACTGATACATTTCGCGTTTTAAACAGTTAGAGCGTTTTTATTTACATGTGTACTACTCGCGTAAATTACAGACAATACGTAGTGTTTACTTTTCATCCCCAAAATTTAACTGGTGCAAACGGCACTTTTTTAAAGTTTATACTTTTCGGGTGATGGACCTACGAAATATTAAATACAATATAATTTTAAATATTTAATTATTATACATACTACGCCGTGAAGTTAATTCTGTATTGAGGTATATTTGCATTTTCCACAGCCGGTCCTAATAAAAGATCCTACTATGTCGCCGGGCGCTTCAGGTGAAGAAGAACGACCAGAACTCCTGGGTTCCTTGACAACACAGCAGCAACAGCGAACTAGTGCCAGGGTTATCAAGAAGCTGCGACTGGAGTCTCCAGCCGATAAAAGAGGTGTGATAAGTACATAGTTTGCCAACTTTTTAAGCAAAAAAAGTTTGATTTCTTATATTCCTCTTGAATAATTAATATTAATAATTTACAAAAAAGTATATTAAGATATACTCTTACGATGAACTTTAAATGATTACGTTTACTTTTGTCATAGCTGTAGTATATATGTATAGTACGTGCCAATTTGAATTATTGTGAAAATTATGATAGTAGGTGAAATACCCGAGCCTATAGCATCTAAACGATTTATACGATGCGCTATCGACCTATTTTGGCTAAGGATATTTGGAAATCCACAGAGTAAAACCGAAACGTGGTTAAACTTCGCGACGTTTTCATCTGTGTAACTGTTCGTAACACGAATGGAATTTCGATATTCCTACCACCCTTTTGATATCCAGATTTCCACAAGAAGCCATTTAACATGTTTCAGAAAAGTTATAAATTGATTAGAATTTTTTTTGGCCCGATGGGGATTAAACCCACTACCCATTGATTATTAGCAATTGCTACCATTACACCATCGAGCCCAGACTTATTTGGGGACTTCAGCGGTGTATGTATTTTCATTAAGTTAAGTAAAATCCCGTTTCGCCCTCGTGGGGCAAGGGGCGAACACATTGTGTTCGTTTCACTGATCCGTTCTTTAACAAACAAGTACTTGATCAGACTTCTGTGCCCTGCAAGACCGAAACAATTTTTTGTTTCCTTCGGATTTAATTCCGTAGTGTGTTATAAAAGCTTGTTCTTTAACTCTTGACAATGTTATGCATCCTGTAAAATGCGATGTTTTTTACTCAATGATTTCTCCAGATACAACAGAATGTGACACGCCTAAAATTGACGAAAAAGACCCACCAAAATTCCCAACCCAGTGCGCTGTCAAACAACGGATGCCCAAAGCGCTATGGTCGGCTGACGAGAAAAGTTTATTCTTCGAAGCGCTGAACGAGTATGGAAAGGACTTTGATGCCATCACCGCGTATATTTGCGGCAAGATGAAAAAGAAGGGGATGACGGACGGTCTCAAGACAAAAACTCAAGTCAGCCATTTTTATTACAGGACGTGGCATAAGCTATCTAAGCATGTACAATTTGACGAGAGTGAGTATGTTTAGTATAACTTTGTATTACAGATTAAGTAAGGCCCACTGAGTGGTTTTACCACAAAACATGTTACCCCATCAAAGAAATAAAAGCATTTTAGGAAGGTACCCAAAATAAATACGATAAAAATACATTGACTGATAAGAGACACGATGACAAGCATTTACTATCGTCATATTGATGTTTAGACATGTTTATACGAACGCCTCAACTTATCCATGTCAGCATTTGAGTCGTTTGTGCTTAATTTTATAATTACCTCAATAAATATTTTGTAGGAAACGATAAGATAACAACATGATGAATCACTTACACCGTATAAGTGATTGTTAGGTATCACCTCTGTGGTTATTTATAACTTAGTATAATTCGCGATCAACTGTGAATTATTGAAGTTCAAATTGTACATACAAACGATAAAAAACCAGTTATTTTTGATAGATACATCTTCGTTTTGTAAAAACGTATTATCATGTTCTAGAACCTTTTGGCACAATTTAAAACTGGTCATTTATATGATTTTTATGATAAGTTGAAACTGGCGCATTAATGAGCGTAGAATCTACCGAAGCAGGAATTGTCTCTGCAAGATTAACATTAAACGGTCACAATATATAACACTTTAAATTTATTCATATAAAATGCGTATTGCATAATACATTCCGTATGACAACTGTCTTAGAATAAAACTAATATACCTAAAAGCAGTCCTTAAGATTTACATGACTTAAAATACAATAATTTTATAAGTTCATGTTATCTACGATCTATTTTTATGTAGAAACCTACATAAAAAGGAGATTATATTTGTTTAATAGACATTTGTCCAATTATTTTTACGCTTAAATGGTTTTTAGTAAACAAAGACAAAAATATCCTTGTACCGAGAAGAATAATGCAACATAGCGTAAAAAATCTTTTAGTTTTTGCGGTATTGTTAAATTGCTAGCAAGTCACATCCTCATGTCTATTGGAAAATTACGTAATAAAGCGATTATTTCACACTTTTAGGAGAAACTTGACAGTACCTTTTTATTGTCTGCTTAATTATTCCAGACGTAAAAAAGGTGGCCCAAGAGCTTTATGCTCTGATAAACTATGGAGAGTTGCGGAGAAAGCTCGCATCTGTTAGCGAGAAGACTTGCGCACGCCTCGGGGAGATGGTACGGGGAGGAAGCATGGCGGTACGTGCGAGGGGTCGAACTATGCGCGTGCGCACACCCATGTGTCGGGCCCTTCGCCGCCTTAATCAGATCACAGGTATTATTTTAACTCGATAGAGGATATAAAAATTAGATCTATAGTATCCAATTACGATGCACGGCCGGCCTATTCTTGGCATACTTCTCACTTATTCAAACAATAACAATAAAAAAAGAATATTTTTCATTGTTTTATATTGTAACTAGATTCTGATTATAACTAAATGCAACTCTATAAAATAACTGCCTTAACTTTAGAAGTACATAATATGTGTTAAGCTATATTGATAATACCTATAAGATTTTATCCAATACAAGCAAAAGCCCTAAATTCATGCCCTCTGTACTTCGATCAGTAGAACAAATTATTTTATACAATACTGTTATTGAATGGTTGTTTTATGCACGTGATACTTAATTGGGGTCATTACAACCTTCACTGAACTTAGCGTAATGAAACTTGATGTAACATTGTGTATGTAGTCAATACGTGTTATCGATAGAACTAAAAGATAGATGTGATTTTTATTTCTGTTCAAAACCACGATCTTTCTGAATTTTATGAAAAAGATTGCATTAATCAAAGTAAAAAGAATAGGTGTAGGTTAAAAAGCCAAAGTAAAAATTATTTACTCGCATAGCTAACTAGGTACACTTATGAACAAACCAATTAAAAAAATTAACGCTAATTTGTACATTTACGACCAGTTCTCAAATCAACGGTGTAGAACGAGCGAAAAGAACTGGCAAGAAACTCGCCGCCACTCCTTTTATCGCCAAGTTTCAGTTACAAATTTTAAGCACTTTAAGTGTTACTATATCTTTTTCCTTTTTAAATTAGATTTCATCAAATCCCAAGCATTGTCGCTTAAATATGTCAAAATGACCCTTTCTAAGTTTTTGTTTTAAATACGATTTAAACTTATTTATAGACAGTTAAAACACATATTCACGTAAATCATAAAGACCGGAACTTGTAGTTTGTACAGAATATAATTTACAATGTAATAAAGTACTTATTATATTTTGGTAGTAATAGTACCTATGCAGGATATATTTGAGAAGCACTAATTTATCTGTTCGGGGTACAATGATATCTACATAAAATTAATTACGTTGATCAATATCATTCATGTTCGAGTAGTTCGAAAAATTATTTTACATTCATAAAATAGTTTAGCCAATTTTGCAAAATAGATACCTATAATGCATGTTCTGGAAATGAAAAATTAAAAAAAGATTTTAATCGAAATTTGGCTCTGCTTCAAAAAAAATAACCATTTCCTGCATTTAACTCAAACTAGTATGAATGGCGATTGCTATCAGTACGGAATCATATTAAAATACTTTAAATACTTATTTATTCGCATAAAGCTATTATTCTGAAAGTAATCTATACTAATTTATAAAGCTGAAGAATTTGTTTGTTATTTCTTTGTTTGAACGCGCTAATGTCCGCGACAGTATATGTCTCTCTTTTAAGGTTAAGTTGCAAGAACGATGGGACGCGACCTGCGCCTTAGGTAACACACAGGTATAATTTATAGGCATAAGGCCTCAGATCTGGTTTGCAAAAAAAATGATGCCCATGTAACTATTTTACGCGGACGAAATCGCTAGAACTGCTAGTTATATTATAAAGCCAATCTCCGCTTCTAACAGAAAACTGACTTAAGGAAACTTGCGTTACGAATCCTTTAGGTCAGGTCACTCTTTCTCATAGCATCTTGTCTCAGGTTCTTTTGTTATTTTATGTAGAACGTGTTTGTGGGACTCGCGTCTGTTCGCGTGCACAAGTGGTTCTGCGCGCGCGCAACTCGAGCGCATGGGCGCGGGTGCAAGCGGCTGCTCACAACCCACGCTTGGCGGCTGCTTTACCACTTAGGACAAGACTTGCTGCCTTCATTAGGGCGCTCCAGAAGCGTTGGAAGTCCGTATCCTTAGAAAAAAATACTTGTTTACAGAATCTATGTTACATTCTCGAAAATGATTGTTTTGGTATGACGGAGCATGGAAACTCATTACCGACTTTTAAAACATGGCGATAGAAATATTTATTTCATGTAAATAGATAAAATAAAAAACGTTTAAAAACTAGTTCGATTTAAAAAAAAAACACTAACTTTAACCTTTTCTTAAAATATTTGAAAATTATTTTACCTACGGTCCGACGTTTCGGATGCTTTGCAGCAGCCGTGTAATCATTTTCAAATAAGGTTAACGAATATAGTTCGCGTTTTAAACCGTTAGCGTTTTACTTAAATGTGTACTACTCGCGTTATCAACGGACAATATTTAAATAGTTCAATGTGACCTTGACGCTACACCAGGCCAACTATAAAGAGAGAGTAATAACAAACGGCATAGACAAGGATCACGCGGACCCAGAAGAGCATGAAGTCGCGGATACCAACGACGATGAACTAAAATCACATCTCAACCTGAAAACAGACAGGATCATTACTGCAGGTAATGTAGTTCACTAACGTCTAACGTCTAGCATCTATAGTTTACACAAGGAGTCCAAATTTAAATAAAACTCTCTTAACGGCTTAAAACTGAAATAGATTATAGTAGTACAGTATTTATGAAATAGATTAATTAAAAAAAACAAATAAAATAGTTTTAACTGTTTTATTGAAATGTCACAATCATCCACAGCTTTTACATCGTTAATATTTTTGTTCCTCGACTAGGTGCAGGACTCTTGATTCAAAGACTACACAACTCTGAAGCAACACCTCTGATTGCAGATAAACTTCTTAAACGAATCATAAGTAAATACAATTCTATCATTAAGAATAATATTGTGTTTCCAGAAAGTAAACTACCAAAGAAGCTGGCGTTACATCTAGGACCACGACCCGGAGTAGAGATTCATCTTCCTGTTCTTAGTCCGAGCGAACAGCTCTCCAGTCAGAAAATCTGCTTCTCATCGTATTTAGAGAGGATGGGGTCATTGCACCGGGATAAAGATAGCTGTAAATATTTTACTACTTAAAACCTACTGTATAATATACCGATTGATTGATTAGTTAGATACTGAATAATGTCAAGCAAACGCTGAAAAGTATAGAACTTGAATGTTACTTTAACTTTTTTGTAAATTACTTACTTTTTAATATCTAGTGAAAATACGGACACCGAAACGACAAAGAAAAGACAGTACATCAGAAAAAGATAAGGACGAATCTAAAAAGGTGAAATTGGAGGACACAGACAATAAATTGGTTAACATTGACGAGACCGCGATAGACGGAATAGAACTAATGGCGCATTTTAAAAATACTCATGATGATGAAGAAAAACCTAGTACTGAAGACGAAAAGGACCTAAAATCTGAGGAAACTGCTGAGGAAGACGGAGAACCGTTAGAGAGAGAGAACGCTATGTCGGAAAGAGAGAAAGATAGCTTCTCGGAGATGGAAGACGAAGAGAAGTACAATAAGAGCGACACAGATAACGAGAGTGATTGCAAAATGGACAAAGATACCAAGTTTAATCATCTGAAGGTAAAATTGTAGTTACTTAATTATCATAACTATGTAGTTGTTTGAAAAATTATTTGCTTACAGCCAGAAAAGGCACTGTATTGAAATACCCTTTAAAATTAAATAAAATAATTTAAATAGCTTTTCATTGCTAAAAATATTATAATAATTGAAAAATATAAACGTTCCTTATTTACGTTTATGATGTATATTATTAATTAAAACTTGCAGGTGAAATTTCGAATACGTCCAAAGAAACGAGGTGGTAGTATCTATACGTTAGTTTTAGGCAAAGACTGTGATGATATTAAAAGTGAAGAACTTAAAACAGAGGAACCCAAGGTTGAGATTTTATTTAAACTTATGTTTATCAAAATTATCTGTAATCACCGCCTATTTATAAATAATGTCAATTTTAAAATGTTATTATTTCAGAGTGAAGAAGAGATAAAGCCAATAATAGATGTAGAAACAGCGACACGACAAATCAGAGCGGGTTGGAGCCAATACGATGCTGGAGATCTCACTATTGGGGACTTATACTTAATGGTATGTTGGCACACCTCATACGGTAGGTGTTACGTAATCAACGTCTTATGCCTAATTTAATTTTTAAAATCCAAAATCATTTATTCATGTACGTAATAAGGTACACTTATGAACGTCAATACGGTTAAGAATGTAGTGTCTGATGTCATCAAAAACTGTATTTTTTTTCATATTATGTATTTATACTATTCTTATGATAAATTCAAAATTGCAGGTATATAAAATATTCCTTATTGCATTATTGATTATATTATTCTTGTAGTTTGGATCGCGTTCAAAACTTGAGCTGGACTATTGGTGGGCGGAAGCCACGCCCCCTTTACCGCAATCAATCAAAACGAACAAAACTTCCGACACGGACAAGTTAGACAAAGATAAAATTATCGAAAAGAGGGAGAAGGGTAATAAGACTCCGGAGAAGGTGGACAGCACTGTGGACGATGATCGGGATAAGAGTGACACGGATATACTATTCTCGCCAAAGAATACCTTTAGTCACGATAGCAATGATGGAATGTCGGGAGATGAGAGGAAAAGTGAGTTTCGTATTAAATTCATTTTAGGGAATTTTTTGGGTAAATGTTTTTTTTTTTGTGTCAAATATGTTGTGTGCTAATTTTAACTTTGCTATTTATAACCTTATTATTTTTGGAATTTGTAAAAATCAATAAAAAAATATATATGGTAGTGAGACGGACGAGTAGTGAGTATTTTTATTGTCTCTTATAGGCGAAGCACTCGCATCTCCTGATCATAAATCATCAGGGACCTTGAAGGTGGTTAACAAATTGATCAACCGGGCTGATACGCACCCTCCGTCCGATGGTTTTTCATTGTTGAGCGACAGGTATGCTTTGAATAGATGTGGTTATAAAAGTTATAGGTACCGCTCCACGTTTTAATCCAAAAAGAGTTATTTAAACAGACAGTATTAAGAAAAATTGCATTTTTATTTATATTATAATAATCAAATATTTGCATGTTTCAGGCTAAAGCGTCTCCTTGCTTTAGCTGGCAACACTCACATATCTACGGCCGCCAACACGTCCGTATCGAAATGCAACTGTGGACATGTCTGTCCTAAGAAACAGGTATTGTATTAGTTTTGTTTTATATTTAAACACTAATATTTACCACACATTTACACTCTGGCATTATATAATTAAATATGTCTTTTTATTTTGTTTTTTTTTTCGTTTCATTACCTTATTTCTTTTCTTTCAACGTTTCATTGGTATAAGATAGATGTGTGATAAATAAGTGATTTGATTTTTGGGATAAAGATTAGTGACAACAATTTCACTTTGTTCAATACAGTGCAGTGTATACAATAACGTCTACTAAACAAAATATGTTTGAATTTGAAAAAGATGATTTTTTATTAAATTCTTAATTCACGAATTCACCCATATACAAGTTCACTTAGAACTACCAAAAATAATATAAAAATATATATCAATTAATTTTTTTCCCTTTTTCAACAGAAACCTCAAATGTACACGCCTCAAATGCCCATCAACATGATTATGAAGAGCGATAACCATTCCATGTTTCGACATCCAACGCCCATTGCGCCTCGTCCCTTCACTGAGGTATAAAATAAATAACATTTTAGTTACAATAAACTGTTATAGTACAAGTCGTTTATATTTATAGTTATTATGACTTAAATCTTGGTCAGAGTATTATTTAACGTAATATTATTACGTTTAAATTATATCTTCTCCAAAATGCATTGGAACTCCCAATGGAATCAAAAACAAACGTCACTATTTATCCGTTAAGTATGGACTTTGCAACTCGCATTATCCAATACGTACACTGACTTTGATTTTAAGAGATTCGAAGTTTCTTTTTCTTTTTTTTAAATGTTACTTCTTCAATGCCTTTAAATTGTTTCAGAACCGTAGTCCAATGAACCTGGATGGCTTACCAAGACGACGTCGTGGTAGACCGCGCGTGTCCGAGCAAGACACCCAGCGAGTTGTTGTTCAAAGGCTTTTGCCGTTATTGCCAAAACTACCGCCACCTAGCAGTGAGTATATGGTCAACATACGGGTTATCCTAATTTTGTTAAAAGGATAAAATATATCAAACGATAAAAAGGCTCCAAAAAAACAAGTAATTATTTTAAGATATACGATATTTTAATAAAATTCCTTTGGAAAGGATTATTATAACGTAAATCAATATTTAAATGATAATAATGCTTGGGGAATGAGAAAACTGCTCCAACAACGAAAAAAAAGTGCTTGACAGGCACAAAACCTTGACGATAAAAGAATTGTTGGCAAGTTTATCGTCAGTTCTTCTCTTTCGTTCTACGGTCCTAATTTGGGGACTGTTTGTAAATTTAATTTTAGAGTTTTTAATTTCTAACTGTTCGTAAGTGTGCCATGCTACCTACATGATTGAAATGATTTTTGATTTCATTTGTTTATAGTCAAGTCGGTATCTTTTACAGTTAAACTAATTATATTATATTTTCAAATACTACTTTTATTACTAAAATTTCAGATTTGATTCCGGTCAAGTTAGTGCCCAACGTATCTCCACCAGTGTTACCAAAAATAATACCCAAGCCACTTACGTCTACTAGCGAGTAAGTATAGTTTGAATTAAGTTTCTACAAATATTTATTTATAGTTAGGTGTGTATTCAAAAAGGTTAAATAATGTTGAAATAAAATAATAAAAGAAAACTAAAATTAAGTAGAAGATAATATTAATATATTAATAATACCTAATAATCAATATACGAAATTTATTTTTTAAATTAAACGAGAAAAAATATACTTTATTACAATATTAAGTGATACATCGGTTTAAATGATAGATTAAAAAATTGAACATAATTACTATGTATGGTTTTAGTTGGTCCGCCTATTACGTCCTGAGCGAGTCGAATGGTCAGTTCTTCTTCCACGATGGAGATCGCCGCATCCTAATCAACCCACCAGAGGACGATGAGGAACCTGGTAATTGTAATTCCAATATTAAAAAGAAAAAATAACCCACCACAATGGTTTTTACACCTATCATTATTAATTTACCATAGAAGCAAAAAAATCAAAGATTTATGGACTCACTTTTTATCTTTTGTTTTAGACGATTTTAACCAAGAAGAAGTGGACATTAAGAACGTAAAAAAAGAATTGTCAAGTCAAAATGGCGACTGCGATAAAGTTAAACAGGAGTCCAACTCAGAGCCGGCATCGATGAAGTCTGAACAATCCGATATGACGAGTAAGATTTGTTTAGAACTGTGACTTCGTCCACGTGGAAAAGTTATTTTGGGCATCAAAATATGATGTTTCACCTTTAATTTATCAAGGAGGTGTATGCAAAAATAAATAATTTGATGCCCAAAATTCCACGCGGACGAACACCCTTTAGCATAATGTTATGAATACGGTTAAACGCTATTGCTGGCGTCTCCATTTCAAGAGAATGAACACACACATTATATACTTATTTAATTTTGATGCGATTTTGTTAAATTCTTTAGGTTTCTTAACGTCAGAATCGATGTCCCTTTCCCCATCGCGACTGCTTCGGGACGCTGATGGCTGGTTGGAAGGTTCTGTGCAAGATTTTTCTCTAAGCTCCTTCCTGAACCAACTGGAAGGACGTCATTCTGATACCACGGTATAATGTTCATAACTCAAACATGGCTTTCATTTGATGGTAAGTATAATGTCACAGCCCTTTTAAATGTTTAAACAGGTGGAGTCCCAACTACAGTCGCTAATGGCAGAGTCGAGTGTAGACTACGTCGCTAAGTTCGCGGACTTAGCCGCTGAAGTCGCAGAACATCGAAATCAGAACGAAGAACTTCCATAAGCATCTTAACTGTACGACATCATCACTAAACATAGAGATGTAGAAAGATGTTTTTGAGGCTGTAGATTGAGTAGGGGATTTAGGTGACAAATTTAAACTTATCTTTCGTGTTTTAATATACTAGAAGGTAAAATGATATTCCAGACCTATATTCAGTTGACATAATTACTATTATTATTTAATTTTGTACACAATGTTTGTATTTATTTTGTGCTTGTTTACGTCCGCAACTATATTTGCGTAGATTTAAGTTTGACTTAATATTGGCAGCATGTTCTTTTTTAAGCAAAAGAAAAGTAATATAAAACTATAGCTAAACAACCTTTTTTATCAAGTAAATATTTATTGACACATGGATTATCCAGATGGATAAACTCAGCATAATGCATAAGATTTTAATTACATTTTGTATCCCGCGACTCTTCTAATATCTACAATTAGTATTTAATCATTGTCATAATTGTACTGTCAAACTATTACTATGTTCATGCTTTTAGTATATTATTGTTTCAATTATTATTTGGTTTAATAATGTGATCCTGTTTATTTTTAAGACAATTTTAACATGAGATAATATGCTTATGATATTTTTTTAAGGTTTTACCTCATCCCAATATTTGCGTTATAACTTATAACCATGTAAAATAAGTTTTTAATACACATATGCAATATAATTTGTCCCAAGATATTATAAAACATTTGATTATTGAATTCTGTGTTTCACTCTTTCCTTTAAATCCAAAACATCCTTGCTCAGTTAAATTGATATTTATGGTATTTAGACCAACCTATAAACAAACTAAAACTCGGTAAAATTATAGTGTCGTATGAAATCGATCTTCTTGCATGATATTTTTTAATAACTCCGATAGTTAAGATTTTTGACAGTCACGTTGACATCACTAGATTGAAAAATTGTCAATTGTCAATAATTATAAGAACAAGTGATGCAGTTTTGCAATATTCTCTCTTTTCAAAATAATGCATTAATGACTGATTTATTGTACATATTATGTAAGGAAATAAACGTGCTTTTATAGAATTAACTGCCTCCTTAACATATTTGTACTTAAAACCATACATTCCACTTTATAAATATAGGACCCGGCATTTTTTAAGATCACTATGTTTTGGCAATGTTTTACGTAAGTTTTTAGTAAATATAACGTTATTTTACTTAATATATATGATATTATATATATGGTGGAAAAAGGATTAAGGATATTGGAATTAATATAATCTTTCAGCTTGCTAATAGTACTACCGAGCCTATTTATTGGAGTTCTTTTATTTGGAGCGTTTGTGATCATTCCTTGTGCATTTATATTTGCATCATGGTACATGCGAATCAAGGAAAGAAAGCTGCAGAGAAGACAACGGGATGGAGCGAATGTGGCATTCTTTCATCCTTATTGTAATGCTGGAGGAGGCGGTGAGAGGGTGTTATGGGTCGCCATTAAGGCTATTCTGTCCAGGTATTGAATTTTGTCAAATTGTGATATCAATAGCATAACAAAATTAAAATCGTCACCTGTCTGATTGTCAACTATCAAGGTTTTGATTTTGATTGCATTTAGTTGTTTCTTAATATATATCTTATTTTTCTACCGTACTATAATTATTTTGTATTCAACTTACCATGGTATACTTTTTCTTTTGTGACTATTATCACTTAAAAATGTGGTATTTGAATTTTTTTTAAATATATAATTTTGGTGTTAATTATCTAGTTGACTTATCTAAAAAATATTTCAGATATCCAGATACCCACATCTTTATATACACATTGGAAACAGCAGAACCTAAAACTATTTTAGATAAAGTTCAAAACCAATTCAATGTAAAGATAGAAGGAAGTAGTGTAAACTTTATAAGGCTTACACTAAAGAAGTCTATTGAGGCAAAGACATATCCTTACTTTACACTTCTTATGCAGAGCCTGGGATCTATGGTCCTAGGAATGGAGGCTTTTGTTAAATTTAATCCAGGTTATAAAAATGTTTGTTTTTTGTGATTTGTGTGTGTGTGGTTTTGAATAGTAGAAAATATAACTTATATATTTCTATATTACATGACAAAAAAGTATATTTATAAATTGTAGGGACAAAATTTTACCAAGTCGAATGCAAAATTTAAAATTTAACCGTCAACTACTTTTCTAATTTTGTACATTAATTTTGACGACAAGTCGTCAGTAATTATATTTAACATTTAACAACCACCAAAATGCAAAAAGATAACGATCAATTTACAAATTTGAACTTGCAACAACCAACTACACATATATCATTTAATAATCTTGATATATACCTTTACAGATATCTACATAGACACAACTGGATGCGCATTTACCTATCCTATATTCCGGTACTTGGCTCAGTGTCCTGTAGGTTGTTATACACATTATCCAACAATAACGCCCGCTATGATGCGCCGTGTAAAACATCGTATCACATCATATAATAATTCCAGTATAATTGCTCGTAACCCTATACTCACTTGGTGCAAACTAATGTACTATAGGATATTTGGATGGGTAAGTTAAGATAGAGCAAATAGGTATAGTCTGACAAATACAAATGAGTTAAAAGGTGAAAAGGAGAGCCACAATAAATTTCACATATTGTATATGTATTTCAGTTATATAGTGTAGTTGGTCGTTGTGCTGACATTGTGATGGTAAATGGTACCTGGACTGAGGAACACATTAACGAGTTGTGGGGTATTCCACTTAACACGCATCGCGTTTATCCTCCATGCGAGGTGAGTGAACAGAAGTTCGCTATTACAATTGTAGGCCACAATTAAATTAATTACTTTTTAGGTTTATACTATCAATAATATGAAACAAAAAAATTTTCAGGTATCAGAACTCAAAAAGCTGCATTCCTTTGTAAAGGACTCAGATCCCATTCGAATACTGTCAGTGGCACAGTTCCGTCCTGAAAAAGATCACCCACTTATGCTTCAGGCTATGTATGAGTTAAGGAATCTTCTGGTTAACAATGAATTACTGTGGAATAAGGTAGTTAATTAAACATTGTAAAAGAGGCACTACTTAGCAATTTATTTAAAAAAAAAAAATTACAATTACTTAGTAGATATTTCCTTATATCTTTGTATCCCAGTTATTAGCCTATTCTTAATCCCCTTGATTTCACTTCGATGTTGTAAATAAAAACCAATCGCAGTTGATTATATAACAACAGGAACATTTTGTTGCTTTCTATATAGACAGATGGATGCATTAAAATAAAGGAACATTTTCCTTTTTTCTAGATAAAACTACTTTTAGTCGGATCATGTCGCAATGAAGAGGATAAGGAGCGAGTTCAGAACCTAAAAGATTTGGCCAAACACTTGTCCATTGAAGACAATGTTCAATTCATTGTCAACGCTTCCTATGCTCAGTTGTTGCAGCTATACCAGACTAGTTCAATGGCTATACACGCCATGTGGAACGAGCATTTTGGCATCAGTGAGTTTTAGGATAATTATGAAATAGGCAGAAATTCAAATCAGCATGTGGTATTTGAATTATTAGCATTGTTTTTCTCAAATGTAACGTGTAAGGTGTCTACAGCTGTTTATTATAATTGTAAGGTACTTTCCAGGTGTAGTAGAATGCATGGCAGCCGGGCTGATCACAGTAGCACACAGATCCGGTGGACCACTGGCAGATATTATTGAAACCTCACCAGCTTCACAAACTGGTTTCCTTGCTGCAGAGCCCGATGAATATGCCAGAGCCATTCTTGAAATTATTGCGTTGCCCACACATGAGAAGAATAATATTATTGAGGCAGCTAGGTGAGTGATTATATATTAAAATTAACCTTTTTTTACATTGATCACACTAAAAAATCTGATACACTTAAGTTGTTTGCATAACTTAACTTTTTCTATCTCTATCAGGGCATCGGTAGATCGGTTTTCTGGGATGGAATTTGAGAAGTCATTTCTACGAGCAATGGAACCTTTAATGATGCTTTAATAAACACTTTAGCATTAAAATAAACCATATAGAAATATTATTTAAGCAAGGATAATTAATTATGTGTTATGTAGTACTAGTTAAGTTTGTTATAATATTTTTATGTTTTAGAATAATTACAGAATTCAGTTAAACAATTAATAGCCTTGTAAGTTTTCCATTTCTAAAAAGTAAAAATACGAATGTTTTGAGCATTTTATTTAGAAAACATTTTTTAAATAAAATATATTTTAAATCAGATTTAAACTTAAATATTTCTTTAGTATTGGTTTATTTGTACAATTTCAAACTTAGTTTCATAAAATATAACAAGGCATAACTTTATCCTTGTCATGCAAAATTAAGAAAAGATAGACAGAAGCAAGCATAGAAAGTTACATTTCATGCCAAAAATTTTTTAAGCGAGTATAGGTATGACATTTTTAAAAATTGTATTATTTAAGCTAATAAAATACATCCAATACTAAAGATGGGAATGTTTTATCATTTATCTCATATATAATATCCAACTCTATCTCTCGGTATCAGCCTGAGTTCTGATCCATGCTTCAAGAAGACATTACCTGTAAATGAAAATTTTATTAGTAATAATTTGCCTATTTGCTTAAGTATAGAATTAAGCTTTTGAAATAGTCTTTACCAGCACTCTGTTGCGGGTTAATACCAATTCCATCATCAGTAATTATAGCACTAGTTGCTGGTTCTACTCGGAATTCTTCGGCAGCAAACTTCAACACTGCTGTGAAGGGAGTTGCTTCTGGGACACTTAGTCTAGAATAATATTATATTGTTACTACCAAATCACTAATAGAGATTTTACAAGACGGTTTACTTATAAAATTTATTTAAAGTTTGAAAAATAAAACAAAATTTCATAAAAAATATATAAATATATTGTAAATGATTTATAACATAATAGTCTCCCAAAAAGTTGTATCCTCATTACTTTCAAAAACAAAATCCATAAATTCAAGTTTTAAATTGTTATTCTGGCATAATTTCTTTGTAATGTGCTTTAACTCAGAATATGATAAGTCAATATAAAAAAACTGTGCTGACATATCTTCTCTGATCAATTTACCAGAATCAAACAAGGCTTTTGACATAATTTTAAACAGGTCACCATGATCTAGACACAATTGTATAAGCTTTACTTCTTCAATATTTAGAAGTGTTCTCCAAAATATCTTCTTTGAAGAGTTCTTAATAGACATAACACTTATAAATGCATTCACAATGCCACTAATTGTATTGGCGTATTCTACATCCTTATTTAAAATACTTACTACCAACATTTCTACAGTGTCATTTGAACTATCATTGAGCATACTTTCAACAACATCTTTACAGTCTTCCAAATCATTTAGCTCAGACAAAAGAAAATTGCTTTTAAATGTCACCAACATGCTTTTAGGGATTTCGATAGATATATTACTTAGAAGTGTGTCCATTGACACAGCTTCTAACATTATATCTGATAAATATAATTCAAGTTTGTCTTCAGAAAAAAGTTCTAAGAACAGTTTTAGACAAGAGTCTAAAACATTTACATTTGCTGAAGATGTAATGACTTTTCTTAATATATATTTTGGTGGATCACTTAAGCAAACTGTAGAGAGAGTACTCGGAACTGTATTGAAATTACTTAAAGTTGTTAGAAAATCGTCAATTATATTCCGTCTTTGCAGTCTATCAAGGCATTTTTCAATGTGCAAGGATATTAAAAAAGCATTTCTTATTTCTTCATGTGGTGTCTCACTACTAGGCCATCTGTCTAGTTGACACAAGTTTAGAAAGTCTTGAAAAAGATTAAGAAACTGTTGCACTAAAGCTGTATCCATTGCGATGTAACTTCAATATACGTCCGCGATGTCTCAGCATCTGGTAAACAAAATTTTTAATAAACCTCAGTTATTTTTCGGATTATATTGAAGTTACATCAAGATTGCGTTTAATATGAAAGTAATCTTACACTTTAAAGGGCAACTTAGGATCCGAAGTAAGCGTAATCTTGAAAGTAACCTTAGACCTGAAATTTAGAAAGCTTATTAGTATTTATTATTTGAATAAAGATAATTATCTAATTGATACTAGCAAAAGCTTTTACATTTTAAAAATAAAAATGGGTAATTATATAAATTTTTCAACACTTAGGACAATATAGTATTGTTTACTAATTAAATGTTTTTAAGAGTACCGTAGGTTATATTTTTGGTTGGTGACGTTGAGTTTCAACGTTCACAGATGTAGACCAATAATATACCATAGAAGAAAATACCATTTACCAATACTACAGAGGATGGATGTATACATTTCTGAATGTAGTTTGAAATCTGTCAGTGTCGGCTGTCGCTGTGACAGCTTCGCTAATACAAGTTATTGATTTTAAAATTTACACAGTTTATGTATATTGTATACAAACAGGAGGTATTTTCTGCTACATCTCCGGAATGAAGTTGTGAAATGTATTGATCGATAATAGGCATCATTTATTAAACTTTATGAAAGAAATATTATGAATTATAAACGCGTTAAGAAATAATATAAGAATGTTAATGAAAAGAAACTTGTTAGAAAGTCTGACGATTGTCTCTTGTAGTTCAACATTTGTTTGTGTGTTACTGAACTATGTTACTAGTATTTCGCCAATTACCGGTTATTGGTTCATCGCATATAGCCTACTTTTATTTATTATATCTATTATATCTAGTGTTAAATTAATTCAGTGGTTCTTACGCTTAAACAAACCTTTAAAATACGATGTAAAGGAGATAACAGAGAAGTTTCCGCTGGCGACATATTTAGCCAGTGTTTTGCCTCAGTTACCAGAAAAAGCAAAATCAATTGAATGTAAGGACTACGATACTAATGAACTGAGTGTTATAACTACGGTTTTAGAAAGAAAGCTGGTATCATCATGGTACATTCAATATATTTCCCAGGAAATCAGTTTCCCTTTTGCTTGCAAACAGTTACTGGATCAGATGATCAGCAAAGGCTTTCAGGTAAGATTTGTCGTGGATATGCTGATTGATATATTGATGATGATTGATGATATATTGTTATTTCAGTTTTAAATTATTTTCATTTAAAATGTGCATACAGAAATTGACTTATACATGTAAAGATATACATTATTCATATATAGGTTTTCAGAATTTTAAAACATTACATTGTTATTATTTTTTCAGATATGCAATAAAATAGAAACTAAAGATGTTTATGTCCACATTTGTGCAATTGGTATAAGTCATTTAAAAGAATATAAGAAAGCTTTAAAACGACATGAGAAATCTCCTTCAAAAACAACAGAAACTTTGTACAAAAGGATCCACCACATATCTGACCCTAAAAACAAAAAATCTGCAACTGCTGATCACTGTGTTAACATAATTAGGATAATATTAAAAGAACTTGTACCCTGGGAGTTGTGGGACACACCACATTCTGAACTCTTAGTTAGAATTCTTGCTAAGAAGTTAGATACATTTATTGACTCTACAATATCTGATCCTCTTTGGCTGAATGACAAGTTAATAACTATTTTAGCATCAACAAAAGAAGAAAAAGTAGAAAAGAAGGAGCCACATTTTCAGGAAGAGCAGAAAATAGTAAAAGATGAAAAATTGGACATCCAAGCTCTTGGATCCAATGAATTTAAGGATATACCTGAAGAAGCCAATAAAGTTGACAATGTTGGAGGTATGGAAAAGAATGATAAATGTATTGAAGCAAAAGAGGTAGTCACAAGTACAGAGTCAGTTGAAATTAAACCAGTTTTGAGGCAAAGACGTGGGAGACAGGGCAAGAATGAAGTTAAAATTTATGACAGAATCATCGAGGGTAAGCTCAAAAGTAATTAATCATGATCATTATCATTCATTACCTATTATTAAGTAATATTCATCATGCATTATTTTAATATAACTCATATTAAATCAACATCCTTTAAAATTCTGCACACCATACAAAGTTAGTTGCTATGACCCAAAATAATACATTTAAGGAAAGAAGCATTATAAACCTGCCTTTAAATTACATATATGCAGTTCTATGTTGATTATTGATCTAGTGTTGATGTTGTCAATTGTTTTGATTAGAGAATTTATCAAGGAGGGCTTTAAGTTACGAAACGTCGAAATAACGGGAGATATTATTCATCCTTGTGGGTTTCCATTGTGTGCACTGCGGGTTCAAAACACCCAAAAAATATGTATGTGACGGTGTGGGTAGGTCGGAATAGAAAGGGACAGCATTACTATACACAGGTGACACGTGCCTATTACGTCATACTTGTATCGCACTGTCTCTAGTGACACGTCACCAAGCCTAAATGATGTTATATAATATATGGTTTAACTTACAATGGTCATACCTGAATCTTACATATGAAAAAAATATTTCTCTTTAAGTGATCTAAGTCGACGGGAAAGGAAAGGACTACGTTTTGGGCAAACTTTTTTTTAAATAGTTGAACAGGAGGTTTGCAAAAACAAGAATTGATACCCAAATTAACTATTCTACGCGTACGAAGTCGCTGACTCAGCTAGTACTGTATAAAATTCTTAACTGTTGCTTAAGTAACTTCATATTTAGGTAGTGTGAAAACATGGGAGACTGACATGGACCTTCAATGCATCAGCATGGGTCAAGATTTATTAGCCAGCTTAGATGAACTGACCCTCAGTCGCCTGTGGGGACATGAGGAAACCGAGACTAGTCCCAATATAAGAAGTGTCTCTCCACAGCCACTTTGGTTTGGTAAGTATGTAAATTATTTTAAATGTTCATTTTCGTTTATAATTTGTAAATTTTGAAAGACTGTCAATTCAAATGAATTACAATATTTGAACATAATCTTACAATCTCTACAAAAAGGGGCTTTTTAAAAGAAGAATGTTTATTATTTAAAATAATGACTTCTTAGGTGAAGAAGACGCTATAGACTTGGACACAGAAACATCAAAGGATACTAAAGGCAGTCCAAAAGCCACTGATGCACTGCTCAAAGACATCCAGAGTACAATGAACCAGGCGAAGAGCAAAATCGGAGACCTGCAGGTCCCGTTGCACGTAGACAAGCGTCCCAGTGTATGTTGCACGAACTATCTGCTTTTCTTGCGCTTTAGGCTGTTGATACAAACGACGATGATTTATTAGCCACTCTCTGTAAATGTGAGTGGGGCGAACTTTAATAAAATTATTTTTCCCTGGAAATGTTTTATAGATTTTAAATCATTATCAAAATAATATATTTGATAAAATAAGCTTCTAATCATTTCAGTAGATTTGATGGGATGAATTAATGGATTTAAGTTTTAAAACCTACTCGTATGAACAATGCTAATATGTCACTTCGTCTGTACACAGCTTAACATTTTTGTTATCTTTATAAATAATTTGACATATCTTCTTGGATCCTTCTTGGGTTCTTGGTTTCTTGAGACATTGAGGTCTTGTGTTATTCGAAGGAAATGTGTTTTTGTACGTAAGGGTAAGTTGTGTGACTATCCCGTGTCTTGCTGAAGACATGGATCTAGCAATTTGTTTTCCCACTGCATGGTGTGTCTGCATGTTGGCTTCCTCAACTATGTGTTTGAAGGAAATGTGTTACCTTAAGTCTAAGTCTTCCTTAGATCAGCGGTATATAAGCTAAGTGAAAACGAAATTCTTGCTAATGAGTTTTATGCAATAATAGCTACACAACAGTATCAGCATGAGTTATGGCAAAATATTGTTCTAGGTTCTTGGAACACTTTATCTCTGTTAGTTTCCGTGTTTCAAAGTGTTTCTCGTGAAATATTAAATCACAACTAGGAATACTATTTACAGGATGAAGCAGCAGGCATGATGGAGGGATTACTGGATAAAGGGATCGCAGGTATCAAAAAGGGATTGCGCTTGACGGGACTTAGTGATGATTCACAGGTAAGACTAAGATATGAATAGGTGGATTGTGAGAAACCCGTTTTAACCTTTATTTATACTAATATCATAAACCTGAAGAGTTTGTTTGTGTGTAAGCGCAAATCTCAGGAGCTTCTGGTCCGAAATGAAAAATTATGTTTGTGTTGGTTGGACCAATTATTATCGAGGAAGGCAGAAACGTAACATCAGGCTGCGACTAATATAAGCTAAGAAACAGAGGGAAATGTGAAAAAATCTTTGAGGGCTTGTGTCTCATGTGGACGAATAGCTAGTATATATTATAACCGTTCAGGCCTATTTAAAAGGGCTTATATCGTTAAAACATATTTTATTATAGTAAAATGAGTTTTATTAAAATAAGTAATCACTGGTATATCCCTGATTGCCTAAAACATTTATTAAATATTTTAGGAGAAATCGCCGTCTCATAAATCTGGGGAAAAAATATCACCATCTGAAATGAACAGGCAGAGGCAGGGAAAACTTGAAATGGTCACAGAGCATAGAGACATAAAAGAGTTTATTCCAAAAGGTTTTAATGATTATATAATGCTTGCTAACAATATATTGTAGTGACGAATTTAACCCGTAATTATAAATTACTATGGTATTACAGATGAAGCAAACTCTGCGCCAATATTAATTAAACAGCAACGAGTGACTTCGCAAGATAGCACGGTATGTATTTCTCAATCTTTTAATTGCACATCGATATGAAAGAAACATAAGTCAATAGTTTACGTGACGTCCAGTCCCAGGTCAGAGCCCGAGTGGAACACTTGCCCTTCAGTTTGTCTGACTCTCCGGAGCCCCAATATGAAGAGGCGGCTGACCTTTCTCATACCATCGCAAAACTGAGGTCATTACTAAATGAGGCTACGCCGAGGTAAAATTGTATTTTTAAATCTAGAGCAATAAGACTCTTTTTGAAATTTTTGGATTTGATAGACTCGCTAAAAGACAAAAATCCTCCCTTTATGCATTAGAACTGAAGAGATTTGGTGGGAGGGGGCGGAGGAGACTCGCGGTAGAACGCAGAGTCATAACTCGGAGAGACACGTCGATACTGCTACTCTAGCAGGTATCAAATTGTCAGTTTTCAATTAAAACAAGGATTACATTTATATAGGGGACTGTCAGAATACAACACTAAACATGTCAGGGACTGCCATGAATACAGACACGAAACATGTCGGGGTCTGTCATGAATACGCATACTAAAGATATTGTTAGAGGATATCGACACAGTTTGGTTGTACCGACAACTCGCCTAAGGGGGGGGGTTGTCTGCCCGATCGAATAGTCAATCTGTCTATCTTTCAAATAATTCAGTGTCGTGTTATTTTTTTAATTCGAAAGTAGGGTACTTAGGTTTTTGTGATTTAATTTTATGTAGAAGTGGAATCGATTAATACTTACTGTCCTTTTTTACTCTCTTCGACTCGTGGTCTCTAAAATATAATATATTAGGTTAGGAACAGAGATAATACACATATCTATAATTAGATAAAATCTCATCAGATTTTACTTCCATTACATCCTTAAAACTTTGAATCAAAAGCTACAATGAAGCTCAAATGGTCTTACGAGTTGGTTCGGTCTTTGTAACTAAATTAATATTTTGCAGATGAATATGACATGAATCTGGAGCGAAACGCCTCACCGGGGCAAACTACCAACAATATGCAGCGACTTGATAAGTGCGTAACTCTTAGTGCTATACAGACTTGACTTTAACTAAATACGTTAAAGCATTTCTAGTTTTAAGTTTCTCTTTATATATTGTAATGTTATTTGAACAATTCCAGACTGTTTCAACGCACTGTTACCGGCGTATTTAATTCTATTAAGACAGCAGTGGGGGCGGAGGGCGAGGGTGAACCTCCCAGACAGTGGACCTACGTTGCCACCAATATGGAAATTAGCGTAAGATATAGTATCCACGCATATTTAAGAAAGCAAAGTTACTTTTATAAAGACTTGCTGTTTCAGCCTACAAGTGTACGAAATAGACGGTTGAGATATATTGTACTAACTGTAAGTTTTTCATATGTGAGTAATTAAATCAGTGAGCTACTGACCGCCCAATTTAGCTATCGCCGGTGTCCGCCGTAGCCCGTTCTTACGCATAGCAATTATCGATTAGTACTAAATATAGCTATTATCAATTATCTCTCTATATAAACGATCAAAAACCAAGCCAAATCACTACGGCTCGCGCCCTAAGCATTTTAATTTATTATCATTTTCCTTTTTAAATAAAACACTTTAAAGTTTTTAAATTCAATATACAAGGTTATTCTTGATACTAAAGCTGAAACACGTCAAACATCACTTTATTCGCAGAATCAGGATAAAAAATTAAAATTTAAAAAAAAATGAAAATTCACGAAGTTATAAATTTTTTTCATGTTATTGTTTATCCCGCAACCACATGGTCACTGAGCAGACGTCGATTGCAGCGCGCTATCTCGCACTCCCTCCCTGCACCTTATATTACACGATTCACTACTTTTCTGTACTTATTGTCCGCTCACAGAATGTATTTAGACCTTTTGGCAATAACATTTTCCATCACACTTACAGGCTTTGGATTGTCAGAATGGTTAAACGGCATGTAAGTCTAGCGTTCATTATTGAGACAAAAACTATTCCGGCGTGTTTAAACATGTTAATCACCATTATTTACACTAATTTATCGAATCACCTTTTAGAAAAACGGTGTTGGAATGAGTCAGGCCTATCTAAGCGCGGGTTTTCATGAGCCCAGTGATGACTGTTGTGAACATTAAAGAGCCCACGACGTGTAAAAGTGCATTCGTCGGTAAAAATAATGTTTCTGTCTTGATTAAGCAGCCACTCGCTAAATTGGACTCTTTGGGCTTTATCATTTTTGAGCAGTTCTTGTGGTGGTCATTCCTTAAAGTCCGCCACACGTAAGACTGACGGATTCCCCGAAATTTTAGACCTATTTAGTTATACTTATGTAGGTATTTATTTATCAAATGGTGTCCAAGATTTCAAAAATTTCATACAATTTTGACAAAAATTATAACGTGGTATAAACACTATTGGAATGGATTCTGCTACTGATTCTGAACAAACTACTTTCAGGTTTCGTATGAAGTAGGAATAACCTTGTATATGAGGTAAACTAGAGTTAAAAGTTAAAACCTGACTGAATTAGAAGACTGAATTATTAACCCGTCGGTCATTTTAATATTAATTATTCAATTAAAGAAACTGCAATTAAATTACATGAAATTTAAAAATGTGGTCAGGTGGGTAGCGCAGTGGCTCGCCTCGTGGGTTCTCGTCGCGCGATGTCTCATGTTGACACCGCTCTTGATTCGCTCCAGCAGTTGCCTGCTCCAGTCTCCCAACCGCCGCCCTCTGACGACTTCGGTGAGTACATGTCGTGTTTACTTTCCTAATACTTTTATTTATTTATTATGAAAAAAATTCACATACATTAAAGTCCATGCTGTATCTTGATTTTTATCATATTACTGTGAAAGTTTTGTTATTTACCTGTGTAATATTGTGTAAAGTTGCGTGTAATATTGTGTAAAGAAGTTTATATTTTTATTTATGTATTTTTACTTCTTTTTAATATATATTTCTTAATACTTAAGTCCAATAAGTGTTGTGTTGAAACGAACTATTACAGAGGAGTGGTGCGTGGGCCAAGCTAGATGGAGTAGTACTTGTGAAGTTCTGTGTGAGTTGGGTCTGTTTGAGGAGCATGTCTCGTACAGGATTGCTACATTACTACTTGCAGGTATTTTTTTACGTTATTTTAAGAATCTTTTTCATGACGAAACTTCTTAACAGAATAACAGATTTTAGTTAGAATCGAATATATTAAAATTCACATAAATAAATCGTATTTTTGTCTAGTTCAACGTCAAGTCTATTTTCAAATTCTATTTCAAGGTGTGATTTTACGAGATAAAAGAGTTATATGTATATATCTTATTATCCCTTAAAAAGTCTTTCGTTGTAATTTTGATACGCACATATTGTTGTGATTTATTATACAAAAACTAAAAATAATGATCACATTCCTTTATACAAGCTATTAATGTGGTGTTTAAACAACTTTAGATGTGGCGGAAACCCTGATATGCACTTGGCTAGAAGAGCTAACAGCGTGGACAAGAAAACAAGTGTTTGCCGTTTTTGAGGAAATGTCGGAAGAAAGAAGTGAACCGGTGATCAAAGAGACTGTGAGGGAGTTGAACGTTGATGAAACGTGTCATATTATAATGGAAAAATTACCAGGTACTGCCATAATAAGTTTGCCATTACCATAATAAGTAGATATCACTTTAATAAGTTATTATTTTTACGGGTCCGTTGCGTTGAACTAAAAGTCGTTTTTGAAGTAACAATGTTACAAAGATAAAGACATATTGTGCTTATTATGTAAGGTCGCGTAATCAAAATAAGTTTTAGTTATACCCAAATTTAAAAAAAAATCTTGTCAGTATTGTCCGTAGTTTACGAAAAAAATAAGTTAGGTATTTAGTGTTCTGGTTTAGATTATGTAAGTTAGTTAACAACATTTTTTGTATTTATTTTTAATTATTGTAAATCATAAAAAGGTTTTATTTTTATTAATATTTCATGTTTTAAGACGTTAAAATGTTGTATAATTTTAACATATATGTGTTAAAACAGCTCACTCTTATTTTAAATGATTGCTCATGTCGATATCTTTTGCGAACCTTTGCTTTACTTTTATTATTTACTTTCAATGTTTATTTCAGAAACATACATATTTGGCGAAGAGACCCTGAGTCGAGCTGTGAGACTGTTGATTAGCAGCTTCAGCCACAAGAGCGTCAACCAGGACGTTATGTATCGGGTTTTGGACCTAATTGCCGCTCATTTTAAGAAGTCGGCTGCATTAAGAAGTTATTCTTTTGATAACAACTGATTTACATCTTATTTTATCTGATCAATTTTCAATTACTACGATCTGTTTTCTTATCTCTTTTTATATTTAAGACATGTTTTGTTTTCAGTTCTGGAGCAAGTGAGTTTTGTCTCACAATTTAACAGCTTTCAGTTGTTTAATTGTGAGACAAAACAACTTACGTCATAAATGCCAATCATCTATTATTTGACATTTGTGACGCAAACACTTTAAAAGGAAACTTGGAGTTAAGCCATATCGTCTATGGATCTTGTCTAACTTAATTTTTAATTTCTAGTCACATAACTACATTCCTACCGAAAAACTACTGATTTATGTTTTTTGTCTAACGTATTTTAATTGAATTATGTATAATAACGTAAGACTTGGCTAAGCTTTCGTTTAGATTGGCATACATGAAAATATTACCAATATAAACGAGTTCAAAGGCTATTTGTTACGTTTATTAATTGGACACGACATGTTTACAGCAATTGTTGTCTCAGGGGAAAACTTAAACAATTACATTTAATTTCAACATGAAGCTAGCTAGGATGTGCCAAAGAAATGTATACCCTCATACGTCGTGGTAACTGCTTATTAATTAATAGGGGAAAATATATTCTGATAAACATGTTGCAGATGGAAGTAGTAGTAAGATGCGTATTGTTAAGGTTCCTAGTAAAAGACAAAGTTATTCCAAAAACCATTTTATATAAAAATCACATCAAATCTATCACAGCATTAAAATACCACACATTAAATTATACAAAGTCAAACCATTGCTGGCGAGGTCGGGTCATAAGTCTATGCCTAAGAAATTATCTTAACTTTGTTCATGGTGATATGGTACAATAGAAGTCTTTACATTCCTAAACCATATGTACGTCATTGTGTTACAAATTTCGTTTACACATACATTAACGTAATTAACTTTTAAATAAAATAAATACTTTAATGGTTTAAAACCCGAAATATATTTGATTAATTTTAAGTACGTGCACTGCTACAGCCAAGGTCTCATGGAGGGGCTGAAGCTGACCTCATGTCAAAGACAATTGACAAAAGGTGGCGCTTGCGTGTGTTGTCAGACAGTGTTGTGTGCTTTACTCAAATGTTTTAAATAGATACAAGTGTAACGGATATATTATACTGTTTCATAAAAATCGAAATGTTTTTTTTTTACATATTGCCTAATAAGGACGAGTAAATGGACGGAATCGTTCTCTTGCTAATCTAACTTGTGTATTAAATATCCATCAGTTCATGACGTTAACAAATAGCGTTATTGCTTATTTTCAGGCTTTTTAATTTTAATATGACAGAAGCCAAACAAGGTTTACTTGATGGAATGTAGAAAGACTTAAAATGCGCTGTTGACCTTACATATATAATAAATTATATAAAATTTTATTAAATAACATCAGTTCTTTATCTATTGATTATATGATCAATTAATTCATTTAACAACAGCAGCTGTTTCTAAATACAAGATGGAAGACACACGCCATTTTCGGGAGTCACGTACTTTCTCAAACAGCGAAATCCTTATCACTATAGGATATTTATCTTAACTAAATTGGTTTGTCTCCTTGGAAAAAGTGACCTAAGTAACTGTGCTTTGTTTTGTTTCTTTTACTCATATTTTCAATACCGTTTGCTTGAAAGAGACGTTAGTGTTTGTAAACTAAAGCGCGGTAACAATGCTGAGATCTTCGCTGGCCCGTCGATATGTGTTCCCATTGAGTGACGATTCGGATGAGGGACAGAGTGATGAGGAAGACTCGAGACTGAATGTGTTAGCGTCACCGTTACTCTTTAGGAACATCTGAAAAATATACAGTTACTGTTAATTTTCTAAGAATACGGTATAAACAGACAGTTTTATGATAAAAGATGTATGAAAACTAATACTATTATTTTACATGATATATATATTTTTCCTTATTGTTAGAGTAATTCTGAGATGACATCATCAAGGGCACAATTTGCCGATTGAAGAGTCAATCTGTCTTCTTTAAATTAGAAATAGAACCACTTTTTAATTATTGCCTTTATTATATTCGACTCCTAGTGCTCAAGAATATATTATTCACTAATGTTACCCGATGTGCTTATAGATGGCGCTGATATCACTATAATATATAATGATATAAAAACTAGTAAAGATCCTTGGTCAATCATTGTTACCGCTAAAGACAAACAAACTAACAATTTTATTTTATATTAGTATATGAATGCTTCACCTGTTCAAGCGAGGTCTGGTTGAGAGTGAAGTCCTCGACAAGTCCCTCGCGTTGAAGATCACTCATCACGTGGAAAACCATGCTTACAGGAGTTAATACCTCCTTTTCATCCACTGAAAACGAAATTATTTCTATAAAATAAGGCTTAACTTTCTCATACAAACTTAGAATTTTATGTCGTAATGTTTATTGTATACTGTCTGTAGTTTACGCGAGTAGTACACATTTAAATAAAACACTTTAACTACTAAGTATATATCGCGTTTTAAACCATTGTTAAACTTATTTTTAACTACGGCCCGACGTGTCGGATGCTTTGCTATTTAAATGTTTATTGTATTTACTTTATAAGCTTTCTCTTTTACACCGAAGGCTTCTTCAAATTGTAAATAACAACTTTGCTTCATCGTTTAGATGTCGTATTCAACTTCCTTCATTTTCTGCAGACAAAGGAAGTTCATCCGTCTACTTCTTCTTCATTATTCTTATTATTGCATGGACTAAACAAAAACATACTGGGAGAGCCAATTACAAATTTAGGAAAGATTTAATAATCTCAGAGCAAGTTCCTAGATTCTTACCTGTGACAAGTGTAGGAACAATAAAATGAATAGCGGTCGCGTGTGCGACCGTAAGAGTGGCGTGAGGAATGAGCTCCGAGACGCGGTGCCACACGTCACGCGCTGGGGCGAAGCCGTCGCACACTCTTGTGCACACCACGTACCCACCGCCAAACCTATGATTAGTTATATAAGTTATTAAGTATTAAAGGCACATTGAAACACGAAATATATTAGTTAACTTATTTTAACTATGGCTTAACGTTTCAGATGCTTTGCAGCAGCTGTGGTCACGTGGGAACTGAAGGTGGAGGGTGCCCCTAATGTGTTTCGTCGTAGTTCATAATCGTCTTTCATTTTTGTATATGACTTTCATTTCTGATATCGGTATTTGGTAGCTTTCTATGTTTTTTTTAGTTATCTGTGGTAACATCAGAAAATGCGCTTTCGCGATAATCTTAGGCCCATATGAGGCCCTACTTTTGGCCGAAGGAACTACTAGAGTTTTTAATTTGTAATAATTACAGTACTTGTGATAGAACAGGAGACATTATAAATCAGGTACATAAAATAATTAACTTAAGGAAATAACTTTAAAATAACCTAGCTAAACTCTCGTGTAGCGGTGCTAAAGCTGCCAAACTGCCCTCCTTCAGTAAAGCCACTCGGTCTGCTCGACGCGCGTCTTGCAGCGCATGCGTCGACACGAGCACAGCTCGCCCGTGAGCGCACGCTCGGGCCCAGCCCGAAGACACGCACGTTCGGGAACCGGGGTCCATGCCACTGAAATCATAGTATTAAATATTAATTAAGAACTGTACCTATACTAACGCTATCTATAATATAATACCCATTTAACAAATACATAAAGATATATAATATCATTATTCAAGTTAACTGTGTCGGCGACTTCGTCTTAAAACAGCCTGTGACAAGTTGAGGCTCTAAGTAACATAAAAATATTTTTTACTTCCAGGGTTTAGCGCGTTCAAACAAACTCTGCAGCTTTATATATTAGTATAGATATAAACTTTTAACGTATGTCAGCGACGTAGGAGAACGAGCTGGAATAAGGAAGAAGTGATGGATACGCAACATTAGGTAACATATGGGTACGAAGATGATCGAGGGTTTCTACATCCTGCACAGTACAACGATGTTTTCAAGAGTTAATGGCCTACCACCAGTATTGGAAAGGCACTAGAACAAGAGTGACGTGGGTAGTTTTTAGATTAAGAAGCTTATAACAAAAGTTCAAGTTACCTGGTGGGTTCATCTAACAATACAAGCGGATTTCTACCCATAAACGCGACCGCAGTGCACACTTTCCGCTTGTTGCCACCACTAAGTTCACCGCAACGGACCTCCGAATATTTCACCAGCTCAAACTGTTCCATTGTCCTCTTTATTATCTGTTTTTTTTAAATATAAATATACAAAAAATATTCTATTCTTCCTTTCGGAAGCGATTAACGAAAAAATTACTAAACAAATATGCATCAATCATCACCTCATCTTGACTGGTGAGACCTCTCAGGGTGCAGAAGAATTGCAGCGTTTCCCTCACTGTCAGAAGAGAGTCTAGTGCATCACGTTGAGGGCAATAACCTATAATTTTTTATGTTACACTTATTGACATAATCCAGCCATATAACATCTAAAAATATGCGCGGTCGACCTATTTTGGCTTTGCAAACTTCTCGCCTTTTTTTTGTGTCTATGAAGGGTGGTTAAAGACCTGCACGGAATCTATTACCTACGATTACACCGAGCGTGTCAATTGATTCAGAATAAAAATTAAATATACATGTTTGATATATATTGACACATTTAAGATATTAAAACTTACTTATAAGTCCTTGACATAGATCCCGTTGGTTAACAGGCTCATCTTTAAAGTAAATTTGCCCTGCTGATGGTCGAAGCTCTGCAGTCAGCATCGAAAAGGTGCTGGACTTACCGGCGCCGTTCTGCCCTAGTAACGCGGTACACTGAAAAATAAAAGACGACTTGGAATTTTCCAATTCATATATTTATCGCATGTTACATTTAGTAAAATATTTTTAAATAAAACACTTTAACGGTTTAAAATGCGATATATTAGTTAAACTTATTTGAAAATAACAAATATATCGCGGTTTAAACCGTTAAAATGTTTTAATGAAAAAAAATATTTTTAACAGAACTCGTCTCATGCTCTTTAAGATGTATAAAACTGATCACCATCTTTAAAAGTTATTGCAATGAGTCTACTTATACGTAGGCCACTACTTTGACTTTGGCAGGTCAATTTTGTTGACTTGACTTACAGAGACTTATTAGTTTACCTCCGAGGGTGGTATTCCCAGGGTCAGATCATCCACCGCGATCCGGTACCCACTCGCAGCTGGGTAGAGTCTGCTTACGTGTACGCACGATATTACATCACTAGATCCGATCCCAGTCAGCGTAGACCGTTTGAGGGAGTTGCTCTTCAAGTCTTCTTTTGAGTCTACGAAACCTAATAAATGTGTCATATTTTATTTAATTCGTTTTTTGACTTAGCATTGCCATTGTAATATACACTATAATCGTTATTGCGCTGTTAAACGTATTTCTGTATAAAACACTATCTGAAATTTATGCGAGTAGAACACATTTAAATAAATCACTCTAAACATAATAATTCTGCAAAGACACTCCCAGTTTCGCCAATTACCAACTACGATGAAACAGATGGCGCTGGCATTACGTCACTTTGACATTAGAAACACCCTCCATCTTTAGTCTCACCTTGTCCACGGCTGTTGCAAAGCATCCGAAACGTCGGGCCGTAATTAAATTTGTAAACAGGTTTAATTAATATATTTCGATTTTTAAACCGTTACAGTGTTTTATTTAAATGTATTTCTGAATTTTTTACAAGGCCACAATATGGACATACCGGCATTGATATTTCCAATGGTGCGCAAACGAAGAGGCGCAACAGCAGCCGTGACGCGCCTTTCTTCACGCTGTACATCTTGTTCTAACACTCCCTTATTTCGGCACTTCTTATATCGAGGTCCAAACCTGGAATTTCAATGTTTTTAATTAACTCTTTGGCCATTTTGTAGCATCTTATTGAAGAAAGGTCCATTTGGATGGAAAATTAACTTAAGATAAGAAAGGGGGTCACCCCCTTTTTTATTCAAGATTGAAAATGCTTTTACACACAGAGTGTGGGATTCCACTCCGACATATCTATTTGCGAGCCTTTCTCTACCAATGAGGTAGGTAATAAGTAATGCCCACTAAAAACGATCTCAATTAACGACTTTAATAGGGCCCCGGGATCGGATCGGATTCATTCCGAAGAAAAATTAAGCAGTACCTAGTGATAAGGTCATCGAAGTAGTGGTATTCAATTGCAAGGTTGAGCAGGAAGAGAAGAGCGCCGACAGCTATTAGAGCGATGTAATGGTACAGCACGAGATTACTACCAAATGGTTGTCTATATGTATCCATACCAAATGCACCCAAGACCTGAAATTTTACAAATTAACTAATTATTTCTAGGGATAAAATAATTCGAAATTCAAATTCGAAAACAGAATAGACACAGGTAACTTAATAATTGTATGTTTCTTCATATGAATGTAATGTTCAAAAACCTTTTCCCTAAATACCAATTGAGTCTTTCTACAAGGAAAAATCTTTACCTGCGCTTGAATTGTATTCTTCGCGATCTCAAGTAAACCATCTGCTAACACGAATTGCGGACTTAGCATGAAGATTTTATGAAGCACCCAACGAGCATGATCTGTTTCCTGCAAAATATTAATTCTATAATAATCGTCACTAATGAACGAAGTTTTTATACCTACTAGGTATTGGATATGGTATAGGAAACGCATGTATTTATACTTACATCAGAGTCAGAAATGATGTCCAATACGAGAAGCAGAGCTATCCCACTAAGTGCGACAAAGGTGTTGCCACAAAACAGCACCATGTTCGCCAGACTTGCTTCGGTGAAGAATTTCTCTGCAACGTACACTACTCCGGAGCATGCGAATCTATCCGTAAAATATTATATCAAGTTTCGAGTACTGCGTCAATAAAATTTATGTAATACTGTCTATAGTTTACACGAGTAGTGCATATTTAAATTAGTAGTAAAATTTAAAAATGTATGTTTATCATAATATACTGAATCAAGTTTTACAAAAGTACGTGGTACTTATAGGTTATATGATATGAATAATATATTACATATCAACATAAATAGATGAAATTGGTTTTTAAGAGTAAGGCCGCGTGTTACCACACATTACTATGTGTTTTCATATTTCATTTATTAAAATACTACAGTTTATTGAACAAGAAGATGGGAAGATGATTTTTGTTGTTTTTTTTGATGCTCTAAGTTAAGCGATAAAATAAATAATCTATATATTATGTGCCATAACCACAACGGAGAAAAATATGCATTACTTACCCATACAAAAGTGTGAGGACACAAATAGCGGGTAGATTGTTCCTCGCAACGAATACCGGGAAGTTAAATATCTTCAGAATAACCACCGTGATCGCCATGTTTATCACTATTACCTGTTGATGCATTAATATATTTACGTTCATGTACATTCTTATATACATTGCTGCTTCATATAGATTAAAAGTACTATAAATTGAAACAGTTTCATGGCAAAAGTCAAATCCATGACCACATCTTTTGTACCATTGTTCTACCAGTTAAGATGCTGTGCCTCAATCATTATCATTGAATTTGTTTATTGTTAACATATCATACTATTTATATACGTAATGGAATATCTATTTTTTTTCTCGCATTTTCTTCCCCACTTGATATGGTATATGTAGGCATATCAGTATACATACCAACATATCGCAGAAAAGTGCCGTAGACCAGTAGAGGGTCGGCGACACTCCACAGAGTAGCTGCAGGCGTTTCTGTTTGTCCATTCGCTCTGTGACGAGGTAGATGGCAGCGCCGGCGCTCACCAGGCTGTACCCGATCAAGAGCATCGCCGATATACCTGCGTCAGCTATGTGCTGGTACCTGAAATGTTTACAAGAATATTTTACAATATGAAAGTAGTAATATAGAACATACTGTCTATAGTTTACGCGAGTAGTACACATTTAAATAAAACACTTTATCGGTTTAAAACGCGATATATTAGTTAAAAATCATTTTCAAATCAGTTTAACTAATATATCGCGTTTTAAACCGTTACAGTGTTTTATTTAAATAAGTAATAGAACACTTATGATTTTTATAATATTATGTCAAAAGAAAATCAATTCATCAAAGTACTTTTTGTATAATTATATTAAAAATGTATGTTTACAAGAATTTTTCACAACATTTTTGATTGCGAATGTAATAGTATTATGCTAGGTTATTTTTTATCATATTATAATATAATGTAAAATGAAAATCAATGTATTAGCAATCTATTATTAAAGTAATACTTTTTAAATTTCTATTACAAAGGTACCAAACCAAACTACATGTTCAAATATATAGTTTTTATTCGCACTTACACATTATCCTTATTGAGTTGTTCGTTCGAAATCTTAAGTGGATGTGTGTACAAAGTCAGATTGGCCTCCTCATCTCCTGACGCGGCTCTTAGTAAGGCACGGTTCAAGTGGTTAAGGTAGGCTGGAAGAGCGTGGTGGCCCTTATTGTTATACCAAGAGATCAGATTCGTGATGTTGTTCGCCAGAGATGAAGAGTATCCGCCATATCTGGGGAAAACGGCATTCCGTATGGATAAAAAAAGAAACTTAAATACCATTCTATGGATCAATACTAAGTATATGGGCCCCACAAAACACGACAACACCAATTCTTAGAAAATTTAATTGGTTGCGTAGGCGCAACAAAGTACAAAAGATTAATTAATACCCTTACTTACTTTCGCTTTATTTTATTACTGTTAATGGAGAAAAGAAATACATTTTACAGAAGATAAAAAAATAATAATAATGATATAAATAAAATAAAAAAGTGTTTCAATACGTATAATAATATACTTTCGTATGGAAAATACGCAATAGATATTAAACATATTTACCTCTTTTCAATATAAACCTGCTGTGACGTCACTAGCCACTCATTAAGAGTGTCGACGTCAGGCAAAAGCATTTGATTCGGGCGAGATACATTTTCTGTAATTTCGCACTGCTGTCTCGAATCGACACATTTGCATATTAAAGAATCCTGGAAGATAACGTTTTCGGGACTATAGTGAACAATAATTATACTTACCTTATTTTTAATAATTTTCCACTATTGATCGTAGGTACACTTGAATATGATAATAAAAAAAGTATTTTTTTCTAAACACATTCTTTAAATTATGTATTATACGAATAAATTTACGTCAAAAATTGTCGATATTACTCACATCACTAGTCCAGTTTCGTGAATGTTGTTCGTGTTGTAATATGGCCATGACTTCTCGCGCTAATATATCGCTCTCATAAAAGTATTGCGTAGGACGAGGGCTGTAACATTTTAAAATTATTTATTTATTTTAGAAAAATGTTTGACAGAGGTGTGGTGGTAGTACCATCGACCACTGTGTAACGTACTGTGGCTCTACGAAAGTTTTATCAAATTAACTTATGTTTGATAAAACGATGTACCTACGGTGCAATTTAAATATTTTAAATTTAAATGAGAAATTTTTACAAACTACGACATATAGTAGCAGGAAGTGACGTCACGATGTATACATAGATTGAATTGTAAAGAAAGCTCTTTAGATGATTAAAGGTAATATTTCGTCATAGAGTTCGTCCTTGGGAGTAAAGACTTGTTGGTTCAATTTGAATTACCACGATTACTATACGATACTCTATAATAGAAATAGAACTTAATATTTCGCTGTCATTCTACTTTTCTTTGCTAAACGTATTATGTTCTAGTAAAAATAATATGTGTAATAATTTCATTACAATTTAATAATATTATTATGTGTTTCATAGACTTTGATTAATTTAATTAAAAGGTATTGAAAGGCAAAAATGTAAGGTAAAATATCCGAAACAGATTTTTTTTTCTTCCTTACTCACACTAATCTTCATAAAAAAAGTATAGGTCAAGAGCAATCTAAATAGATTTTATAAATCTTATACGATTTTGATAATACGCTTTTCTATGACTTACATTAAATAGTCTGTGGTCGGTTCATAAAGAGTAGGGTCTAGTTTAAGCGACACCTCATTGTCGGCAGGCGGACGAATTGTCGCGAAACCCATCGCAACAGTCACAAACAGAGATGGCAGCACGATTAATAAAAACAATAGCCATCTGTAAAAAAAACATACTTTATGATTCGATATTATTAACAAAAAGATTACATTAATTTAGTTAAATCGCCAGGAAGAAATAGATCGATTTTTTTTATTTTATTAATTGTGTCTCCTACTTTAAATGCATAAAGAAATAAAGCAGAATGTATTACCGGTTTCGCATGTAATGTGTATATCTCTTGTATAGAAGAGCTTTGAACTGCTGTAGTGATGTGCCCTTGAGGGGCCCATCAGGAGGAACGAGAGGGGCACTATCAGTCTTGATACTTGACGTCGAGGCACTTTTAGATGCTGTGTCGGTAGCTGAAATATTAAGCATAACAGTTTTAAAGGTACTTTATATATTCTTTAATAAACTTTATATTCTAAATAAAAAACTTACATATAAAAAATAATTTAATCGTTAATGCTGATATTACCGGAAGGTACATTGTGATGCTCCTGATTGCAGATGTTGAAGAAGACCTGTTCGAGACTGGTACACTCCATGTTGAAGGTACGGAACTCTAGCCAGCTCGCGCCTTGTTCCAACGTCGAACACAGCGTCTCAAAGCTTAAAGTAAAATCGTGATTTAAAAAAATCTATAGACGTCAAATTTGTCAATACAAACACGACATAAAAGTCAATAATAATTAACCCTTCAACTCACTCGTTACTAACACCATGCTCATCATAGAAGGGCACATTGATTTCAACTTCTCTTCCACTCACATCCAGCAGGCTCGCGTTCTTTACAACGTTCTTAGTGACCTCTAGAACGGTCTTAGTTTTCTCTTCTATATCTGTAGCTGATTGGTCTTCAGACTTGTCAAAACTGACTGTTAATTTGTATCCGGAGCCAAGAGATCTCTTAATTTCTATTGGAGAACCAGTTGTGTGTATATGACCCTGAAAATTTGTTTTAACCATAGTTATTATTGTAACAGACACAAAGGGATATTCAAGAGTCCGCACTGATGACGTTGACAATAAATAAATATATATATATACATAATCTCTATACCGATCGAATCCATATATGGGTATAGAGATTCGTTCTCAATGAGGGTTTAGATTACCTTTCTAAAAAAAGAGTGTCCTACTTTATTGAGTTACTTTATCACAAAAAATATAATTATTTACAATGAAACACGTCATTACTAAAACCAAAGCATAGTTTACCTTATGCATGATGACAACTTGGTCACTCAGCAGCTCCGCTTCGTCCAAATGGTGAGTGGTCAGTAGGATTGTCCTATTTTCGCGCAGTTTCATTATCATTGACCAGATCTCCCTGTCAAGGAATCACGTTAAATTATTACCGTACCGTAACAAATCACCAAACCGTAATAAAATCTTTCGCAATTATTTACTTGGTCTTTAGTTTAAATTCAGCGTAACTATAAGGTCGCTATAGTTGTAACTGTCAAAGTGGCTGAGTTGTGTGTTAAATTCCGGAAAAAAAACTGTTTCATGAGCTTCAGTAGAGCGAAAATAAAAAAAATAAATGTGTATTATTGGCCGTTTTAAGAAACTAACCTCCGCGCCTGTGGATCCACGCCAGATGTGGGTTCGTCCAAAGTAACGAGGTGTGGCTGACCCACAAAAGCTAGTGCGACACACAGTCGACGTCGCGTTCCGCCTGACAATCTGCTCACCAGTTCCGAGCTGACATGGCCCAGAGATACTACTTTCAGGATGCTAAAGACAATTGCAATATAGTTTATAACATATTACTAGATTAAAAAATAATAAGAGTGGAATTATAAGTTAAAGTGCAACGCACAAAGTTACTTTTTCTGATTGACTTATTTATATTAGAAGTTTAGTCTGCGCAAGAGTGGCGACTTGTATATATGTATTCTTTATTATAAAAACTTTTTTGGGAATATCGCGTATATTTAATAAGTTCCTGCATCTTTCAACATTAATTAAAATACCTATCAATTTCGCTATTTGGTGCCTGCCGGAGCCTGGCATACAAATAGACGTGTTCTCGAGCAGTCATGTGTTCGTAGAGGACGTCGCGTTGTGGGCAAACCCCGATTCGAGTCACCCCGCCATTGTCAGACCTGATCACAACTTGTCCAGAGGTTGGTTTCAGCATGCCGGTTAGTATGTTACTGTAAAGATATAGGTAGGATAAGACAAATAGAATTAAGGTGAAATTTGCAATGCGCTAGAGTGACAGACAAACATGTTTAGAAGAATGATTCCTCTTTAATAATCTAAAATATATTCCGCGACACTATATTATTTCTACCTTTTAATATTAATTTGCAAGAACGACGAGAAGAGGAGGTTTGCAAAAACAATTTTGGATACCTAAAATAACTATAATACGCGGACAAAGTCACTGACACAGTTAGTTATATATACTTTTTAAGATTCTAAACTAATAATATTTCTAAACCGATAACTAAATCTAAAAGTGGTAGAAGTAAAATGTATGAATAAAATATTATAACAATTAACTTACAGAAGTGTACTCTTTCCAGCCCCATTATGTCCCAATAGAGTGGTGACTTGTCCCGGGCGCAACTCCACACTTACCCCGGCTAATGCGGGCTTGGATCCTCGACCGTACACCTTAGTTATATTAATGATGCTTACGCCAGCTTTCTCGTCAGTAGAAGCTATGTGCGTCACGTTGCTTTGGACTTTCTTCAGACCTGTATATGATCAAGGACAGGCTATCATCGGAATATGTCATAACAATATACAATATTGTATAGTTATACACGTTTATGTGTGCTATGCAGCTTTATGGACTTGTATTAAAAGACTAAAGATGGCACAAATAATAATTCGAAAATACAAAACATATATTTTGGCCTTACCCCAAAACATTTCCACTAAATAACCAATTACAAAGTAAAGGCAAGCATCCACTAGCATCATTATAGCTGCTACAGCAATATTCATGTCGCCGGAGTTGTCTGGCGAGTCCCACAGCTGGGCCCAGCCTGCCCCAATGCCCATCGCCTCGAAACGACCGATGAACAGGAACGCATAGCAAAGGGATGATGACATGGATAGACTCTGACAATATACAAATATCACTAAAAATATTTTCAAGAAAGATATATTATGTAGATATATAATAGAATACAGCGTCGCAATATAGTATTAAAGACATTTTAAATACACATAGTTTCTATCGCTGCTTCGAAATATACAACAAGAACAACTCTCTAATCTATACTAATTTTATAAACTATCTCTATCAATATTGATTGGCTGTCTTAAATGCGCCCCTACATAATTTAATAAACAGCCTAAATAATTAAAAATTCTATCCCTAGTCATTATTTCACGAGGACGAAGTCGCGCGCACTGCTAGTTCTATATATTTCTTGATTTCATTTACAGTATCTATTGTATAGGATTTTATATGTATTAGTAACTTTTTTATGTATATAAATTAAGCATGTTGCTATTTGGCACAATCCATGCAGAATAAAAATAGTGTTACCACAAATATCTTAAGACCGCTGGTGAGAACAGCCTCTAAGGAGAGAATGAGGACGAAAGGCATGAAGGTGGTCAGGTAGCCCAAAGCTGCACATATCGCACCAACACTTGCTGTCTTGAACAGTTTTCCCATCAAGTAACTGCCGAAACACATGATTATTTTTACCCCTTAAATCAAGAGGAATACAAACTATAAAAAACTATAAATCACGAAGCTTAAAAGTGATTCATTAGATTCTGGTCTGATAGCACGATACACTTTGTATTAAGTCGGACACATTCAAGCCTACTTTCTTTTGCCCAGAGGCTGTCGAGAACACTAAATACATGTGTTTTTGGAATTAGCGTTTAATTGATTAATGCCCTATTGTTGGAAGAGGTGTTCTTTCCCGACAATGGGGAAGTAGACTTAGACATCTCGTAGACAAGATAGACCCAGTACGCCTTTCTAGACCGAGTTTCCAAAGCCAAATAAGGTCGCTAGCGCATCTTGTTTTGATGCTTTATGTTTGAGGCTTTTCACTTTCCACCAAGTAAACGTCATGATTGTTTGTCTTCCTCTTTCATAAAAAACGGGGCGATAAAGAATATCGCCACTCAATAATGATTACGCTATGTGTCACTAATATTTATCAATATGTCTGTAAGAGTAATAAATAAGGGGCAAAAGTGATTATACCAGAAACTGAGCACAGATAATCCAAATATGAAGAGCAGCGTAAAAGTGAGCGATGGAGCTGTGCGCGGCAGAATGTGGCCATAATATAGCACGAGGCAGGCGAGGAACATCGTCAGTGACATCTCCACGAGTGAGCAGAGAAACCAGGAGAATGTGTGGTAGCTCAGGTTCACTCCCATCACTGACATAAGCTAAAATACACAAAAGTAGTGAAAGTCCTGGTCTCATCATGAAATGGACTATATCTTTGAAGTCTAACCATCGTAATAAATACGATTACCGCCTTCAAAGTTTCATTAATTACTAACATTGATACAAATTTCGAGTTTAAAACGTTTTATCTAATTATGTTTTGGCTTCTGCTTGTATTACTTAACTCAATTAACCTTCGTTCAGACCCACTGAATAAATTATATTTTGTACTAAACATATCGATAATTCACTCTCATAAAGCATAATTTCGCCAATGTGTACTAAGATAACATCAAAGACTATCTGGACCTACCATAGTGTTACCAGATTCCTTGTCGGCCAATATAAACCGGACAGCTGAAGACACAGTGAAGAGGAAAGAGAAGAAGAATGCAACGATCAGTGCTTGAGACTCATATAGGGATGTTTGGAATCTGAAACATCAACATAAAAGCTATTAACAGCAATTAATGACATAAAAAGTCTATTAGAATTTAATCTAGTAAAGTTGATATCATTCACATATGGAAAAGTTACAGCTAGTACAATGAGTTTTCGCTTTTAAATACAGAAATAAAAAAAAATAAAAATCTCCTATTAAATCAATATCTTCTATAAATGCAGTTTCATTTATAATACGTCACGTAGACCTACAAATCTTTCCGGTAACAGGGGTAAGGATTCTGTTGCGTGTAAATAGACCAGTCCAAGTCCGCATTAGCAGGTACTTCTCTCTTTGTTCTGCTGGAGGCAGAGAGTTGAATGATAGCCTTTTCTATGATATCCTGGATTTGGATGAAACCGCGGAAGTAGCGCATGTTTTCCAGGAATCCGGCTTCGGGTCCAGGAGTCCAAAGGCTGTTTTACATCAGATAAATTTATAAATACAATATGGGCTCACAACTTGTCGCGGAAACAAAATGCGATTTGACGAAAGTATGTAATTACGAACATTAGAGGCGCAATTTTTAATAAACTAAAAATTATAGTAAATTGAAAAACTAATTATTGTTCTGATTTAGAAATGAGTTATAGCTTTAATAGGCTGTGAATGTGTTTAATAATAATAAAAAATAAGAGTTTATATTGATTTTAATTAAAAACTTACTAGTTCTTAGTACGCTTAGTGGTTGGTGCATTGTCAATGTCCACGCGTATCTTATATTCTATGTTTGCTAGTGCACCGCCCGGCAATTCAGTTGCATTAAGGAATACTAGACCTGTAATTATGTATAAAAAGGGAAGATAGTTAAGAAGAGTTGTAACTAAATCCTGACTGTTGTTTATGCGAGTAATGCACAAACTTATTTAGAAATTATTTTAACTACTGTAAATAAGTTTAACCAATACATTTCGCATTTTAATCCGTGAAATTAAAATTTGTGACAACCGCTCTAAAACTTGTAGCATTCGATATGTATACAGAATAAGGATTTTAGTAAAAAAAAAATTGTAATCAACTGAGTATTGCTCTGCCGCTCTTCTAACTGAAATACTGTACTTGTCTGCAACGAAATTTTAATTCTTTAGTATTTATGCACATCAAGCTCAGTGTAAATTCAAACTTAACACACATACACATAACAATACACATGTATTTTGTGCATTTACATGTAAAAAAAGTTTTTATGTATTCAGTATTATGAAAAGTGATAATTACCAGCCGTGAACTCGTTAACCCTAGTCAGCCTAACGGCCTCCTCTGTCAGCTTATGTTCATCGGGCACTGCTTTAAATCTGTCCAGGTTCACGCATCGCATGAAATTTGACGCTGTCATTAGCAAGCGTCCTAGGCTCTGTAAATACATATAGGTATGTAGGCTCTTAGTAACTACAGCCTGACCCTGTTAGATGGTTTGGTTAATTCTGACATGTCATCGAAACATATTGTACTTGCACACGTGTGCGGCTCTGTAGCACGACCACACATACATAAAAAGCATGTATAAATACCGATGTTATTGGTTAATAAATTATTACAATTAGAACACGCAACAAGTAGTTTCCTTAGCTAAATTATGTAGTACCTTCGCTACAGGCATTTATAATATTGCAATTTAATTAACACAGAATTTAAATAAAACACTACTCGTCACTTCACGTCTCCTCGTGATCACGGTTGCTGCAAAGCATCCGAAATGTGTACTACTCGCGTAAACTACAGACAGTAATTAGCTCAGAATTTTTTAACTAATATTTTTTTTATAGAACCAACTACAGTAAGGGACTAATATAAACAATTTACTCTATTAAAAAAAAATGGCTGCCTTTGACTTTGAAAATTAGTTTTTTCGTTTTCGTCTCGTACTACATTTCTTATCCTACCTCCCTTTTTCAATGTACGACTCGGGCAGAACTTGAACCGGCACCCACAGCGTTCCGTGCTGTTGCTCTTAGCAATTGAGCTACCGAGTCGCAATTGTTTTTTTAATTATATTATTTCAGTAGGTAGTGTTAAATAACAATAATATTTTGTTAAAGAAACATTTCGCAACCTTAAAACTTTTTGAGTCCTCAACAACTAAAAAGGTCTTGAATAAAAATTGGACACAATATCTTACTTCCGTATCGCCAATCCCGCCGAGAAGTTCATCCAAATCTATTCGAGGGACGGACATGTTTCCGAGTAAGGCCACTCTTATTTCTTGATACTGTTCATCCCCTAACATATCGTGCAAAGCTATCAGTCCAGCTTTGTGCGCAGATATCCTGTCTACCGAGGAGAAGGCGTGGGCGAAAGAGTGAACCAGGTCGAAAAGTTGTACCATCGGGGAGAAAGTGCCATTTGCCTGAAACATTGAAGTTAGATTTAGTAACTGGTGACATATAAACGAAAAGGAGATGATATAATTATCTTCATAAGCATAAGATCTACTAAAATTACAATAGTACAATTAGAATTGCAAAAGTTTAAATCAAATACGATGTTAATATAGGGATAGTACGTGATTAGAAATCATTAAAAATCATTTAGTTCAAAGTAACTAATCAAAAGTTTTTAGGATCTTTTATGTAAACAGATACAAAAGAAAGATTAAATAAAACACTTTAACGGATTAAAACGCGATATATATTAGTTAAACGTATTTGAAAATTATTTTAACTACGGCTTGACGTTTCAGTCGTGGTGACAGTCAGGGTCCCTGTTAAAGTGTTTTATTTAAATGTGTACTACTCACGTAAACTACACACAGTATTAAACTACAAGCAGTCTTTAAACAAAGATTATTTAAATTTGGAGATCTTCTCACAATTGACACTCGAATTGGCATATAACATTATGTACCTTTTCGATAATCCGTTGCACAATATGACTGGGCGGTGTGTATAGAATTTTGCCCATGAGCAGCGGTTTGATGAAGCTCCACACAATTTTTCCACCTTCCATATTCACAACCTCGGTATATACAGACCGACAGAAGTCCGCTGTTAATAATAGAGATATTTGTTTAACAAGAAGGTCTGTACACAATTTTTAGAAAGAGTCGATTAGTGGATAGAGATATTGTAAAAGTTAAGATACTATTAATATGCAGATGTTTAAAAAATTTTTGACGTACTAGGCAAAGCTTGTAGTTGTTCTTCTTCAGGTTGAGAAGATAGGTCTACGCTGCTCACGATGCTTTTATAGAACCTGCTGACTCCGGAAAAGAAAGGCTTTCCACACACCATGTTTCCCACGTCAGCTAACATTTCGGGAGCTGAAGAAAATGTAAATAGTTATTGTTGTATACAATTTCAGCCTATAGAACTAATTCCGTTCAGTTGTACACAGTTGTTAATAGAACAATTTTAATGTGTTATATCAGAAGCAGATATACTATTAAATAACTAATAGTTAATATAAAATACGTACAAGACATAAGCCCTCCAATAGAAAAGCCGCCCTTAAGTCGCTGTATCAACGGTTCCTTGGCTAGACTGTCGGTTAGGGTGCCAATATTTTGCTGCACTAGAGGAATCAGTGTTGCCATGTCTGATACTTTGGAGAATATAGTGTTACCTTCTATGGCAGTTAAGTTAGATGCTGCATACAATTTGGATAAGAGAAATGATTTAACCTAAAAGATAAAATCATAAAGTGTATTCCTGGCGAAATTATCAGTATGAGTAATTTACATGGGGTTAAGAAAAATAAAATATATCAGAATTATTTTATTGTTAATAAAAAGTACTTTGTAAGTAATTGAAAATGACTCACCTTATCCATGATAAAACTAAAATTGATGTTTTCGATCAAAACCGGCACTATACTCTTTGCCTGAACGTCATCTATAAGACAGAACTGTTCTTTAACCACTAAATCGAATTCCTTTGAAGTAAAACTATCCAAGTCACCTGGAATAAGCACTTGGGATATGCTGTCTTCTTCGCAAACAAATTTTCTAATATTATAGATACCATCTTCTTGTGAAAACAGCTACAAAATACAAAACAATAACTTTACATATTTTTAATCAACCTACGCTTGATCGGATCTACTGCGACCGCCTCTGTAGGCAAATGGTTAAACGTATTGCCTAGCATTGCGTTAAGCGCGAGAGGTCCTGGGTTCGAATCCTAGGTAAATAAAAAATTGTTTCGGTCAGGCGGGGCACAGAAGTCTGATCAACTACTTGCCTGTTAAAGAACGGATCAGTGAAACGGACACAGAACTGTGTTCGCCCCATGCCCCACGAGGGGGAAACGGGATTTCACATAGGTACACGCTTCATCGAGAGTAATAAATAAACAATAGCACTTTTCTTGAAGGTTGATTAATACATAAAAGTGTAAAATTGATTGTCCTTCCGTGTTTAATAAAATAACATACCGGCTTTAATGATATGTGACCGTTGTACAAATTAGGAGCGTATTTCCAGAATTCAGAATTATTCAATCCGATGTTCTCAAACGACATCTTTAACCGATGTGGAGATGTGAATATATCAGATAGGGTAACTGTAAAATATAACTTAAGAGTACACATAATCCTTACTAATATTATCAATGCGAAAGTCACTCTGTCTGTCTGTTGCTCTTTCACGCCAAAACTACTGAACGGATTTGAATAAATTTTGGTAAAAACTTTTTATTGCGAAAAGGGGGTTGTAAGGGGTTAAAAGGGGGGGGTGAAAATTTGTATGGAAATTCGTACTTTTTGAAGCTAGAACAATGAAACTTTCTTCTTTCGCTTTTTGGGAATAGGAGTGGGAGTTAGAGTAAGGAGTGATGTGAGGTGAGAGTGTTGCGGAAAAGTAGCGCTTATAACATAGATTGTTATAAATAAAAAAAGCCAGATCAAAAGTTAATAAATAATCTTGTCAAAATGTATAAACCTTTGAAAACATTAATATTTTTCACATTTTTTTTCCCAAGAAGGGCCCCAAGATCGCCCCGGAACCCCCATTTTTCAATTTATTTGATTTTTAAAATGTATAAACCTTCCTTCCTTTACAATTTCATTTCATTTATTACCAAGTGAAATAAGACAGCATTATTATGTTTAAACATAGCATAAATACCCGTTTACGCGAATAGTTTAAACCCTTAAAATGTTTTATTTAAACATAGATTCTCTAAGTAATTTTTTTTTCAACTTTGTACTCATAGATTATTTTAAATTCTGACGATAAATTTACTCACTGTTAATATCATTATCAACAATATAGTTTCGGAATGTCGTCAGAACTTGGAGACCATCAGCGAGTGCTAAGATATCAGTTTCAAGAACGGTGCCCTGCAGCAGTGGAGCCGTTTCGTTTACGATCGCTTTAATACTGGAAGAGGTAAACAATTTGAATATCCACTGTCGTTATTTTCCAAAATGAATTGGACGTTTTATATGTGCGGTTTCGGTTGTAAAATCTTTGCTGATAAAATAGGATAATAGGATAAATAATCCTAGAAATGTCTATCTGTAGTTGTACTGAGAAATTGATCTACACAAATATTAGCTTTAACTATTGTCATAATAAGATTTATAGTACCTGCCAATAAAACCAGATGAACTATCATTCATTATAAGTTGCATCAGAAAATCTATCAACGCTTTTAAATTTCCGTTAAACACTCCTTTCATATCCATCCGACTCAAGAGCCTCAATATCATTCCAGCTTGTTCCAGTACTGCTTCGATTGGTTCTAGAATATTGGCGATGAAGTTGAAACGCCAAAATTCTTTTTCCTGGAGTTCCGGCAACTTGGATATCTTTAAAATTAAACAGTAATAAATTTAGTATTTTTTTTAACTTTCCAGGATATATTAAAATGTAAAATAAGTTACGTCATTATGTACTTTAATTTGTGACACTTTAAAAAAAATAAAACGTACTCAAATGGGATACAACTGGGATGGGGTACTCACCATTTCCTTTATTAATGTAGAATTTAAGATTTCTCGAAGAACGTATGCCATTTGTGTACAATTGTATAGTTTGCAGAGGTTTTTGTGAAATTTGAAAGAAGTCGTTTCTACTGGAAATCCATTTACCTGAAAAGCCACAAACTTGTATTTTATTTAAATGTAAAAACTTTACGATTTGAATAATGAAAAAATGCAAATTGTTTCCCTTTTTATTGAAAATATGGTTTTTAAATAGATAAATAATCAAAATAAGAGCCAATCTTACCGAAAATAAATTAAGACCAGAATGCTTGAATGCATGAAGACCGTATTTATCCAAAGTATCGCCCAAAACATTTGTTGCATTATCATTGTTTTGCATAAGTTTTTCTAACGAAATGGAAACGTCTAAGTTATGAGCAACATCTTTTTGAAGTTGAATTACATAAGGGAGTCTAGTAAAGCCGGCTACGTCTTGAAGATGTGGAAGATCAGCTCGAAATAGTCGTATGATGCGATATATAATCTCATTAGCTCTGAAATAATAAGTGGCATATGAGTACGTTATTAATGGCCATATATTACACAATCGAACCTGGCAAAGGCTAGTCTTAAAATAATTAATTTATTATGAAATAGAAAAAGAAATTACAGTTTTTATTACCGTACGTATCTTATAACAAATATAATTGGCAACCTTTTTTATCTAGTATTATAAGTTTGTATTAATTGGCAATGAAATTTTCTTGTTTTCTTTTTCTATCTGTCAGAACAGTATTAGTTAATTTATATACTCACAAAGTAGCGATACTAAAATGATTCCTTTTTGCATTTTCTTCCAGGCACTCCAGCACACTCCTGTTAGCTGTCATGTCCTCCAAGAGATTCAATTTGATTTGCTCCAGCATTTCATTTATCGATTTGTTCAACTCATACTTAGTGTAGTTGCGTGTTGCTATGAGCTGTAAAAACATGAACAATGCATTTAAAGCAAAGAAAGAAGATTTTAAATAAGAAAGAATGCATAATTGAATTTTCAAGGCCTCGTTAGTCTAATGGTAGCAGTGTATGGCTAATAATCACCGGGTCGTCGGTTCGGTACTCACTAGATCCAACATTTTTCTAATACATTTATCTGGAAATCTGGATATTAAATTTGTAATAGGAATACTAAAATTCCGTCCGGGTCTCGAACCAGGTGTAAAAGCCGATAAGTTTAATCACGTTTCCATTTTTTAGTCTGTCGATTTTATTCAGTTCTAGTATCTTGTTTAGATGGCTGGGATATTATACCTACCATCAAGTGCTACCAACCTTGCCTAGTAATATTTTTAAATACTGTCTATAGTTCACGCGAGTAGTACACAATTAAATAAAACACTTTAACGTCAAAGTAAAAATTGCTACGCTAGCGCCATCTGCTTCGTCGAAGTTGGTATTTAGCGAAATTGGCCGGCTGACACCGGAACAGATGGCGCTAGCGCAGCAATTTTTTACCTTGAACTTCAGAGACATCCCCCATCTTTAGTCTCTCCGTGACCACGGCTGCTGCTAAGCATCCGAAACGTCGGGCCGAAGTTAAAACTCATTTTTAAATAAGTTGAACTAATATATCGCGTTTTAAATCTTTAAAGTGTTTTATTTTAATATTTTTAAAAGAAAAATCACTAGTCTCACCTCGCCGATCGCCATATCCCAATGGAAGTGGTTTTTGAGCGCTAAATATATTTCATCCAGATCCATCTCGCGGACAGAGCATAAGAAATTTTCGTACTCTGGCTTTTTGAAAAGCTGTAACGTGATCTGTTTAGCCCAACTGGTAACTTGCGAACAAGCCCCACAGTAACTAAAATAAAAAGAATGTCAAAATAATCTTCATCATTAATCAACATTATTAACTACTTGTGGAAGCGACTTTGTCCGCGTAGAATAATAATTTTGGGCAACCAAATTTGTTTTTGCAAACTTCATCCACATTTTTTTCGATTATAGTTATTACCCACGACGTCTTGCAACGTCGTTTTCGTTAATCTTAAAACATAGACATATAATGTCCTCGATTTATGTTTACATCGTTTAAAGATTCCTCTTTCATTTACGCAGCTCGCGCAACGGAAACTTTTAAAGATAAATCATTCTCTCCGTTACATCCACATCCCCATCTATTTCTTCGTTCCTATTGATCACAGAGACATTTCATAGATGTAGAACCAGTCTTGAGATTAACGCGTTCAAATAAACAAGCTCTTCAGCTTTATAATATAACCATAAGGTAACCTAATGTTATGCGTTGACTTCACTGTAAGATCCCAGACATTCGCTGTTTTGTTTAAAAACCCCTAAAAATATATTACTTACGTATCCTTTAAATAAAGTGTGCTTGCGTCTACCACGTTGACAATTAGGCCAAAAGATATCTTGGTTAACGTTTCATTAGTCAATACATTGAGCATGGCACTCTTGAATCTGGCTACATTATGTTCGGTGACCCAGACTGGAAGTTGTGGGGGCTGGGGCTCTCGAACTATAGAAGCCAGTAATGCCTCTGCCCGAGTTATGTCTCCATTCAGGTCGTGGTAGTTAACCGTAGTGGGTAAACTCAATTCCTCCTCGTAGCCCTGAAAATAATATTTAAGGGACATCAGTTTTTTGTTTATGAAACGAATCCTATGGTGATTCTAATTAATAAAGTTAAAATAAATAAATAAATAAGAATACATTTAATTAAAGACATATGCATATATATACACTGCCAATGTTGCTCAAAATATTTACATGTAAACTGTATAATGTACTGTATTGCAATCCGAGCCTACTTATTTTAAAATATGTATTGTTAGAAATCAGAAAAGCTCAACTACCCCCCCCCCCGAAAGCCTTTTAAAAAACCCCCCCCCCCCCCCCCCCCCCCCTTTTCCCCCCCCCCCTTTCCGGGCCGGGGGGGCCCCCCCCCCCCAGTATTTTTTTTTTTTTTTTTTTTTTTTTTTTTTTTTTTTTTTTTTTTTTTTTTTTTTTTTTTTTTTTTTTTTTTTTGTATATTCTTTTAGATACTTTGTACTTTAAATGTAACTAATTTATTTCGCGTTTTTAGCCGTTAAGAGTGTATTATTATAATGTTTCCTACTCGCTTAAACTTAAGACATTTATAATCTTTAATTTTTCACATTTATTTACTAAAATGCAACCGTAGGTACCTGAGAGGCGAACAGAAGAGGTGGTATCTCTTTAAATAATTTTATCTTGTCGCCGCATATTTGATGGTGCAGAGAAGACAGAAGACCGGTGCCATCTGGGATGTAGTCCGATAAAGTCATATTCGGGAGACAAAATGATTCCGTATTGTTAATGTTTACATCACGAAATACCTTCACTAGCTGTAAGCAGATGAAAACAATGAATAGAATACTTTCAGCACTTATTGTGCCAACTTGACTTGTTCGACTAGCTTTTTTGCCGCATTAGACAATTTGAAATCCTTACACGTATTTTATCCAGATTATGAAGAACATCGTCTGCAATATCGAAAATCCTTTCCACGGAATCTAGGAAAGTTGTCGACAGAGGTCCCGTGTATATACTTCTCAGTTCTCCCCACCAATCGTTACCGGCGAGGAAATTAAGAATCACGTTATAATGTTCGATATTACTGTGTAAATACTGAAGGTAGATAGGGATATCTAAGTCTGATGCATACTTTATAGATCGCTTTAACGCTGATACAATCGATGATCTATAAAATAAATATTGGTTTAGTCTTATAGATCGTGAGCAAGTCTAAGACACTTATTATAATACCTACCTGTTTTTAATAAATTCAAAAATATTAGATACGTCCTCAGAGCTTTCGTTCTGTAGGACTTTGATTATATTCGAGAGACTCCTTCTATCGTCCTCTAAGTGGTCATCAACAACATGTTGTACCGCACTGTATACAATTTTGTACTGTTTAGAGCAAATGATAGCTCTTATTCTTGTACTTTCTCCTAAGATTTCTTTGCTAGTGTCATTATTTTTCAAATTGTCACACATAATCTCTAAAGCATTAGTGATCTTAAAATCATTTCTGTTCGTCCATAGCACGTCCGTTATTACGTCAAAATGTATTCCAATAATTTCTGACGCCCGTCTCGTATATAGTCTTTTGATAGAAATAATGTCGTTTTCAATTGCTTTCTTATCTTCGTCCGATACGTTGGTTATTACATCATCGATTTTTACACTTTTCAATAGATCGGACATTCTATTTACTATAGCAACAGTCCTAGTCAAATATATTGTGGAAACTGATTGTTTTATAAGCATTTCATTAAACGCAATATATGATGGATCATTTTTCTCTATTCTATACGATACCACAGCATCAATAGTGTTTTCTAACTTTGACTTAAGAGTTTCTATTGATAGATCAATTTTAATAATAGCATTCTGAGCTCCCAATTCCCGGAGAACGTTTAATAAATCAATTGAAGTAACGTACGCCTTGTTAAAGTTACTAGAAAATTTCGTTGTATGTAGCGTAAAAAATAAATATTGCTAAAAAAGAGACAATTGAATAAATTAAATAATTCGCACAAATGGTAAATATAGCCCAATTATAACGAACCGGTTTAGCGATTATATCCAAGAGTGAATTAGCTCCAGTAGGCATGGATAACCAGTATAACATAGAAGGGCAGATCAGCGGTTCAAAACTGCGCAGCATTTCTGGAGTAATTGAGCTATCTGGTCCCGGATTCAAAGATGTCAATAGCGCTTCACAATCCCAAAACTGTGTTAGCGAGGCTCGACGTACCTAAAATTTTAAATTGATGAATAAAAAAAGTTGAAAGATAAGACTTAAGACTTCAATTTAATCAATCAATAAATCGTACCTGTTGCATAAAACCTAAATCCCAGTAAGAATTAATTAATACGCCGATTAATTCCGGGACTTTTTCATACATCTTATATAGCATTGATTTGCTTGTGAAGCCAACCATCTGTAGTATCGTTGCATTTTCAGCTGTGCAGATAAAAAGAAATCATTACAAAAGAACTTAGAAATTGTCATATTTCTGTGTAAGAAAAAAATTTACCATTAGCTTCTTTCATATAAGTCCCGAAGTCATCAGTAAAATTTCCCATAGCCATAGATATAAATTTTAACGTGTTAGTCCACGTGGCTCTGCCTGTCTCCCTGCATGCGTTATCCATGTACACAGAATCGGTGCAGTTAATATAGTCTTGCCACAATGTGTGTAGTGACACATTGTTCGCAGTTGAAATGTTTATAGAATTGATAACGGCATCAACTTTTGTGAAAAATTTCCTGAAAATCAATTAGATTGATGTTTTTTTATATTTTAATATTGTTTGTGTTATTAACTAATAAAATGCTTTGTAAAAAAGTTTGAAAGAGACAATATTTTTAAATTAAACATTTCCGGTTAGTGAAGTTTTAATATACATATTACCTTGCTCTTATGGCCTTATTTGTAAGACAATTGTTCTTAATTTACCTTAGTATAACGTCTCCGTCAGAGGTATTGAAAGTATCGATGGTATACTTCCATGCTGCCATGATGGTTAATTTTCCATTATCAGAGTCTTGAATCGTGTTTTGAAATATTTCTCCAAGAACATCAAAATTATCTAGAGTTCTATCGAAAACTTCAGCAAACTTTAAGAAAACGTGTGGTGCTAATTTAGTTACATTCCATTGGGTACTTTTCTGAAATACACAAATCATGCCTATATTAAAAGCTTTACTCAATATCAAAATAGTAATATCTTTGACATTTCAAATGACGTTTCTATCATACACAATTATCCTCATCATCAATTAACTTCTACAGTATTATTGTGAATATACATTTACTTAACATAGTACATCTATGTAAGTCTAACTAATTTTGAATAATTCAAAAAATATGTATGTATTTATTTTATGTATGGAGAGAGCTTATACTTACATACATAGTAACGTTCTTTTGATCTAAATACGCTTTCCATTCACCTTGGAAAGTTTTATTAAAACATATCAGAGATTCAAGGGATTGGACAGCCTTATTTGAAGGTGGAGAGAACTGCACTAATTCAGTAAGACTAGAGCCGCATGGCCAAGGTGAAGCTGAATTGAGGATGTTCAAAATAGAGTCTACCTGCAATTGAGAATAAAATAGTTACCATATTACTCTGAAGTCTTCAATCTTAATTTTTTTTATCTTTTGCAATGAGACAATTAAACGAGAAAGGAAGTAACGTGTAAGTAATCAAAACGAAAGCAACCACGCTTGCGAAAAGTATTATGTCATAGAAGGGGATATTATTAACAAAGTAAGTCTCTAATCTTACCTTGACATCATTCTTGACTACAATGTCAACCGTTTCCACCACAAGATTTGGTAAATTCGATAATGCTGAATTCATAATGGTTGCTGTTTCCAACGGGATGTCAGTTAGAGGCGTTGTATTCTTCGATATATCTGATAAAAACAAAGATATTTAAAATAATACATCTATCATGTACCTATTTTAGTATTCCAAGACTAACCGTGCACTAGTTCAATAAAATCGTTGATAACATTCATGGGTCCCGTGGAAATGGCGAAGTAATATTTGATTTTCAGCCAAAACTCTTGGGATAGATTAAATGCATCGTAATCAAGAAGATCCATGACGCGAAAACCAATGTTTATACTGAAATGTGAAGAAAAAATAGTTTAAAAAATATTTTGAATATAAAATTCTAGTTCCATTAATCACAAAAATTCTACTTAAACCAATAAGAAGGCACTCTGAACCGTATATTTCTGTATAGATCAGACGTCACATGATGGTTTTATTTTGCCTATAATATACAAATCCTTACCTTAGTATGCATATTCTTTTTAAGCTTCTTAAACTGAACCAATAACTTTTAGCCTGTAGAAACAGTTGTTCGATGTGCTGCTGCGCCATTTTGTCCATTCCATAGCTTCGGAACTCCAGAACATAAGGGTAATCCTCTTCTATAGTCATGTACATCTCCTTTAGACCTCTGATCAATTTCGTCCAGTTAATTTCTTCTACAACACTGTGATTCGCCCTCTTGACAGCAGCTATCTATCAAATGTGTTTTATTAACATTGAAATAAATTGTGTAATTATTTTTAGGAAGGATTGACCGAGTAAAGAGCAGTAGCTCATAAACTGCTTTAAATACATCAAATATTAAAGTTGACAAACCAAAAGCATTCTGTAAGTATAGATAAAAATTAAAATATATATAAAAATCCATTACACTCTTCATTATTGATAAAATTTTGTAAAATACCATTTGTTGACTTATATTGAAAATGTTAGCCAATTTCTTTTTAAAAATAAAGGTAGAGGAAGAATTTTGTAGAAAATAACTTTCTCCCAAACGTTTATTAGTTTCTAATGGTAATCTATAGTACTTACACCTTTGGATAAGACAGAATCGGCGTTTAAAGCGTTTTCGATTTCGTTAGATACATCACACTGAGTAATCACGAAGCTGCTTCGATCAATATCAGGAAAGCTTAAGTAAGCCGAAGCTTCTTCAACGCCGTGGCAAAAGATGTTTTTACTTGGCGTCGATAGGGATTTAAAAGTCTGAAACATAGTAATGTATCACAGGAAATCTGAGATCATATTAATATGGTAGTGTTTGAGATGTTTCTTCGTACACATATCAAAGATATACTATGTATCAAATAGATTAAAATTCTTGGGTCAAACATACCTTCTTTTCATCTAGCGCAGTTAATGCCAGAACCATTAACAAGTCTGGATATATTTTCTTAGCTTTCTCAGCCGTCTCCTTCGACGATAACGCCAATTGCTCATTCACGACAGTTACCATGGTCGTGGTGTCCTTAAGAAAGGGGCTGACTTTAAATTCTAACAAGGGATTTTGAATAACTACTTCCTTAGCTAGACAACCATGGACTGTTAGCCTGAAAGATATTTTGTTTTAAGAATCAATTGCTCTTAAATTAATTTAAACATATACATAATTGTGTTTATATTATTTACAAAATTAATTTTCCAAGGTTTTCTTTTAGCTTGACAACTTTTAAAAATTCTGCATCTCTTTTCGTATCAAAAATACTATTCCAGTCCAAATTGGGCGTTTCCTTTTTATCCAAATCGGTAATGAGCTGAGTAAAATTTTTTAGAACCTCAAAATCCTTGTCTATTGCGTACAATTGATCTGAAATATCACTTCCTACTGCATCCATTATAAACAGTGATGCTATAGCATTTATCTGCAAAATGAAATAAATTATACAAAATAACACTTGTTTTTTTTCCAAAAATTGAATAATATGAGCGGCCAGCATTGCAACTCACATTAGCCTTAGCTTCGTAGGTTCCGAAGGATGTAATCATATCATTGACGTAGATTTTCCAAGCGTCTGTACAAAGGCGTGACTTTAAATTCATAGCCTCATCTTTAGATACGAGAAAAAACTTACGTATCTTTTTCAAGTCACAGAATGGCTGAACTGGGTCATCTATATTAGAAGTTATTATCTGAAAAGGAAATCAATTATATTGTAACGAAATAGTTTATTTACATACAAAATATTGAGTTCATATAAGTTTGTTTTCCTAGCTACGTGGATAGTATTTATATAATAAAAAAAGTAGCTATTACTATTAATACAAAATATAGTGATATCAAAGAAAATCAATACAAACTTGTGCGCGTTCCGGGTCTGCTAAGCCATCTAGCCCTTTAGCAACTGCCTGCAAAGGGAGACTCAATAGGACTCTTACGCCTTTGGGGTTGCGCAAGGACACGTCGTAGATCAACTGATGTATATTAGTATTGATATTGATCATCTTGTGTGCCACTTCGACTAGCTTCGAAAGAAGCGTCGAATAAAACAGAACATTGTGTTTTTGTTCTTTCGTTAAGAATTTAAGGGCTAAATTTGTTATTCTAGTTAATCTGAAAGGTAAGAGACACATGCGTTAATATTGTAAGATATAAACATAAATATTGTATTGCAAAATCGTTGCGTAAAGTTTATATATACTTACACACTAAATGCATCAATAGTAGTATCATTATCAGAGATATCCTGGGCAACAGCTACGGCTTTATTCAATATATTAGACATTCTTTTCAACTGTACGTCTTCGTTAAAGTCACTGTCTTCAGTTTTAAGCACTGAATTTAAATATTTTATGCCTACAATTAACGCGTCTGTAAAATCCTTTAAGGTTTTGTATGATACTGTATCTTGGAAGGTTGGTTGAAAGAGATTCATTAGTTTATTAATCCTGAAAGTATTAAATGGTTATTTAAAATTACAGTTCAACAAACGACGAAATTTAACACTTATAATATTAGTTAGTAGAAATGTCACCCACATAGATAAGGGGACATATGAGAAGTTGTCTTGATCACCATAGAGAATGCCGTTAAGTTCTGGTGGAAGGAAGTTTCTTGGAGAGAGCATGCGTAAAACGGCTGTGCTCAATCGTCCTAGCTGGGTTACTCGTTGGTCACCGGATACCTTCTCATACATGTTGCCAGCCTATAAATTATTTAATAATTTTCTGTAGGGACTTAAAACATGACTAATTATAAAAATAATCGAAGAGGAGGTCTGCTTTCTTATCACAAAATGGACGCTATTGACATAAAAATAGTGCTCTTTTCTTGCCAACCAAATAAAACCACCTACCAGACATTTTTATAAGATATTTAGCTTTAGCAGTCACAATATTTACATACAGCATTCATTCGTTTCGCAGTCATAACATAATGCGAGTATCGAAATTCGTAAATATTTAACATTCTCACCATCGTGACATATTTCCCGATGTCGAGTTCCAATAGTAAATCGGTAAATAACTTCTGTAAATCTTGCTCTGACAAAGAACACAGTTTGTGCACGAAGATGGTGAGTTGTTGCGGATTTTCTATCCTTATCGTTCTCATCATGGAGGATTCGCTGCATCTGTCTAGATCACCTTCCAAAATCTAAATTGGTCCGTTAATATTATTTAAGTAAATTAAAAATCGAAAAACCAAGTATTTTTATAACAGGGGGGAGCTGCGTAAGACCTATTTTGGTATAGGGAATTCAGAAATTCACAGACTGAAACCGAAACGCCAACTGTACCGGTTTTTCGTCTGTGGTAGACGATTTGTTATCAGGACGGAATTTCGATATTCCTACAATCCATTTAATATCCAGATTTCCAGACGAAATCCAACATGTTCCAGGAATTATAAATAGATTACTAAAATGTTGGACCCAGTGGGGATCGAACCCACGACCCATCGATTATTAGCCATACATTAGTACTATTCTATAATACCTATACTTAATATTCTATAATAAAAAAAAAACTTTTATCATAGACTCACTGCTGCTAGGCCGAGGTGAGCTGACATTAGAGAATTTGTGACGTCATTTGAAAATTCCATCTCATTCATGAGATAACGCTTCACTCGCTTCGGATTTTGAAATATATCTTCCACCTTTAGTCCGTTTTCTGAAATTAAAATCGCAGTTGTTCTGTATACGTATTACTCACTATAGATTCTATAACGCTCTTTAGACTGTTTATAAAAAAATATGCTAAATGTTTTCCGAAGGCGCCTTTAGGACACTTACTGGTGATTTCCAAAAACGTAGGCTCGTCTGCAACGTCAGCAATTGTTGCAAGAAGTTTTAGCGCGTCGGGAATGGAACCTGCCACCTCGATCACGCTTTCGTTGTAAATAACCGGGCCCAATTGACGTTTTAATTGCGTTAATCTGTACATAAATATAAAAATGTTCTTATTATTTATTACACAGGCATTTAGTAGTCATAAATATTTTTATTTTTATTATTATAGCCTAAATAATAAGAGTAGTGTCTGTAGTTTACGCGAGTAGTACACATTTAAATAAAACACTTTAACGGTTTAAAACACGATGTATAGTTATTTGTAAATAAGAGTAGTAATAGATTAAAATGCATCTATAGATATGCAAGCCCTCTCCACATTGTGTCTATCGTGTTTTCTTTTGCATTCTTTTGTTCCTGTCAAACGCTCAATGTCGCGACAGCCATTGAACATCGGATCTCTTGCAGTCTACTTCATATTATCAACACAGATGTACACTTCTTTGACTTACGTTTTATCTGTATCAGTTTTATTTTTGTTTGTATTATTGTACTGAGAAATAATGACTTTTTTTTTTATAACATGCTTATACCAAATTCTTATAGGATCTTTATTCGAATGTATCTGCTATGCTATACTGGTTGGTATTTCAAAATGTATTCCTAGCAAGTGCCGAAACAAATACAAAAATATATTCTTTCACAACATAATTACCACGGAATACTTTTGTTTTCGGCACATTGCGTTAATTGAACTTTCCTTGTTACTTTTTATTTCTGTTATTTACTTGACTACGTACTTTGAGTTTTCATAGGTTGGTATCTCTTCAAACTGTTCCATCGTGGAACAATCGTTGTTAACATTGCATATGAATGACTGCAAGAAAGTCAGGAGACCAGCGCTGGGCAATGCTCGGGCTGCAAATTGACCTGTTCAGAAAACTAATGGTTATAAGAGTCTTAGAAGAAAAGAAATGTTCTATAAACATTCCATAAATATTTAATACAGCTCAAACACACATATTTTGTTTTATACTTACATGTAGGGAAATCCTGATTGTCGATATTATATCGAACGATGCAAATACTGGAGATGACCCCAACAGCCCAGAGTAGACCGACAATAGTAATCTAAGTGAATAAAAAGTCAATCAACATTCTTACACATAGAGTAATATAACAATAACATATAGGAGAAAATTTAATCGACATTAGTAATATTTACTAATAAATGGGCATTATATTAATTACAATTATAACGTGTTAATCTATCCTGTTGGTCGTTATTTCAAGATCTGTGAGTGATATTACATTTTTTTTTGTGAAATGGGCGTTATTTAAAAGTTGCGCCGCGAACTCGCAAAAATACAAGAAAGTTAAAAAGGATTTATATTATAACTAGACTCTGGAATGTAACTTACTGGTTTCCTTTTCCTCATGAGGTAATCCTTCCACAGCAGTAAGCGCAGCTGTCCCCCTGAGCCCCCCATCTTGAAAATGGTAGACTGTCTTGTCTACATTACTGCCAACACATAGAACGTAAAGAAAGCAATATTTTTTTATGATAGAGGAGGGCAGACAACTGGGGTTTATTTGATGGTAGGTAAAATTACCCCAGCCTATAGCATTTAAACAAGGTGCTTTGATTGTGGATATTCGGAAATCCACAGACTAAAATCGAAACTCAATGCACTTCACGGCTTTTTCATCTGTGGACGGTGGTTCGTGACCCGGACGGGGTTTAGATATTCCTACCACCCATTTAATTTCCAGATGAAGTCCATGTTTGAGAAAAAATATAAATTTATTATAAAGGTGTTGGAACCCACAACCTGTTCCATCCGGTTGTTAGCTGTACATTGCTACAATTGCAGCAACTAGACCGTCAAAATCTGGTAAATAAGAGTGTGCATCTCTTTCCTTTTTTTATATATTTTTTCTAGATTAGGTAAGGTATACGGCACATAGTATACGTTAAAATTGCGATACCAAAAAAACAGTATGATTTTTAAATAACGATGATAATAAAAGGCTTTCTTCGTATATCGTATAATCCAATTATTTATACGGAAATGGTATAAAAACGTAAGTAAATTCCGTTTCTCTTTATAGGCAAATAACCCATTTCTGTCTTTTACTGATTCCATTAAGTTCATCAGACTTTTGAAGCCGACCTCAATCGAAATGTGTTATGGGATTCCAACCCATGACATTTAAGGCTTAAAGCAATCTAAGCAATTCGTTTAACCATTGAATCTCCAAAATGGTCTTGACACCGTTGTATTGTAGGGAATTACCATAACTAAGTGATCAGTGAGAGCACGCAATCCCCAATTCCGGATGCAATACTACAAAACGAGGCAGTCATTATGAAATTAGGTGAAATTTGATGATGATTGTGATGCTAATTGATAGTTTCAGCTAAAATTACACGACAGTATCGTCAACGTAATAAGTAGTTTAAAAAAGACACTTTTAACGGTTTAAAATGCGAAATATATAAGTTATCTTACGTTCCCAAATGCTGCTGTAAAGCATACAAAACATTGGGGTGTAGTTATAATAAATTAAAATAAGCATATATATTTCTCGTTTAGACCCGTTAATTATTTATTTATTCATATGTGACCTTTAGACTGTTCACAAATTTACTTGCGTAAACTACAGACACTTTTACTTGTAAAAACGCGAATAGTACTTATTATTTATTTGATTTTTAACTACAACCCGACGTTTCCAACGTCGTTATATTTATTGTGTATGCCTTGTTAATTTTTATGTGAATATTTAAATAAACTGGTTATAAATTTAGTTTTTTCGGGTCCATAAATATATAATGTAAATATGTAAAGACAATTTATTTTCTTTTTGTAATACTAACGAACGTACAAACTACAAAGCCATACTGTTGTAAGGTCGAACTTTATATTTGAATGTATACGAAACAAAAATTTGTTAATTAACATGCATTATAAATTTTGTTTATGTTTTTAAAACTTAACATTTTTACAAGGATAAACTGCAAGGTCACATTTAAGAAAAAAACCTGAGACAACTTTTTTCAAACAGAGGTATTAACAAATATTTAGTTTTACATGCTAATATTTAAGATGCATTTAATAAGATTAGTTAATCCTCTCGTTAATCGCAAGGTGTGATGATAAATTGTTATGAGTTTTTGTACTAAAAGAAAGAGAATGATAAAAAAACTATAATTTTAAAAGAAGGTTTTTTTTTCTTCATACCTTAATTTAAAATGAAAATACTTGTCTGCATTTACATAACACTTCAATAGATTGCATTAAAGAATCGTAATGACCAATAAGACACCTCTCAGTAGGTCTATGACCTATAACGACGTAAGTGCCCGCAGTAGATAACATTCTTACTTTCCGAATACAATAATGACTCTGTGCTTCCGCTGTAATTGTTTAAAAAAGAACTTAGTTCTTTCTTAAAGTAGTAGTATATATATTTGCATCGTCACTTTAAAAGAGATGAGTACGATCCTTTTCTTGTTCGAAATTTAAATATGCCGTTACCACCTCTAAAGCTACATGGTTAAACGTTGCATTACAGTTCCGCGAGAAATCGTGGGTTTGAATCCCGGGGAAACAAGCACCTGTTCATTACTAGCGATACATGGCTACTATTGGGCTAATGTCATGTTTAGCACTATTAACTATATAAAAATGTGTTCTTGTGAAATTCTACTTATTTAATCTATATATAATCTAATATATAAAGGCGAAAAGATCGTTTGTTGGTTGTTTGAACGCGCTAATCTCAAGAGCTAAAGGTTCAAATAAAAAAAAAAACTTTTTGTGTTGGTTAGAGCATTTATCGAGAAAGGCTAAAAATTGCTAGGAGTAAAAGGAGCGAAGAAACACCGTAAAATGTGGAAAAAACGGGAAAATTTATTAATCCTTGTGGGTTTCCGTCGCGTACGCTGCAAAAACGGTTCACGCAAAATATGTATGAAAGAATGATTTCTCTAAATGATCTCAAAAAATGTCCGCGACAGTATATGTCTGTCTTATAAGATTTACTTGCAAGAACGACGGGACGCGGGGACGTTGTGCATAACAACTAAATTTTTTAAAGATGAAGAGGAGGTTTGCAAAACCTAATTTTGATGCCCAAAATTACTATTCTATGTGGACGAAGTCGCGTCTACAACTAATTGAAAAATACAACCATTACTAGCCATTTTAAGTAGGGATTAAAACGTCTGTTATAAAACATTTTTTATTGTCGTTACTTAGGTAAGTTAATACTCTAGAAAAGAAAAGGAAGTTGGTAGTTTGCCATATTTTCCGGCATTGAAGTCCGGATCTTAAAACAATGAATGTTTAATTTCCACTCTTCTACTTGCTTGTGTGTATTTTTATATACCTATACTTTTTCACTTATTTTTGTATAGTTTTTAATTGAAATAAATAATTGGGAAACATAAAAAACTAAGGGTCCTGTATTAAACTCTCAATTATTTGTTGTTACTTTCAAAGCGCATATTCCACTTTCATGGTGAAGAGAAGTGTGAACAACTAGAAAACAACAGGATACAATTACCCATTTGCGTAACAGAGGTTCCATGAAATCATATTATTGTCATGGTGTGCCCTGACACCGGTCATTGTGGCATGACAACTTAAGGTTACACATCAATAAACATATCGTCACAAGTGAGTAGTGGAACTATTATTTTTGAGACTAATTTGTGAGTGCTTGCGGCTTATATTTGTTTATTTTAATAAACTTAACAATTGTTTACAATTCTTAAAATTCAATATGTACTAAGTAACGCAGTGCATTATATTAAACGCTTTTAGCAGGTAACAACGAGATTATTTTAGGAATAAATTAATTGTTTTTGCGAATGTGAATTATATATGGTATATAATTTTATAAAGTCCCTTATAAAATAGATTTATCTCTTATTATAAGCCAATTTTTTTGCATTACCTAATATCACAAAGTAATTGTTTAGCACCCAGCTAACCGTCGGTCGAGCCAAAGCTGTCGAGCAACAGCGGCGGCTGTTTTTTTACTTGTTTGCTTATTTTGAGCCTCAAAACTACCATGGGTGGTTTCGTTCAGGACTATCGCACTGTCGGACAATGCGTACAAAAAGCAACTTTTGATATATATCTCTGACTGAAAATTTCAAATCTTCATGAGAGAGAAATATAACAATTCGCAAAGCAGATTCATTACATCCTTAAATTATTTTATTTTTATATATTAGGTTGTTATCGACCTTTAACTTTTTGCCGGAACATTCCTCCGCGATACGTGATATTAGCGTAGAGTACGCGTGAGGCATACATACCAGATTCGCAAGCACGGTAATTTTGGTCACTCTAGTGATACAAAAACGTATAAGTATTACGACTAGCCTTGTAGCAAGTGCGTTACGCTTCCATAATTAACTTAACTATCCTATTATTCCGAGAATTATTTACACGTGTCATTATCAAGTTCAGCTCACAGACTGCTTTTTGAGCCAGAAAATAACTAGATGTCTAGATTGCTTTGTTTATTGTAAGCAATACAATTTTAATCAACCAGCCTGTTTTAGCTGGTTGGTGTAATGGTAGCAATGTGTGGCTTATAATCAACGGGTCTAACATGTTAGTCTTCGTCTGAAAATCTGGATATTTTCGAAGCCAAAAATAGGTCGATAGCGCATCTTGTTTACATGTTATATGGCTGGTGTGTTTCACTTACTTTCAAGGGAACCTCATGCTTGTCTATTTTCCACTATCATAAAAAAAGCCTAGTGGAAGCCGGACCGAGTAGGTAGGTTTCAGTCTAACCTTTAAAAATCCCTACAAAAGCTCTAATTTCCATTTACAAGCGCAACTGAAACGATTATGACATTATTATTATTATAAAAAGCTAAGTGAACGCTTTTTAAGTATAAATTAATGGCTTAGTTCTAAGTCGTCTGAAAAGAACTATTTATTAACATAATTATGTGTTACGAAACTGAGGACAATAATAAATTAATAATCAATTTCCACATAGTTCATGTGCTATTGTGTGAATATTACCGGTTTATCATCTGAGAAAATCGGCTTTTGCATTCATAGCTTATTCAATGAACGTCCGGATGTTCATAGTGCTGTGAAACAGGCATGAGACAAATTTGTACTTTAGACCCTTTGCACGAATCAAAACATCTAAGTAGAACCCGAACCCGAATTAAGACGATCACGTTTAGTACGATTTTCGTATAATACGCCACGATAAATAAATTTCCCCGTTTGCTACACACTCATCGCTGTTTTTTGGCTCCTATTAGTCACATAGCGATGTTTTATAGCCTACCATCCTCGATAAATGCTCTAACCTAAACAGAACCAGTATTTCCTGAGATTAGCGCGTTTAAACAAACAAACAAACTCTTCAGCTTTATCATAAGTACATACATATGTTTTTATTCGATTAATACAATTCCTCATCCCGTTTAATACGTCTGGACCGA